TTATTAATAAATATATTACCTTTATAATTATATATATAACCTATTAAAAATTTAAATAATATTAAAATTTTATTTAAATTAATAATTTAATAATAGGGAAATTTATTAAAAGAAAGCTTTTTAATAGGATTATTTATTAATATTATATTTTTTTAAATTTAATTATTTTATAAAACCCTTTTAATAAATTATAAAAAGTTATTTATATATTTAATTATTTTTATAAATATTTAAATTAAAATATAAGTTATTTATTAATAATTAATTTAATAATATTAAAGGAAACTATAAAACTATTTATTTAAAAAGGTAAAAATTATTAAATAAATTAAATAATAACTATTAAAAATTATAATAGCTTTTTATTTAAATTAATAAATATTAATTAACTTTTTTATTTTTTTAATTATATAAAATGTTTTTTATAATTTTAACTTTAATATTAATTAATAAGGTTAAAAGTGCTATTTTTTTCTATTTAAAATTAATTTTTATTACTTTTATTACCCTAAAATAAATAATTTATTATTTAACTTAAAGTAATAAACTATTTTTTTAAATATAGGTTTTTAAAAGCTTTCTTTAATCTTATTATTATTTAAAAGGCTATAATAATACTATTTTTATTTATTAACTTTATTAGTTTTTAATAAACTTTAATAGTTTTTTAAAAATAATAATATATTAATCTTCCTTTATTAGGAATAATGCTTTTAAAATTATATTAATAGCTTTAATAAGTAATAATTAACTTATATTAAGCTTTTTTATTTAAAGTTAAATTATTTAAATAAAAGGATTAATAAGGTTATATTAATTAAATTAAAGGTTAAATAAGTTAATTAAAGATTAATTATTATAAAAATAATTAAAAATAATATTTTTAATATTTTTTTAACATTATTGAAAAATTAACTATAATATAGCAAAAATAGCATTTTTTTAACATTATTAAAGAATTAGTTATAATATAGCAAAAATAGAAAAAATAAAAAAAACAGTAAAAATAGCAAAAATAGTAAAAATAGCATTATTTCTATAATTTTACCATTTATTAACTTTTCTATAATTTATAAAAGGGTATAAAGCTTAACTAACATTTAATAGGAGTAACTTTTAATAGCGTTCATTAATAAAGTTACTTGCCTAATATGGATAACCTAGCGAGAGCATCCCTGCAGTGGCGTTACTAGTGTTGTTCGAGTTTTTCAAGTGTATGCGGTACTTACTTACATGTAGGCAGTGTGGATCGGGGTAACTTATGCACATGTACCTTGACAGCGGCGAGACGGGGATTTCATTGAGAGGGAGTACTCGTCTAGCTGGGTAATTCTGGTACTGGGCTAAGCGTACTGGCAGTATCTACTAGGTACCTACCTAATGTAGGTAGGTAGGTACGTAGTACATAGTACATTACAATAGGCAGGTAAAAGTACTGCGCATATCTGTCGAGATTCTTCGTAGATCAGTTCGCATCACAACCTGGTAGAAACAAGAAAAAGAAGACAATAGCCTCCAAGCCAAGATCTGGATCAGCTTTTTTTTACATGCATGTAATATGCAAGTGCTGTGACCACTGTCGATTCGAATGTCGCCTGCAATCTAGATCGGATCGTGGGCCGGCGCCTCGTCAAGGGGGGAGCTGATGAACTTGAGGTGATATACTCAAAAAGGGAAATACATGCGACATAGCTTCAGATATTGCAGAGCCATGTTAACGAATGCCTGTCCCTTATTTACTTAGAGCATGCTTGCATTATCTGAAATGTCCCTGTCTGATAACGCATACCAAGTATGTTCCGGCATAACAATGCAACGCGTCTGCAGAGTTCTCGAAACATATGGAGACCAATGAACTGATTCAATGACCTGATTTCCCATGTGAAAATCACATTTTCAGGCATCAAGGAAGCTGGTATGAGCATATACGATGGTGTTCCGCCGGTGCCCCTCCAGAGCTCCTCTTGAATCACACTCTAACGTTCCTGTTACCTGCTCTAGATCTCAGGATTACTATTACGGTCACAGACACAAGTGGCGGTATGCCTGTTTAAGCGAACACCAGTGATAAGACAAGACAAGCTATCGGATACGCTCACTCAGCAGCAATGCCTTGTGGTTGAGTAGAGTACATTCGCATGACTAGATGGACTAAGTTGAATTCGTACGACGTGCGAGAGAGAGAGAGAGACATCACTAACATAGAGAGAGGATCAATCATGCGTGGACTTGCCATTTAAGACTTCAACCCCTCGCCAACTAGAGATTACCATCTGACACAAAATTGTAGACCAAGTATAGAGCGAAGATGCTCATAACGAGTTACCATATTGGTTCTAGTGCTTAATTTGTCTCAAACTTAAGTAAAGAGATAGAGAAGAAGGGAAAGGCTCTGTGTTAATTGTACACGTGTAAGTAATCCGTATTTAGACAAATTTTAACTTGTACTATCGGCTGGGATCAGGTAGTGTAGGTAGAGTCCCTAATTGAAGCTTACCTTACTTACATAGTAATCTAGATTCTCCCTCACAGTAGAAAATGCAAAGGGTGTTGTTGGGTGGCGAGCCTGCCAAGATCCTAGTCAACGGGCACGACAAAGATATTTACGAACAACGCGACAAATACACGGAAATCACCTATCTAGGCAATCAATTTTCTTCGGATCTGGACGTCGAGAATCGATCTTCGGATACTTGCGCCTCAGAAGCTGCTTGCTTGCTTTTGATCGGAGAAAAACGGAAGCCCCACCGGGGCCGTTGATTCTCGACTCTCCTGTCAGCGGCTCGTTCCGATCATACGAGCGCGGCCTGCCGCTGGCCTTGGCTGGGCTCGGCTGGGCAACTATGACCAAACAACACGCCATTACTGAAACGAAAGCTAGTTTTTTTGCTTGAGCCTTGCGATGTGTCAACTTCCGTTAGACCGTGGGCATATACGCTGTGGTCGTGGAGTAATACGACAGTGGAACGGGTAAATGAGCCTGAGCATTGGCCGATGGCAGGTTAGATGACACACGGCCAACACATCGTCAGTTGACCTAGAGAAGAGAAAAGTTTTCTCCGTATTCATTCCTACATCTTCCATTATGTGGTCATATGAAACATCGAAAGAGGAGATGCTGGTGTGTATATAATGCCGGCAGTGCTTGGATGGGACGCAACACATTTCTTTGGTTTCACCAGAACACCATCAACAATTGTGACAACTGCATCAAGCATCCAATCTACTACCACAACCAGCTATACCAAGCTACCCTACAGCATTTGACTCCAACTTACCATCCAACCAACCCCTCAACCAATGCAGGGCGATATCTTCCAACTCGAGTCATTGACGTCCCCGGCCACTGTGTTGAAGCCACAGCCAAAGCCTGCCATGGCACGTCCTAGACCTACAAATAATCCTCAGGTCGCCATCTATAATGAGGATGATCTGTCTCACCTGCTCTATATGAGCAGTCACCCTCATCATCATCACCACCATCACGCCCACGAGCAGAGACCTTTCACCCACCCCGCTGACATCGGCACGGTCCTCATCAACTCCGTGGACGACATGGAGGCTACCACACCAGCCCTGAGCGACTGCGAATCTTGCTGTGGCTCCGAGGGCTCTGGAATGTATATAGAATCTCCCGTGACGCCACCTCTGACAGGCTTGGAGGAGGTCGACGAGCTTGCCCTAGAGGCATACCGCCGCAAAGGTCGACGGAACGCACTTTCCACCGACTCCCTCGAGAGCCTCGGCTTCCCCATCTTCCTGGGCAGACAGGACGAAGAGGTGGAGGAATGGCCTGTGAAGTCACAGAGTGCACCACAGAAACTCTCACAAAATGTGGCTTTTCCAGCTGTAAAGCTGCCCGAGGTTCCTGCTTCGCAACACGTCAACGCCATCGACGGCACCATGATGTCTTGGTGGCCAGAGTCTCTAGATACTATGGAGCACGAATGGGCCGTGGAGAAGACGCAGTGGCAGCTGCAGCTCGAGAAAGAAAAGCTCGAGGAGCTCGAACGCGAGGGCGGGATCGCAACCACGAAGACTTACAAGGCCCAATACGACGCTGTGCCAGTCAGTGACATCGAGGGCCCTTTGATGAATTGGTGGCCAATGCCTATCTATGACTGGAGTGAGCGATTCTACGAATAACGAACTGCCTCGCCACTTGATACAGTCTTGCGGGCATTGGCTTCACCATAATGGGAGGAAAATGATTTATACTGGGTAATATTCGCTGAAGTCCATCTGTATATTGGCCACAATCAGTTATATACATGGAGTTCGGAGTTAACGGACGGGGCATGAAAAAACAAGGGAGAAAGTGCCTGCTCGGTTCCATTGTTAATGAAGGAAGGAAGGAAGTCATGATACCCATTACACGAGTCCCTATTTTATGGGAGGACGGAAAACGACGATACTAGTGAGGGGACACGATTGGTACTAGGTATTTTACGACTGCATCCATTCTACTATCGTTCTGCATAGAATCGGACTGGCATTGGGCGTTCAGCACTGGGTGTTACGTGGTTTTAGAACCTCGAGCTTATTGTTAAGCATGTTAGCTATTCATAGGAAATGCCAATATTCGCTACTCATGTTTTCGGTATTTATGCGTACGGTGAGGTAGAGCTCCGTTGCCTTGTCATTGATTGGAACTAAGATCAGATGGTTACAAATACTGATGAACAGGCTCATTTCGGTCATGTTCTCGTGTTGTTCTAACTTGCTTATACGTTGTTCTTCATACAGCTTTTGCAACCGCTGGGAAGAGCTTACAATAACACGATAAAATGCGTCGTCTCGAGTATGTATCAAAAATCTCCCAAATAGTTGATAACATCAGAACTAACTACTCAGCCCTCCATGAATAAGAGAGTCGGACTTAAACACTCACTTTTAGAGTCCCCTGCATAACTACTACCGCAGTACCTCCAAGATATACATCGCCAATATCGACCTCGCCATTTTCTCCTTTCTGCTGCTGAACCGTTGTCTCAACACTAATCACACTCTTCCGTCCCATCTCTATGCCCTGCGTCACCCTAAACTTGGTCCCTTTTTTCTCCTCTTTGAGCGTGAGATAGGCACATAGAGCCGAAGCCGCGCTCCCAGTAGCAGGGTCCTCAAATCCAAGCTCAACCATACGCGTCCTAAAACACCTCGAATCCTCCTCCTCTTGTCCCCCCTCGACATCAACATAGTAGTATCTCGCGCAGAAGCTATCGCGCCACCCCTCGTCTAGCAGCACGGGCGCTAAGGCCTCGAAATCTAGCCGTAAAGGCTGAACCTCACGCAGCAGCTCCAGCGACGCTAAGCGCACAAGTGCAAACGTCATACCATTGACGATGCTGAACACAGGCGCTTCCAGCTCGGCAGCGCGGATAGCGGGGTTTGGATGCAGGCCCGCCGTCACCGTGGATTCCAGCTGGTCGGACGACTGCAGATCGCCCAGCGTCTTCGCGTGCAGGTGCACGTTGTGAGGGATCCTTGCCCGTACTCCCAGAGGCGACGGCTCGATGCTGATCGGGCCCGCCTTGGTCACGAGCGAGCGCACGCCTGTGCCCAGCTGCTGTTGCACGAGCACCGCCGTGCCGACCGTCGGGTGACCCGCGAACACAATCTCTTGCTCGATAGTGAAGATGTCTATGTCACGCGCATCCTGGCCAGATTTGCTCGTGTCTGGTGGCTTGAGTCAGTCGGTGACGTGTTCTTAAGAGAAAACAAGAATAGACAGGAGGGGTAGGGGGGTTAGAAACTAACCATCGTGAAGGAACACTGTTTCCGAGAGATTGAATTCCCGCGCAATTTTCTGCTTCAGAGGTTGTGTTAGACGTTCGCGCAGAGACGCGGGTACTTGCACGACAGCCAATGGGTTGCCCTCAAGCTGTGTGCTTGTGAAAACATCCAGTGTCGTGAAGGGGAGATCCATGGCTGCGAAGAAGAAGAAGACGATTGAAGAGGGATACAAGTTAAATCTAATTCCTTGATTGAATTAGTAGTAGAGCTTGGATTGAATCAGATGTTGAGGAGGTAAAGAAAAGTCTGATGCACTGGGAATAACCTATATTCTGGTCTTATGACTAACAATTTTCCGTGATACTAACATCCGAATATCGGCAGCCGTGACTGATTTGCAGCATCATACCATCCCTGCACTCAATAATCTATTACAAAGAATACTTCGTTCACTAAGAAGGATATCCAAGTTAGGTGTTCGAATATTGTTTATTTCTATCGGTGTTTATGAAGTTCGATGACTAGTATGCCCTTTGAGGAAAGAATGGGTATCTATATATGAACGATGCTCGTTACTCCAAATATATATGCGAATGCTATTCTGATCTTCATTGTGTCAAACGCAACGCTTGACATCTATGAGCAATGGAGTGCTCGACTAAATAATGAGGGAGATATAGTGAATAACACTCATGCAAAATTCATGGTTGTACTGGACTATATCCATTGCTGAGTCGGTGTAGTAGTGGGCTGAAGCGAGGCAACCAACGCTGTTAGCCGATCAATCTTAGCTGATAAGTCCGCAATACGCGCTTCGACGTCTGTGGGTGCATTGGCGGTATCGTCTTCGGTAGTGTCCCCCCACTTTTGTTTGGTGAACCTTGCACTCTCTGGCCGTGGCGAAGGTATGTAGGGTCTGTAACTAGATTGAGGTCTACTCGGTGGGGGGACAATATGTCGCTTTGAGAAGATTTGTTGCGGCCCACGGAATGTGTTGGCACTAGCTAGGTTAAGTTTGGGAGCAATCCACTCATACGCCTGGATCAAAGCAACAATGGGAGCGTGCGTCGCTCGTAGAAGTACAATACGGCCATGGCGAAGAGTAGTGCCAGATGCCACGAGACGGAGCGGGCGAAAAATGATCAGTGCTAGAAGGTTGAATGGTGCTGGTGGAATGCTATGTTTAGTATAGACATGGTGATTGACATGGGACACGACTCACGGTAGAAATGTGTCAGCCTGTTACTAGTTGACGCTTCAAGCACGTAAACCGAGTAGATATAGAGATACTCCTCTCTTGCATGGGTGATCACTCTACTAAAGCTATTGCTGAGCATACCAGTCAATGAGCCCATGAGTAGGATGGATGATAGAGTAACGAATATAAACATGAGAGGAGGACCTGCGATCGCTGTATTAGACTTGTTTATATTTATGAGTTCCCAAAGGGTGCTTCCTCACCAAAGATCGGATCAATTTCGTGCATATTGTCGAAGCCAACGAAACTGGCACCGAAGAAAATCTTGGTCACAATCATAGCCACTACGACCGCTGGCATCAGTAATTACTCTTTCAAGTAAAAGTTTTGGAAGTTCTTCGTACTCCCGAGACACACTTGTGCCCCCAATAGTCAATTATGACCTCGGTGAGTAATTAGAACAGGAAGAAAATGACTCCAATGGTTACATACTGTGTGGGAAAGTGAAAGTTTCTCTTCCAACAAGCGAGAATGTTGTTAGGAAGCCGAGGTATAATACAGCCACTACAAAGCATGTGTTAGTGACAACCTCGATCGGCGTTTTCGAGAGATCCTTGGAGTTTGTAGACTCATAATACGTGGGGATTATGAACACAAGACGCCTTTCCCGCTCTTATAAGAGTGACTCACCAAATACCATGAATTTCAAGAAATCTAGGCCCATTGCTTTGAGGCAGGGGATCAAGGTTCCCCAATATGGTGATAAGCTAAGGAGAGAGAAAACTCGCGGAACCATAAAGAGCGCTTCTAGAGCTAGGACATCGAAAGCGATATCAACAAGCTGGTAATCTTTCCTGTATAGTCCGACGCATCCTACAAGCGAATGTCAGCCCATGCTCGAGCCTCGGTTCTAGAGCACAGAAGCCACGAAATCCTTACTGAGAACAAAGTAGACAATGCCAATTGCAATCATTGCCATGTCAAATACATTCCAGACATCGGCTGCGTAGAATATAGATCCAGCATCTATGTACTCACTCACCTCATCGTAGAGGAAAGCGGCAAACCAAATGTAGAGTAAAATTTCTATTCGGGTGATGCCGTAGCGATTCTGCTGGATTAGGACGCCGTAGTACAAGAGAAGGAATGCACAAAAGAAGGCGACTTCATACGCCTTAAGATATTTGGGCACACGCAGGCGTGAGTACGGGTCGGCCGTGTTGTGATTATAAAAGGAAGGCTTCTTCCCAGACTTGGCTGTAAGTCTATCCCAGAAGATGATCTCACCGTTCCAGATACCTGTGATAATCTGCTGTACTATATGTTGACTAAGGAAACGCTTGGCATCTGCGATAGCAGCAATTTCTAAAGCATTGAGATGAATGAATGGGGCTGTCGGGTCACTGTCGGAGTCCTCCTCCGTTTCGGTAGCGTGGCGGCTCATAGTAAGTTTCGACACAGACTCGAACAGTTGAGAACGTCTTTGAACAGAGCCACGTCTCACTTCATTTATGACACTGGGCCGGCGATGATGTGCTGCAGATGAGGCACCGGCACCTCTCAATAGCGCCGTCTGTTCGTCAGACTCGCTTCCAACTGCACATTCCTCGTCCACTGAGCCACCATCTCTTTCGGACGGGTCCGGAATCTCGTACAGGCAGAAATCAACGATTTCGCGCTCGGAAAGGCGAGTCAAAAACCTCCACGCAACGATCTCACAAGCATTTGCTCGGGCATCACTCAACCCTCTACCATCAGAGATGGTGCCGTAATGCCACTTAAGTGCTCTTCAGTGCAATATTAGCGGTTTGCTTTTGTTTTTCATATGATATCAGAAAATGCTAGATTTAGGTTCGTGAGAATAGGCCATATGTGCACGGGTAGTGTCAACTTATCACCATTTGAGGACGCACCGTATATTCGGCAACGAAAGGAAGAAGTCTAAGGAGGAAATGACCTACAGCAAGGCATTGACAATAGCGGGATTCGTTACCTCGACACTCAAATACTCGACAAGGTTATGAAGCCCATCCCCAGCAGAGGTGGTCCGGAGCTGCTCGAAGGTGGCAGGGGCGTGAATGACCTGGGTGATATAACTAGATTCTCAAGTCAGCACTCGCGACAGGTGAGAAAAGGAGGGTTTTGGAAGCGTATACGAGGAAATCTTTTTTATGACATCCCGGAAGGAGTCGTTGTAAGCGATATTGGGCAGCTCGACGAGTCCACGGTCTTGAGCGTGAGGCGGAGAAGAATGCCGCCGTTCTCGTGGCATGGCAACCGACCTGACGCGAACTGGCATATTGAACAAGAGTTTGTTCAGCGCGGGTGCTGAGAAAGGGATACGATTAAGATGTCACAAGCCACGCGCAGTTTGATTGGTTACCATACATTTGAGTCAGCGCACTGAGCCGTGGCTGACGATGAGGGTGAATAAGAATGAATGTTTCATAGTATTACTTTCATTACCTCGGTAGGTACCTAGGTAGGCTAAGTAGGTGCTGTGTAGCCCAACTGTAGTGACCTACGGGCACCTACACTACCTGTAACTTACCTGCGCCGCAGGTCCCTCTCATCGACCCCGCTTTTGCATAAAGCCATCGAGAATAGTTGGCCAAGCCGGTGTATATTCATTCAAGTTATCCCTTCCCATTTCTTATCATAGGCAGCTGTTGTAACATCGCGGTACCTGACTGGGAAACGTGGACCAACCGTCTCGAAATCGTGTGAGCTACCCAAGAACTACACTACGCGCGGTGGTGGCTTAACATGGCGGGGACAAACATTCTTTGAATGTGGTGTTGGCATTTACCAGAACAAATTGCTTGGGCTGGCGTAGATAATCCAGAGAACCCAATGAGCTAGCTATTTATATATTAGGTCCTGATCCAATAGCTCCCGCAGGAGCATCAAGCGAGAATTCGGGTCCAAGGAGATCTAATAGACTGACATCATCCATCTTGAAGGGTTTCCACACCCGAGCTCGAAACTCTGACGCGATCATAGAGTCGACTCCGACTTCCGTCATTGACTTGTGACTATCTATTGTCTCTGGGGGCATCAACATCAAGCTGGAAACTGTTTTCGAATCAACCTCAATGCTAATTCTTTCAATGCGGGTGTGTCCACCTCTGTTCTCATAACCTCAGCAACCTCCTCGGGCACTTCTCCCAACCAAGGCGCCTCAGTTGTTATCCGAGGCTCGGCAGTGGGCGATTGTCCAAACTGACAGCACGACGAGCACATTGCTCGGCCATGAATGCCGCGAGTGGGAGGGATGCCCTTCGGTCTTTGCCAAATGCCGGTATTACTTCGAGGCTACCTTCAATCAATCGAAACGTTCCTCCAAGCTTTAATCCAGTAACCACATTCGATTCGTCGGGCTGCTTCAGATGTCTCGCGATAAACGCCTTTTGGTCTCCGTCGATTGTTATTTCGTCACTGTCGGCAAACCTGAAAGTGAGATCATTAGCAAAATAACTTACACGCGTACATGGCTACCGGTATATGCAATACAGAGTCCCCTTCGTGGCCTAATACATACAGCTATTATTATAAGTGAGGTTATATATCTCGTCTCATAAAATAGATTGCAGAGATTCAGACAAGTAGGGCAGGCCACCTAGTTATATGTGAGTTAAAGTCAGCCACCAAGGCCTAAGAAAGAATTAGACGATCAACGACCTTAGCAGCCCTAGCAGATTGTTGTATTATAAATAGCTTCGATTTCAAGCTCATTTATCTGCCCTTATGATACATGTGATGCGACTATTAGGAGATCGTGGTGATCCATGGAAACTCGCCAAGCTTCGAGTAGGTGCTTCGACAAGGCTGCCACAAGATCGGGGTAGTGTCTAAACAGGAAGATTGATAAAATTCGGCATATCTACCACCACCATGATCCCGAAACAAAGACGTCCATGAACTACGGCCGGAAATTATTGAAAGTAGGTACGTCCTATATTATTGATGTATATTACTCTCTGAGAAAAAATTATTAATTTTTTTTTTTTTCGTATCTGCAGGTTTACTCCGGCTTTCGCTTGCAAATTTGTTTAAGTACTTATATTTATCATTTCTGACCACAGCAAGGAGTAACCACATCTAATATTCGATGGCTTTTGTAGGGGTTATGGGCTGATTTCGAAATCGGCATGGTTGAGGAAAACTGGCGCGGTCGTCATCATTTTCTCTTAGCCATTCCACTTTTACAGACTTGAGAAAGGGATGCTGATTTATTTTATTTATCAGTGCTGCCGAAGGACACAGTGACCCCCTTTTCAGATGCTCAGTCACTGTGGTTGAATTCTGCGGAAAGAGTATTTTTAAGTAGTTTGAGTTATCTCTTTAATACATTGTAAATCTTTGTTCATGTGTTGATGAATTAAAAATACTTTAATACACCTGTAGGAAAATCGTAGTTAAACAAAGTCGCTTTTCAGTTTCTTCCTCTCCCTTTTTATATACGAACGATGTGCTGGCCAATGCTGCTGATAGTTAGGGTGCCATGACCAGAGGGGGTATATAGTGGGTTAGGTTTGATTCCTTTCAGCGCTATATGGTTATTTGCTTTTGGCTCATTTCTGATATATTGGCTATTAGACTTGACATCGGCAGCTCTGAGACCTGATATAGCATTGTTCTACCATGACGTTGACGATGCTTGTTAAATCGAAACATGACGCACACCTCGAGTCTACAGTAGGCTCTGAGAATAGCTCAAGGGAGGCTCGGCCTGAATCCGAAAAATACATACAAGATGAATGTAAAAGAAGCTCTGTCTGAGAATATAGAGCATACTGAAAATAATTACTAGAGATCTTAGCCTGCACACGAATACAAAGCAACTCAAGATATCGGATTTGAGCCATAAGAAACATACCACATGGATATTAATCGTGATGATTCAGATAAAAGGTAACGGTTTACGTAATAAACGTAGTGATGACAAGCTCTAAGAACGAATATCGTTGTCATATGTATGGACTATTGCAGATACGCTTAAATTACGGTGGTTGGTAAATCTAGGGATGAGACTCAGAACCATGACTTGAATGTATTGCGTATGGCGAGTGCTATATTAGAGAAGAGGAAAAACGACTTTAACCAATTATCATGGCCGTGGGCCCATGTGTCTAAAGAGCGTACGGTTCCCCCTCGAGTTCCCTGTTTACTGCTACGTGAGTGTGGCATTCGTTCAAAGCCTCTATGCTTACCTCTCTGGTGGGTTTGTTTCATATCACAACCCTCGAGGCATGATTCTGCCTAATGGGATTTATCGCTAAGGCAAGCTGAAGCTGGTACTACGCTGCCAATTCCTTCCTCATGCATAAGTTCTGTCATCACTGAATGCGAATTTCCCTGTCTGAGGCGAGGAACGAGGTGAGTCGAACCGAACCTCAGCATACCTAGTAGGCAGCGAGAATGTAGATCCGGGTTTCGCCTTACGCCGCAAGAAACGCCACAGAAACAGTATCATAGAAAGATGGAGCAGCTGTCGTATCATACAGCCAATGGTGATCCTCACTAGCTTTGCGCAACACACAGCAACAGCTACTGTAGCTGGGTGAATCGATGGACACCAAATCTTCTATGTAAGGACGTACACATACCTACCCTTTGTAGGGAACTGCGACGTATGAGAGAAATAATGGCAATCATGTCGGAATAGTTGTAGACCTACATATGGACGGATCTTCCTAGGTAGTCAGAAGGTAGTACAAGTAGTGTTTGAGAGATAATCAATAGCAATTTAAATACGACATTATCATTTTCGTGAATGAGGGGCTTGTCGCTGTATAGATATATGGATACTGATGATTCGCCTACTGTGAGCACACCGAACACGAGAAGGCGTACTTGGATGCTTCCTATTCGAATCATGGCCTTCGATCATCTCAGCTACCTAGTCGTGATACCTCAATAGGCCAGGTTACGAAGTACCACCACCACTACACCAACTACATACAGATATATAGGTATAATTAGGTACGTACAATGAGTAGGTAACTTCACTACATTACCTAAGCCCACTAACACCGCTAATCAGCGGCCACCAAACCCCAGAGGCGCTAGAAGGGCCGTGCATTAGTGAGTCCCCAAATATCTGCTTCTTTTGCTTCGCCCCGCGGCTACAGCTGGATCAACACTATATCTATTTTTTCTGTAATGACTGTAGATCAATTGGACATGTCACGTAGAAGTGTGCAATCTTTGTATCATCCTACATGTGATAGGTGTATATTATCAGTATGATGCCGAACTTACGAGCTATGCCTAACGAAATCTCTAGAGACGCCTCGGTAGTTGTGCTCGAAAAGAAGATTAGAGCTTGCTTCAACATATTATTCTCCGCCAACCTAGGAAGTGTATGGCAGTGCTATAGAGTGTCGATTGGCTGAAACAATACGGCTACACGAGAAGAGCATGCAATCAGTAGCCGTCGCATGATTCCCTATCACCAAGTTCAAGCTCGAGAGCCCAACTCGAGGCTACACGGTATGCCAGCGTCACGAGATGTAGCTGCAAGATTTATGCCGAACACAAGCAGACACAAGTGGGTATGCAAGGCTTAATGCTGTAGGTACTGTATGTATGTCTTCCGTCGAGACGTGTCTCAAGCGGTGATCCAGGTCAGACAGGTCAAACCCCTATACCTATACTTCAATGCTGACTTAGGTAGGTGGTAAATGCGCTCGCTCACCCATCCATACTATGTATATTGGCAGGGTGAAGAGGCGTGAACTGACAATACCTATCAAACCACCTTCAAGCTCTCTGGGTTCCTCTCTGGAGACTACGGGACACCATAGCGTAGGACTTGGGTGAGATGGAAGCAATCTCGCTTGACTGCCGTTAGAGTGAGTGCTCTCGGAGTCGCTACCCACTGGAGTAAGGACTCGGTGTCTGGCGGACCTTAGCATGTGGGCAAAATCGTCAGGTCGGTTCAGGTCCAGTCGGAGAGCGATTGTGGGAGTGGTGTGTTTCTTTTGTGTATTTTCCCCGATGCATCTTGTTGGATTCGTTTTCGAATCGAGGTGCCGGCAATACCTACCTAGGCGAGATAGGCGAGAGACAAAAGATGCCAGGCCGGTACCACAGATCCAGAGAACAGGTACGAAGTAGGTAGGTAGGAGGTACATATGTACTTAGCAAGGGGTGGATGGCTGTGCGGTACGTAGCGTGCTCACTACGTAGGTACCTAGCGTCGCTAGCCTAATGGCGCCTGCACTGAGCCACTTTGATATTAGGGCTCTCTCTAAAAAAAGGAATCCGCTAAGCTAGCTGGGCTACGGGTACATGGGTAATTAATGCGTAGAATCGATCTGGTTGGTGCGCTTTCTTTGGCCAAGATATCCTTGTTGGATCTTGAACGAAATGCCACCTAGGTAGGTACATCATCTCTTTCTTATGGCACATACCTTATGTACTTACATCTACATAACAGTCTACCAGTCTAAGTAGGTAGGTAGGTAGCAGAATTAGAATATGTAGGTACGTAGTGTAGGTAGGTCAGATGGGTATTATCAATACTGCTACACACACACTGACATGGACAAGGTCGTCGATGATCCCTCCATACTCTAGGTAGTAACTGGCCAAGACAGTCAACACGAATCTGACCAGCCTTTTCTTTCGTCATGTCTTCCCAATGGGTATTCTCATCGTGGCAATGCTAGCCGCCACGGCGAACTACCGATACACACTTCTGTCCACACCTACACACCTACCCACCTAATCGCCCAGTCGCCCAGTCACAGGCCCGATGCCTTCGAGTTAAGCGCGGACACTGCCCGAGTGGGTAATGTTAGGATAGGTAGGTACTTATATCTTCCCTGCCGTAGCAGACCGTTGGTATCAGAAGTCAAGTACCTAGGTATACCATGTATGCACGGGTGTAGCTTTGGTCCACCAAGTTCGCCGCCTCGCTACTGCTCTTGCTGCTGCTTCTATTCCGTGTACGCAGCCGAGAGTCCAGCTTCTCCAGTCGCATTTGGAAGCGATATCTGTATGCTGGGTATGTAGGTAGTAGGCAGTAGGCCTGAGGTACCTACGTAGCAAGCTGAAGCAGGTAGCAGGTGGTAGATAGTACGAGCGTTGTGCGGTGCGTCAAAGTCAAAGGGGGACCCTGAGGTTCCGACAGCCAGACAATTCGCCCGCCCGTTTCTCATTTTATTCTCAGCCCTGCCATCGCACCCCGGCACAAACCACGCCAATTGCTCCTCCACCCTGATGCGACCTTTCAATCCTCGCCTCTCCTTCTTTTTAACTATTACCACCAGTTTCATGTTTCTTCTCCCTCAATCCTTCGGCTGCCTTGTCGTTCTGCTCGAATCTCGCTTGACCTTATTCTAGCCAAAGTTGCTCCTTGCTCTATCCATCCTTATCTTATTTTGACGCGCAGCCTCAACACCTATGGATATCGAGCCATGGCTCGTCCACTATTCCATAACATCTTCCTCCGTCTCCCTCCCGGAACAGCAGTCCTTCTCTTAAGCTTCGTGTTCAGCCCAACAGAAGGTCATGCGCTCCCACAACAGACGAAAGTCGTCGCCTTCCGTGAGCTAGATGTAATACCATTTCCTCCGCTACCCACGGACCAGCCGTTATCCCCTTTTGATCTCCAACGGCGGCAAGAAAATACAGTATGTGGCTATCTTGGAGGCGACTCAAATCTTCCCGCAACATGTTCGGCAGGATCACATTGTGTGCTGGATCAGGCCAATTCGGTGGTGGGTTGCTGCCCGAATGGCGGCGCATGTACGACAGGGGTTTTCACAGGTTGCGTCGACAGGAATAGCGATCCACAAACCGAGATTAACCCCTATGTATACACATGTCAGGGGAGCGACGTGTGCTTCCTGAACAACTTTGCAGGCGGTTATTCCCAGTATGGCTGCGGCACTGCATCGACAATAGGCACTAGTGTCGAGACCTCTGCCGAGGGTGCGACAAAGGTGCTGAGCATCACGACTGTCGATGTGAGTTTGACAGAGTCCCCAAGCACACTTGCGACACCGACGAAAATTGGTTCAACTGCGACCTCATCCGACTCTACTTCTACATCCTCCAGCGCATCTTCTCATACCAAATCTTCCACGACACACTCCAGCTCGTCAACATCACCAACGAAAACCCCTAGCTCGACGCCAACAAATACAGATGCTCCCCCATCAACGGGACAGACTCGGACTGGTGTTATTATTGGTGGTGTTGTTGGAGGTGCTGCAGCCCTGATAGCACTAGCTGCTCTCGGGCTTTTCTGCTTGCGTCGACGGAATCAAAATCATCGCATAGGGCCAGGACCAGCACCGAAAGCACCTCCAACAACGCACTATACCAGGTAAGTCCATCCTCAGTCCCTCTACTCCTTCTACGATTTTTTGAGGCTAATATAGATGCAGTCCAATACAATCTCACGGAGCGGCTTTCGCACCGTTACCCTCGTGGAATGATGAGGATGGGTCACCTCCTCCCCCAACTGCCCATAACCATGCGCATCCGTATCCGCCTGAGCCTTATGTCCCACTCGAGCGAACGCGGTCAGCTGTGTCATCCCATTTTCGCACTCACTCAGATCCGCATCCACCTGATTCTTACGGCCCGCTTGAATCTACTCTTTCTACCCCAACACCTGCAAACTTGGCGAGCGTTCATGGCTATTTGCAGCCGATGCGGTATAACCCAGGCTATCCGTCGGTGGCCATGCCACCACCGAAAGGTAGCTTAACACCCGTGGTGGAGGAGGATCAACCGCTAGAGCGTGAAGAGTCACAGGGCCGCGAGATTGATGACTTCTCGCGGGCGTACTCAAGCGCGGAGATAGGGCAGCTCACAGACGAGGATGTTGAGGAAGACCGTACACCACTGCGGGCCAATCCCCAAGACATGCAACAAGAAGGAGACTCGACACGACGAACTGCCGGAAATCGCCCACTTTGGCAGCAAAACCGGCAACAAAGCCGGAACTTAATGTGGTTATAATGAATTTTGGGCATTCTGGAGGACGTGCAGCCAGCTCGCCTCCTTTGATTTTTCGATGAGCGCCTCTGTACAACAGCGATAGCACGGCGTTTGGGGCTTTCAATCTAATACCTCACTAACTGAATAATGACCGAGTCGGCTTTTCTGATAAACTTGCAAGGTAGACAGCAGTTCGTTCAGGCGCAGAACCTCTTCGGTAGGCAGGAGGTAGCTAGACATTCTAGCTAAGGGAAACATGGGCACAACAGCGCTGGAATATAAATCCATTTGCTACGAAATTCGTTTAATGAGGTGGGATACGATACTTGCATGACCTGGGTTCATTCATACGGTACGAAATTGGTATTCATCGGCGCAGCATTTTTTCTTTTTATATATCAAATACTATTCTTGGATATATACCAATCAACGGGTCAGGCTAGGCGCGACAAGGGGATACCGTATTTTTATTGGGGGCATCGATATATCCTTCCGAGAGCTTTTTTGTGGTGGTAATTGGTGAGAACCGCATATAGGATCGGCCGAGCATGAGCGTTTTACGGAGATAGAAAGGGAGAGAATCGAAATTACGCGAACATCTCAGTTGACTTCTGCAAACTATCATCACTTGCATGTCTATCGCATCGTGATCTTAATGGTATGATAGGTACCATTATATGTAAGTAAGACCTCGGCCCGGCTAGTTTGCGTACAACACAGTCTAGCAGGGAAAACAACCCTTCTTTCCTATCAGAGTGGTGGAACTAAATCGCTAGTATTTATTCCCCTCTATATTTCATGCAGCTCGAGCCAGGACTTAGCATCTGCTAGTTGGAGACGCGGGGGCGGAGGCAACTGAAGAACGCGAAACATGAAGGGTATAGGTATCTGGCTAATCTCCTTGCTTCAACCATCTCGCCCTGTATGACGGACGACCTTGGAAATCTGAATTTCAGGCTTTGCTTCTCAGATGGCTCTCTATTGGGTATACAATATTCGAGATAATACCCCAGAGAGACAGGAAGGAGTCAGAGACAGGGAGAAAGAGAGGAAAAGAAAAAAAATAGAGAGAGAGAGAAACATATAAAATGAGAACGCACGAGCATTATTTGCAACAAGCTGCAAGAGCAACTGTACAAGTCAAATACTTAAGTCGGTAATTGAAAAGTTGGCTAGTCTGCTTTTCTAGCAGTACAGGTATCTCAAAAGGCGATAGTAGCAGTAGTAGTAGTAGTAGTAGTACAAAGTTGAAGGAGGGTTCTCATGGTGAAGAACCCAGCCCTCTTTTGGTGACCTATTCCCTCCAATATGGGGAATAAGAAATGCCACGGAGAGAAATCATATACTCTCACTGTTATTTCCGGATCCCGCCATCGTCACTTTTCATTAATCCATCGCCAGAAAGATATACCTTATCACCCTGACCACATATACCGCTATCCCTGACCCGTCGTCAACCCCAAAATTTTGCAGACCGTAAAAAGAAACTACCGCAACGTTTCCCTTCATACAAGTTGAATGGTGAAATGCCACGAGAACATGTAAATATGATACGGTGTTTTCTCACTGAGGTCGCTTCTTCAATCGAGCAAGGCATACCGAAGGAAATGGAATTGACTGGTCCATGTAGACGAATCATCTCCAATACTAGCTGGTAACTATGCTCTGTGCTTGTTGCCCATATCAGTAAACTTGATTGAGTGCCCCTGAGCTTCAAAAAAAAAAAACCAATGCGCCTCCCTTTGAGATGTGTGGAGCCCATCTAGACTACCACATGGGTACTCATGTGTTCCACGGCCTCCTTAATGCTGCGGAGCATGCGCTGATTAACACAGAAGGGGCAGCGTAATGGCCGATCAGTGCTTGCCATAGCTTGACCGCTTGATATAGGAGTAAGCGTCAAGGAATGTTCGTCAGGGCCAACTGGAGTAAATCTAGCACTGTTTCGGGCCGGGCCCGGTACAGGAGTCGTTAGACCTGGAGCGATAGGTGGGAGACCATGCTCTTGTCGATCTCTCTGCTCGCGAACTGCGGCAGCCTCGGCCTCAGCGTCGGCCTCTTCCTGTTGCATCTGGCGCAATGCATTCTGTAGAACGACCTCGGGATCCTCGGCCTCTGCATATGCATCAGACTCGGCTGGAGGGGGAGGCGCGCCCGTAAGGCCTGGGTGAGTAGGCGGGTTCTCTACTCGACGGATAGCTTCATCACGGACGCGAGCGCAAGTGGTTAGGCTAGCTTCAACACCAACAACCCTTAGTATGGCATCACGAATAGCGGCAGGGCTCGTCTCGGCACTGATGGTCATGAAGCGGGGCACAGCATCGACTAGATAGGGTATATCGTCAGCGGGATTAGGTGCGCTCCCATGACGACGTTGCCGTCTGATGAGAAGCCCGTAGCGCTTCTTGAAGCGATGAATCCACCCAGGTGAAAACTCGGGCGCGGATTCGTCTTTGTAGCGCGGTAGTTGCTGAAAGATAGACTTGGCTTTCTCGGCCAGTTCTTCGTTACTAGGGTTGCGACCCGAGGCGACTACCTGGCCATGCCAAAGTAGGACTAACTTCTCGACGTCGGGCCAGTTCCCGAAACGCAGACGCGAGCCGCTGAATTGGCTGTCATTGTCGAGACGAGCGTACTTGGGAGAGAGAGAATGAGAGATGGTAGATTGGCTAACATGTTGGCCGTACTGGCTGAAGAACCACTCAATGCAGGCTTTATGTGAGGGACGCGTCGTCTGGGAGTGAGCCCAACGACGGAGGGCGCGTCGCTGGTCGAGGGTTAACGAGTGGCGCTCTTTAGGGGTGTGTGCAGTGGGCGACGTATTCCCATCGTGGTGGACGGAAACGTCGACGGTGACGTTGGTAAGCTCAGGGTTGATGTTGTCGGGGTTGATGTTAGGGTTAGGGGTGAGTTCGGGGTTGATGTTGGAATTGCTGTGATTGCTGTCGTCGACGTCTATGTCCACGTCGACGTCGACATCGCCGTCGACATCTGTTTTGAACTCGACGGGGAGATTGCTGCCGTCGTCGTGGGGCGCGTGCTGGTGGACTTGGTGGACCTGGTGCACGTCGGGCAATTGTTGCAATTCTTGATGTGGTTGTTGTTGATGTTGTTGTTCGGCCATTTTCTCAAAGCAGGATGCGACTTTGAATTATCGGTCGCGCGAGAATGCGATGTTCTCGGTGGATTGAATGGAAACCAGGCCTAAGCGTGTTAACGAGGAGAGCGAGGATAAAGGGGCGGCTGGATTTGCTTAACGGAGAAAGCGCAGGGGAGGTTGGCTTCGCGGGCTGGTGGGGCTCTGGTGGGGCTCTGCCAGAGACGGCCTAGGAAAAATAATGGAGCGCCCACTTGGCCAATCAGAGCGGGTGTCTTGGGAAGCGCAGCAACCTGTTTCGAGCATACCGCGCGTGGTCTGTGCTTCATGATTTTCGTGATTGCATGACCGACTTTATGCCAAATCCTAATCATCTCGATAGCTGCCTAAGTTCTCTCCTACCTACTTCATGTAATAATGTGATAATACCTAATTCCTTAGGTTAGGTATCTAGTATCTAACTTGGAACCTACCGAGGTAACAACTGCTTTTTTTTTCGATCTCTCTCTCTCTATCTATCCTATCTTTCTTTTGAGTGAGAATACTACAGCAACAAACATATACGCACGGTCATCGGGCTTATAACAGTATATGATACCTACCGTAACTGCAGATGGGAGGGTAACAGGCTCTTTGCTTCATTCTCTCGTCTAGCAAACAAGTTATGTACTCGAGGGGCTCTAGTAATTCCATGGTCCAAGCTCCTAAGTGGTGATTAGTTAGTTATTTTATATTTGGGTCCAATCTCAATACTGATGGCCAGTCCAACATGAATGGTAGTGATCTCAATGATGATAACCGGCCCATGCACTTGAGATTCCATCCCTTGTCTTATCCATCCCGTCGTATCCATTCGTACATCATACTTATACGTCACAGCCACACCTAGCGTGGCACATTCGCGTGAGTGAGTCTAAGAAGTATATCTAGAGATACCTGATCTCAAACCGACATCTTCATCGCAATCATCTTGTGTGGGTTATAGTCCTTGATAATGAAGTCCTCAATCTTCCACCCGTCGATACTACCGCCTTTCTCCCTCGCAATCTCTAGCGTCGGGAATAGCCGTGGCTCACGCTCAAGCTGGATCTTCAGCGCATCGACATGGTCGCAGTATACGTGTGCGTCGCCCATGACGTGAGTCAAACTGCCGGGGATCAGCTCGCAGACATGCGCAATCATATGGGTGAGCAACGCGTAGCTGGCAATGTTGAACGGCACGCCGAGACCCATGTCGCAGGACCGCTGGTACAGCTGACAATGCAGATGCCCCTGTTTCTTGTGGCTCTCCTCCCCATTTTCCTGCATTTCGCTCGTGTCGGTGCGTGGATATGAAACATAGAACTGCGCAAACATGTGGCACGGAGGAAGCGCCATCTTCTTCATATCGGCCGGATTCCAGGCGCTGAGGATAATGCGACGGTCATAAGGGTTGGTCTGCAGCTTATGTATGACCTCGGCAAGCTGATCAACTCCCTTGCCTGCATAGTCGGTCTTCGCATCAACGTATTCGGCGCCAAAGTGTCGCCACTGAAACCCATAGACTGGACCAAGATCACCGACTTCACGGTGTGACAGACCAATACTGTCCAAATATTCCCGTGACCCATTGCCATCCCAGATCTTGATCCCAGCCTCCGACAGCGCTGTGGACGAGGTATTCCCTTCGATAAACCAAAGAAGCTCGGCAATAACAGCTTTTAGAAATACTCGTTTCGTTGTGAGCAGGGGTAGAATTGGCTGGCCATTCTCATTGAGGGAGAATTTGAGTGGTGCCGGTGCAAAGATAGAGTAAGTTCCGGTTCCGGTCCTACAGATGTCCCTCAAGTCAGAATTGGGTTTCTTTTAAAATACAAAACTGGGTGACTTCTGTAGCCAGAGAAACAATAGTCATCCTCCAACTAGAATCGTACCTGTCTGGCCGGTGTTCGCCGGTAGTCAAAATTTCCTTGACTAGGTCTAGATATTGTAATTCTTCATGCCGCTTTTGTGGTGCCATGGTGCAATTTGTTCTTCAGGAATCATTCGAAGATAAAGCTTCGTGTCCTTGCACTGATCCCCCTTCTATTATTAACTGTTCTTGTGGCTGAAATATCTCGAAGAGTAAAAGAGCAGACGCGTCTTTGGCAGGAAAAGACGCGTAAATTAAAATAGGCGTTAGTAGGTAGATACCTACCTAGGTAGGTAGGTACTAAAGCTGGCAGTTTACTGGACATACAGGAGAATGCCCCGCGCTAGCAAACCTGATAATTATTGTTACTTACGTAAGGCTTCATTGATAATTTGTGAACACCGGTTTTGAGTCACGCTATATCTAGGTACAGTGCAAAGCTACCTTTTTATAATTATTTAGACATTCTTTGACATGAAAGCCGTTGAACTCAATCACACCGCCACCACGAGGAATTCTAGAACTTATGCCATCTAATTGCGTGTACAAATCAAGCTTGAAATATTAGCCAGCTCTGTGATTCGCTTCGCCCTCTGCGCATTGCCTCGCCTATGAATAAATCAACGGATATCAACAGGATGCCTTTGCTTGCGCTTTCTCTTCGCTCGGCCCAGGCACAGAGAGTAACTTCGAGATGCCTCTCCGTTGACCGCCCCACCGCCACGCCTTGTTGACTTGTGAGAACACGACCTTCAACATAAAATTTCACGACAGTTGAGAAGCAAAAGGTGCTCCTCCAATCCAATCCAATCCATCTTGTACTTTCCGTTGATTCATTTCGTCAACTTCGTCACTCCAACTACCCCCAACCCTTCCCAGACCCAGGCCCCTAAAGCAGCAACAGCTGTACGAGAAAAACAAATGTGGTAGAATCAGAAAATAGAAAGAAGTAAAATACTAAGAATAATAGAAGGCAAGATTTGTTGACGGTGGAGCAATAGAAGCTGAGACACAAGCAGGAACCGGGTCCCGTGAAGGAAGAATCGATCCAGTTTACGCCCAACCAAAACCAATAAAATCTCGATAAGAATGTTCCATAAATATTTTGCCATCCCAGAATACCTCCAGCAGGTATAAATAAAAATAATTCAAGGTATCAAAATAAGGCGTATTGGAGAAGAGGAGAATGGCAACTCGTACCACAAAGGCCCACAGATAAATCTTATTGATGTTAGATCGGTATACACTTCGCTGTACGAACAGTCTCCAGTCGCTATCTGTCCGAACACGAATTGGGTTAAAGATTTTTTTTTGTTGTCGAGTGCGGCTGGTGCACGGCAGGTGCTGGTAAGAAAGGTGTTATGAGTTAATAGTGACAACAATATGCTAGATATGTGCAGCATTGCATAGATGCCATGCCTGAGTCATAGCCAGATGTGGTTCCCGGTCGTAGATGCTAGCAATAAAATATAAAGGGTATATCGCGAAGAATCGTTAACCGTGGAGGATATTAGTGAATAATCGAGATCTATACTTGCTCAACAAAAATGACTAGCTTGTCGTTATGTTCTAGGGCATAGCTGAGATCATTATTACTCATGAGGTTCAGCTTGTCACCGGTTGCTTCATCTCGGTAGAACAGCTGGATCTGTTCGCCACTTGCTACCTTGGTACGTTCTCTTATCTTCTCATATAGCTGTGGGAAGTTGATATCGCCAGGTACTCGGATCAAGAAGGTGTCATTGTTGAAATGTATCTTGACTTTGATAGCCGCAGCATTTTGGCTGATACCTGGTGATAAGGAAGATTGAGAAGGCTGCGAGAGCGACGATGCCTGGCGAGTCATCTGTGTCTGTCCATTCTGCATCTGTCGCGGAGCAGCAGATAGTCCGGAATATCCGGGGCCGTTCAAATTGTTGCGTGATGATTGTCGAGAGTGCTCATCCTTCGGCGAGTCTGTGGACGATCGTGATCCTCCCGATAAACGATATTCGTCACCCAATGAGTTGGCATCGACTTCATAATCACCCTCCCTTGGGGCGAAGAACTGCTTGACTAAGTTGCACTTAGATATGTAGGCTGGTTGTCCTAATAGATTTTTGACGTATTGATCCAAATTATGCAGCCGGCCTTCGGTGATTGCATCGGTTACGTAGTTGACAGGACCAGGCATATACGGTAGTGATCGTTTCTGTGTGCCTGTATTTCCGGCTTCTGCCGGGAATTCGGTTAAGAGAGCAATCTGGAAATCATAGAAATCCTCGTAATAACGTGAAAGCTCCCAATGACGACCATCCTCCAGAGCCGCTTCAATGACGAACCAATACTTGTCTTCGGCGAAGCAGTATCTGGGGATTTTAGCAGAAATAGGCGCATATAGCTGGGAAGTAGGCTTGGGACCCATAAGATTTTGCTGCAATGTGTTGCGTTGTGACTGTAACGCGCCACTCTGCTGTTGTGGCTGTAGACAAATGTGTAAGCATCAGAGCATAGCATTGAGCCATAAAACGAGTTCGACTTACAAATGAAGAAGTTTGCTGTTGGCTCTGGCGGTTGCGTTGCTGTTGAAGACTCAGGCGTTCCATGCCTTGCTCCAAAGGCTGCTGTCCCGGTGGCCCACCACCCTCGAACTTGCCCAGCGTGATACTGCTATTCTTGTAGTCGGCAGCCATCTTCTTCCACTCCTCTACTCGGGGAACGCCAGCACGTTTGACAGCGTCCTGCGCATTTGCGACAGCAGTATCAGTTGCCATGTCTCTGATTTCGACAAATGACACGGGAATGAGTCCCGGACCACCAAGCCGGCCAATAGGCTTAGCGACGAACCACTCTGGATTTGATTGCGCAATCACAATAATTGCCTCTCCAGCTTTCGCCTCTAATTCGTCGGGTCTTTCGGCTTGGAAGTCGTACATGACGATACCATACACCATAGCGCCCGTTTTCCCTATCGACTTAGAGCTTCGTTGACTGAGCGCTGGCGTTGGTGGTACTGTGTTAGTTTCTGAGAAGCCAGAGTCGTGGTCTTCCTTCTTAGCAGGTAGTCTTGGACCACTATCAGACTGTCCGCTGTCCCTCTCGGTACGCCCCAGCGCTTGGAAAAATGAAACGGGGACAAGACCCCGTGCATCCGGGAGGGCTGGGTTGCATGCTTCATACCAGTCGGTGTCCTCTTCACGGCCGATAACATGAAAGAAGTCACCACGTGAAAAGCTCAGCTCTTGTGTCGACTGAGCTTCATAATCATAAAGTGCTCGAATAACCTGATACGTGCGATATTAGCTTCTCGTTAACAGGGACAACACCAAGCATTGACTGTGAGACCTATCAACTACAAACCTTTTTAGGAGGGACTATGGCGACGGCAGATTTGGGCGCGATAGAGATTTGTGGACTTTTGTCCTTGTCGCCCTTAATAGATCTTCTGAGAGCCTGCATTGCTCGTCTCATATCAGCAACAGTACGAACAGAAGTAACCGAGTTACGGTTCGAACACGCGCGCGACATTTTGCTATTCAGTTCCACGGTAGAGTAACATGCACATTGAAGTGAATAACACGACAAACACGACGAGCAGATGCAAGGGATGAGGGGGGATTAGTTAAGTAGATTAATGGCGCACCTTCATCGTCGTACAAGCGGTTTGTTGGCGCTAGCAGCGTACTAGATGATCAGCTGTGGTGAGATGTCAAACTGGGGCAGAATGAGAACAGCGCAGAGAGAAGAATGGCTGGCTCGTTGGCTCCCCTCTGTGATTCAGATTGGGTGACACCAATGAAAGCACCTGAGAAGACAACGAACGTTCCGTCTCCCGGCTGGGTTCGACACAGCAGTTCTGGATCAGTGTAACAAATGCGGTGGCGGGTTCCGCGGCCGAGATACGATCAAGAGACGGCGAAAAGTAGTGGGCGGCGGATTTCTCAAGGTGAGACCTTCTGCAGCTGGGGCTCGAATTGCTCGAATGATTTGACCGTCCAATGCTGTCCCCTCGATGCAACAAGCCGGGTCGTAAAGAATGCTAAGCAGCTGCGTCCTTATTTTTAGCACAGCGTGCGGTCGAATGAAAAACACAGGCGATAAGCCAGGGTTCTTTCGGGATCGCTGATTCTCAGTCCTGCTCTTTCTCTGTCGGTTTGCCTCTTCTCTTTGTCCAAATTAATCCAGCACAAATCAACACCCAGGTCCGCGTGGCTCAGATTATTGTCGGGTACCAATTGTCCTCGAGCGGGCTGCGTCAAACGGCAAGTCAGATGGGAAGCCCGTCGGCTGTATAATCGACGTAGGCGCTGAGCTGTAGAATAACGAACCGTGTCCCGTCTGCTCGGTAGGTGGTGGCAGGTTGAAGGAGGGACAGATGGAAAGGAGGGACTCGAATGAATGGCAGTGAAGTGGTCGGACTGCTGCACTTTGGGGGTGGGATGGAGCGGAAAGGATTGGACTGACAGATTTGGGGGGGATGCTTTAGTGGAGATGTTGGCGCAGACCTCGCAAGGTTGCTTGGGCTCTGCGCAGTAGTCACCAAAGGGTAACGGTCGAAAAAAAAACAAAAGCGGGGCAATCATGTTAGGTACCACAAGGATTAGGTAGGTAGGTAAGTAGGTAGATCGGGGCAGATATTAGGGGCCCTGTTAGGTAGATACTAGGTATGTAAGTACCTACCTAGGCACACAGCTAACCTACTTCAGTACTTAAGTATGTAGGTATGTAGATGGCACCTCTGCTTACCTTAGTTAGGTAGTAGTATGCCGGCATTGGCCCTGCTGTGGCTCTGTGGGAAGAGCCCACAGTTAGCAATTTACGTAATTACCAACGCTCTGCAACACCCAAGGCATAAATGCAAAGTAGTTCCTAAACCTCCAGTGACTTTGGAGATACCTACCCGCTGTAGCAGAACAGATAAGGAAGCCTTGGACATTGATTTCCGGACACCAGCCGGCAAGTCTTGCTCGAAAACATGGGTAGATGGAACATACTACCCAGGTACCAAAGTCCGAAGAATGCGTAATGTAGGGACGCGATAAGAGCTATTCGCAAGTTCAATTGGATCGAAACGTGGGACTGCAGGTAATCTGTAGTAATTATCCGTACGTATCCTAAAGCTTGCAGTTGATGCGATTCAAACCTTCTGACCAGATAGTACTCATACTCCAACACTCTACAATTCAATCAATCAACGATATCCAGACACAAGTCTACAGCTAAAGGTAGGCAGAGAGGGAGAGAAGGGAGGCGACAAGTGCGACAGTGGCGGAAAGGCCATTTACAAAAACAGGTGGCACGCGCGAAGAGACATGCACGTGCGGTCTAACCGTCACCAGAACAGACCAGAATAAACCTACACTAATTAAAGAGCGTACCAACTGATTGATTCATTTGTCCTCTACCCAACATTACCCATATCGCGCGGGGGCCATTGCGGCCTCTGCAGCAAGGATTGGGGCGACTATCAACCAATCAAGCTTTGTACTCGCTGCGTATCCGCCTAGTTGGGGCAGCTCGCCATTAAAGTCTACATACCTGTACTCGACGTGCCATCGGTGTAATTAGCCCAATACTACCCAAGTAGGTAACTGTAATGTACATAGGTTAGGGAGAGTAAGTACTTGAATAGGTAGGTAGGTAACTTACCAGTTAGATATTCAATTGCGCTAAAGCTCACTCTACTTATAGTAAACACAATATTGTCTACCTATGTATGTATACATAGGTGTATACTTATAAGGGACATCTACTGTAAGGGGGTGATGGTGGCTTGTCTTTTAATGTACGATCAAGGAGATCCTATGCCTTAAATCAAGCCAAGTCTTAAAGAATAGCCGAGTGAGCTTATTATGTAGGGGCAAGCAGATCATATTAATAGTGCTCCCTATCTTAAGGCACTTATGTACTGTCAATCCTTCCTCCATTTCAGGTCTTGTAATTCCCGCCCTAGATAGACGATCTTGTAAGTTGTATAAGATAGTACTATAGGTATCCAATATTTGGCCTAGATTTCACTAGGTATCTTTATTCCTCAACAACAGCATCTACATTATTACACATATAATTAAGTACACGGCAGAGTACTTATAACTCGGTGTCTGTTCAAGGACCAAGCCATTAACAGTACCTCGCAATGCTGTCATAGGGTGGTGTTATAGGTGTACCTCACACTTTAACGATCTTCAGAGAGGGTCTTTCTCCGCAATTTAAAGGTCTAGAACCACCCGATAACGAATAAAGGTAGCGATGGCTGGTCATCTATGGTGGGCCGGTCAAGTTAAGCATGTACATAGAAATAAGTGAGATTGGCTACCTATTTTGTAATCAGTACTGTATTGTTATTAACAACTGTCTAGATATATGTGCCCATAGCACAGTAAGTTGAGAGTTTACAAGTAGATGGCATACTACCTACCCGTCATGAGATGCTGTCTGACTACTCGCAGCCAATAATACACGACATTCTAAGCTAGCAGGACATCCGCCTGGCTTGCAGGTACAAGTTGATATCGACAAATTGTGTGCTGACGCGAAGCCCATCTGATGGGGTTTGTCAAAGCACGTTCAATGGGTATTCCTGAGCTTCATGGCATGCCCTCTCTTTACCCAACTTGGCATTCATAGCCATGACAACCTTTACAAAGCACATCTTATCTCTAACAGGCCTCTACATCTTCAGGAGTGTCTTATCACATTAGCTTGTGTGGAGTGCTGCTTCCGTGTGGAGGGGGATAGCCTGGTTTATTGAGAACGTGTCTCTGCATGACAGTGAAATGCTGCACAAGAGGTACCTCGAATGATCAAGTTGATTCTCATGAATTGCGATCCCGTCGAGCTTTGAGAATTCAATTTTGGGGAGGCCTATGCCAGTTCCCAAAAGGGTACGCTTCCTACAGTGGGTTGCCTCATTTCATCAATGCATGCAGGAAGGACGCCCAAAAGACGAGGGGGGCGACAGCAAATCGCATAATAACTCCGACTCAAAGCATAAAGCTTCGATCATATTCTAAATTTCAATTGGATACTAAAAGGATGACGTAGTATATATGAACAGTATCAAGATGATATGGACAAGCATTTATCACGAGTTTATCCTGGTTAAAGACCAACGGAGCGGGTGGATACGGATACCTCTACCACCAATCCTTCCAGAAGCCATCCCGTCTCGAAATAAGCTGGGACAGGAAACATCATGCAAAACCGACGACCACAACCCCTCCGAGGGGTGAGCGACCTCAAAAACCAACGAGGCCACGTCAGGTTGCCAATTTAGGTTACTTCTTTAGGCCATTGTCAATGCATGGCCACGACGGATCACCACGATCCCGGGACGATCCCCAACGTGATGAAACATCGGGCAGGGCTGAAACGCAACCGAATATCGCGAGAGGCGCAGGTCGATAGCCAGATAGTTAGAGACCCACCCCAAGAGCCTGGATGTTCAAGACGTGCATTATAGTGATCCTTAGCAAGAAGGACCTCGCTGGCCGAGGTTTCGCTTTACAAGGCCCGGCTGCCGAGATTCTAGGCTTCCGAGAGATCTTCGGAATGAAGAACATATGATTTCGGGAAACCCCCGCTGGAAGCGAAATCGTATACACCGAAAAGGCCCAGGGCCAGAATGGTGAGGTAACGTACGGCTCCCTCGCCCGCTAAGAGTGAGACGAGTTTGTGCAAGGAATACAGAAACAAATGCTCGCAAGCTCAACCACTTGAGGAGAAGGTCAGTATTGTTCACGCAGTATCGCATCATTAATAACAGACTCACTGTTTGCAGTGGTCTCGTCTTTTACTAATTAAGATGACGCGTCTTGTATCCCAAACCAACTGTGCCACTTGCATCCATTCATTCCAACCAAAAGTTCCCTGATCCTTTTCTTCACAGAACATAGCAAGCCTCGACAACCCCTCCTCCTTCCCGAAGCCACGGAACCTCACAGTTTAATTGCAGCCCTGCCCAAACCCGTTGTATCTAGGTACCGGTATGTCTAAGACACCAAAGGACATGCCATACAGCGCGATGTACCAGCCACGGCCAATGCAAGTCTTAGCCTGGTCAAAAGTTCGTCAGCCCCTCCAATTTGTGGATGGCGTAATTGTCTGCGTACCTTGCATGACTAGCTGCTGCTAACGTGGACGTCTTATTGTCTGTATGCGGGAAAAGAAAATTCCAACTCTATATCCAGCTCCAATTGCGACCGGTGCATCCGATCTGCGTCCTTATTGAGATACTCTCCCCCCCTGCAGTATTCTAGCCTTCTTTCTAAAGCGCTCCTTGTACAACATGCGCACAGGGAACACTTGACGATAATGCTACTATTGAAGCTATGTTTATCGTGTCTACGTATGGGTCAGGTAGGGTAGAACATCGGTTCCAATGTACTTAAGTTGTAATTCCCTGAACATTCCTGTGCTTGCAACAGCTTCCAAGATATGTGCGATATTTATAGGATTCAAATCTATTCATCCAAAGCAGATGGACTGAGCAATCATATTACAGGCCACCGTTCAAATGAATCCATTCTGATATACGAGAATCCAAAGATGAGAACCTTATTGAACCTCCCTACTCATGTTCAATTTTAGTAAGATTGGAAATCAATTGACAATGAAGCTTAAAATGGCCAATGTACATTAAGGAACGACTATAGCACATACATTAAGCCTAAGATCATATTCCTGATTTCTTGAATTCATTCTGTAAGTTAACCGTGTATCAACGCTCAAGACTAATGCTGAGCCTTTATCTATAGACTATCAAAACGGTTTATCACGAAGAGCATGTTAACCATGGACAAAGGACAAGGGCCTCGCAGCAAAGCGCGAAGACTGGCCGATGCTCATCGTCCTAAAGGGTATCTTCATCACATGAACTGAACCACTTGGTCCATGAACACTCCAAAGCCTATGCACCATTTGACTCCAACACGTTGATTCCTTCCGCATCAACCATTCCAAATCAAAACGCCAGCCGCATTGAGATATGCCAAAAGGCAGCACCAACTCCGAGTAAATGTCCTTGACGCCGTACAAATGCATAGTCAGAAAGGGCTTTGCTCCGTTACAGTGTCATGCTATGACATAACCAGAAGTTGATATGCAGGAATCGTCAATCATCTCAGAGATGAAAACTCGGCAGGGCGTGGAAATAGACTCTACGGGCCAGTCATCCTGCCCAGCCCTTGAAAATGTGCGAAAATGGGCGCGGTGCCGAAGAGAAAAATAAAGATAAAAAGGAAGCAAGTTGGGACGAAACATCATATCTGGCCTTTCAAGTCGACTCTACTAAAGGCTTGAGCCCTTGCATTTTCGAAAATCTGACCGGCTTTTCCAGTCAAGAAAGCAATGTATTCTTCGCGTTCTTCAAGCAACTCTTGGTTATAATCAATGATAAACTGAGCAGCTTCAGCATCTGATTCGAAGGCCAATTCTTCGGTGACATAACGTAGTTTGAGTTCAGGTTTAAATCTAGGAGTATGTTAGCATGGCACAAAAAGAAAGCGGTAGGAGAGGCTCACGCTTTACACATGTTCGCAAGTGCAGCAAGTCGTTCCCGTTTGATGAACATATCCATGAGATATGCTCCCATGTTTGGGACGTCCAGATAAAGCTGGAAAAACTTGTGATAGTTACCCAAGGCCAACGCCGAACGCACATTCAAAGCATGTTTGACAGGTGCCTCTTCTTTTTCTGCTGTGGTTAGATCCGCAATAGCATCGTTCAACGCCGTTCGGTTCGCAGTGTGAATGAAATACAATATACGATATGCCTTAAACTCGATGGGGTTGCCCTTGATACCAGCCCTGTAGAGAGCACGTAACTGTGTCTGGCACTGGTTATACTCACCGAGATCCCCCTTCTCTAAGGCAATACGAGCGTGAATTTCGTAGACAGAAACAGTAAATTCGTTCCTAACGTGTTGAACTGTCAGGTCCTGTCGGAGGGATTTAAACTGGTCGCAGATATAGTTATAGTTATTCTCCTTTCGCCATTTCTTTTTCAATAAATCAAGAGTTTGGTGCAGAACATATTCAGGACGGACGTCCTCAGGCTTGGGAGCAGCCGTTAAGCGTAGGTATCTCTTTTCAAGATTCTCATTGAGACCAACTATGGGTCCCGAGGGTGGTGAAGGACTGGGCGACCGGTACGATGATTGATACCCGCCGTCACCGCGGCGCTGTCTCTTTTCGACGTTCTTCTGAAACTTACTTTTTCCCGTGAGAGGGCCCTCCATTAATAGGCGTTTGTCGTTCACCGGCTTGCTAATGCGATCTTCGATAGAAAGAGCCTTGGTACTACGCCAGGGCACTGTGGAACCATTAGTCTGATCGGACTCGCTAAGATCCGATGACTTTCTTTTCTTAGAGTTGACAGCAAAGGAGGGCGACTTGGATTGAGCGTTCGCAGGGCCTACAGCTGCCAGCAAGGTTTGTTGGCGTTCCTTCAGAATTAATTGCTGTGGTAAGGGCATTTCATCCCAGTTGGTTGTAAACATGGATCCCCTTTCCTGTTCAGACCGGATGATCTCCTTGAGTCGAGACTCCTTCTCGTCGCGGCCAACTCCGGGGATTTCGTTAGATGCCTGGAACGTTCGTTGAACATAATTACGGACAGACTGTGGCCAGTCAAATTTCTGCTGCTGTTGCTGCTCGGAAGGAGACATTGTGCTCGAGGGTTGGGGTGGATTAGCAGGTGCGCTGTAAGAATACTGTTGTGACGATTGGTATGCCTGACCAAAGCCTGGTCTGATTGTAACAGGCGTGTAGGCTGCGTCTAGTTGAGCACACACGTTAGCATTAGCTGGCTAGGTTAATAGCTGGGGAGGCAGAGAGGTAGCGTACTCATCTGTTGAGGATAATAAGGCGCTGGCTGGATGCCCGGCGCTGGCGGCATTGCCCAAGACATGACAGAGGCGAAGGGGTTGGTTGGTCAAAGGCGGCGTTGGTCGGTATGGTAGAGCGGTAGCACGATAAATTGGTTAGTAAAGAGTCAACAGACGTCACGGGGTTTAAAAATGGGTCCCAGAAGCCTGAAGAAAAACAAGAGATACAGTGCCACAAAGATGAGTCAGTGGTGGATGCTATGGATAGAATCACGACGGGTAGCAGCAGTACGAGATGAATGATGGAGAAGAAAGAAAGGCTGGTTATTGTGTGGATGTGGGAGAAATGCCAGGAGTGGGAGAAAGAGCGAATTTCAGTTGGTTTGGGGCAGAGGGCCACCTTGGCCACCTGACAGCTGGCCGGCGGAATCAGAAGTGGCGTGGTGGTCTGAGCGTCCCTGCGTCGCGCTTACTTACATAAGTACAGTAGTGCCTATGTACATAAGGTGCCTAGGTACATATATCATGTACCTTCATATTTCCTTGTTCAGCAATATCGAATGTAAAAATGCTCTACTTTTATTAATGGTCAGTATAAAACAATTATTAACAACCATAGTAAATATTTTGGGAAGAGCTAACGCGATTCTATGTCGGCCCTACCAGCCACCTATCTACAGAGGCAACTAAGATTGCATCATCAAGAAGATGCAGTCCTACCTCATTAAAACCATGCCCGAGGTGACCAATCAAAGCAGATATACCGATACTAATACAGGTGTACTGTATGTGTATCGTCCATCTTAAGCTACCTCTAGGTAAGCGCCTGGATACCACTCTAGATACTGATCCAGCCCATAACGAGCTGTTTTTGAGGCGATGTTTGATTTAAGGAGTAAAAGCATAACATGCAAGTCGCCTATTAGACATCCATGTAGAAAGTACCTGGGTAGGTACATAGAGAGAAGTTGTGGGGCAGAGCTGCTGTCAACCTTCACTTTAGGCCCCGCCTCCGCCTCCGTCCTGGCTTCAATCAACCCGCCATCATGTTCCTGAAGCAGATAGACCTCACAACAGCCCTTCGACCCCAATATCTACCCGATGAGGTACTTCTTTTCGTCCAAGATAATGTAGGACTCTACGAGGGGTAAGTCTGCATTTCAAGATCGTCTGCCCTCTGGTTGCCACTTCTAACAACAAGGTGCCCACGCACACCATAGCAAGTACAAGCTCCCGAACCAACAGTGTGGTCAAGTTTACTTGACAACACATCGCATTTGCTATGTCGACACACAACAGCCTAGAAAACACTCGGTTGCCCTAGACCTGAAGGACGTCGAACGCTATGAATTCTACGCTGGATTCCTCAAATCATCGGCAAAGGTGACGCTGATCCCTAAGCCGGCAAAACGCGCCTCATTACAGTCGAGAGCCGTAGCCGCCGCCGCCGCCGTAGCATCTTCTTCGCCCCTACAAACATCAGACTCCTTAATACGCCCTCCGCCTTCCAACAGCTCCCAGGCAAGCACGGCGACATGGATATGTTCAATATGTAGCTTCCCCAATCCCGTCCCGTCCAACTTCGATCCTACAACGGCAACCGCACATACCCCGTTGCCGCCATGTCTAGCATGTGGGATCAAACCAGCGTTAACCGAAGTACTGAAGGCAGCTATATCAAACGTCTCGAGCCGTCAGTCAAAGTCCGGACTCGACAGTATTGACAACTTCGACTCTTTGCAAATCAGCTCATTCCCAGGAAACTCTGCAAACACGGACGGCTTCCAGTGTCCTCGCTGTACATTTTCCAACCATCCTTCTTTATTGTCGTGCGAAATATGCGGTGCTCCTTTGTTATCTAAAGGTGTCCCCACGACTGCGACACAGCCACCACCCAGAACTGACTCCCCAGGACCAATGCTGACACTAGGAGGTGTTGCAGGCCTGGAGAATCCCGAGAGTGTTAAAATCTCTTTCAGAAATGGTGGCGAGAAGGTATTTTATGAGAGACTGAAGGGTGCGATGACCCAGAGGAAATGGCTTTTGCACGAAGCACCACCTGTCCCTAAGAGTGGTATGGCTAACGGAGGAGGCGAGGCGGATTCAATATCACGGTCCGATACCGGCTCTGGCCGCAAGAAGGCGGCGGGGATAGCGGGATTGGAGCAGATGGGTCTAGATCGGCGGAAGAACAACGAGCGGATGATTGGCAGCAGCTTCGAAGATCTGGAGGCATTGATGGCATCAGCCAAAGAGATCGTAGCCCTAGCAGAGTCCTTTGCTCGACAAGTCGGAAATGGGACAGATAGTGCTACCACCGAAGCAAACGCCTTACTGGCTGAGTCTGCGAGTCAGCTAGGACTTATTACCACCAAGGATATTGTTGGGGGCCGAAGTGGCTCGGGGTCTGAATCCCTCTATCTATCTGAGCTATCAAGGAACTTAGCTGAGTTCCTGACAGACGATGCTCGGGGTGTGCTCAAAAAGGCTGGCGGTATTATGACTTTGGTAGACCTATGGGCGATGTTTAACAGAGCACGTGGAGGTGTCGAGCTTGTCAGCCCAAATGATTTCGAAAAGGCGGTTCGATTATGGGAAAAGCTGAAGCTCCCTGTTCGTTTGCGAACTTTCAAGAGTGGCGTCATGGTTGTACAAAGCCGCGACCGAACTGACGAGATCACTATCAAAACAATTTTGGCATGGCTTAGAGATTTGCATGAGATACCCCCAGACAGAGATGTACCCTGGGATTGGCAGGTGTTTGGGCGTGGAGTTACAGCGCATGACACTGCCGACCGGTTTGGATGGAGCATTGGTGTGGCCGAAGAAGAGTTAGAGATGGCTGAGGAAAGAGGCGCATTATGCCGAGAAGAAAGCCTAGAAGGCGTTAAGTTTTGGGAAAACTTCATTGACACAGGCGAGCATCGTCATCGGTCCCGACAAGCTACGGATGCTGATAAAATTCTTGAGGTTTTGAGTGCTACTGGCATGATTTGAGCGTTCACGGCGGGAAAATCATTGGCCAGCGGCCTCTCAATTCTAGCGAGAAGTTTCTGGGCCCGAAGATAAGCGGCGTGTGCTTTATATTAGTCCCTAGAGTTGTCTTCGTTGTTTGTACCGAAGCAAAACCAGAACATATTCGTGCCCAACATCGCTTGAATCAGAAATCCTAATATCCAAACAGTCTGGCTATGAGTTCGGCTATCTGCTCCCTTAGCACCAGATCCCGAGAAAATTGTACAGTTCTATAAATCTTAGACATGTGGCATTAGCCAACATGAGTCTATAATAGTTTATCCACTACGAGAGCCTCTCCATCAAGTTCCTGCGAATCTTCATGTTAACTGTGCCTCCAAGTCCGAAAGCCGGAACAATTCGACCAACTCTGGCAGCACAGCTGATCAGCCAATTCTTCCTTATCAATGTCCAACGGTCAGCCCACGAAATACCACCGACACCAGTAGGACGATTATAAACGTCCAATCCTAGAAGATGTATAGGGGTTGAGAACAATTGAACGGCGGCTGGTGCTGCAAACTGAGCGATAGTTTCGCCACTGACTCTCCGGCGCATTTCGGCACTCAGACGCTCCGATACAACAGGACCAAGCAGCGGTGGCACATTGAAGGACGCAAAGATCGTCAAGCAGTCACGCAGTGCGAAGAGTCCGTACGTGGGCAGCGGTACGGGACGTGGCGGACCTCCCGGTCCAAAAAGCCTGACATATACCTGATCTTTGTATATGCAGAGTCCGACATTGGCAGCTGAGGACGCGGCAAACTTCTCCGTTCCTGAAGATACAAATGTGGCGGGCTTGCCGCGCATTGTTGAAGAGACTGTGTCGAGCGTATTCGCCGTCAGATACGTGCCACCATACAGCATGAAGATGAGCGCCACCGGTCGCGAAAATAGCATTATGTGAGGACGGGTAACTAGAGCGCGTAGAGAGGTCTTGATGCTTTCCGTTAGGGTGCTTCTGCCCGATGTATTTTCCATAATGGACCTATCCAATGATTCTTGTCAGTTTCTTGGGACACAGGGGCTGGTGAGCATAGCAGAGCCAGTAGTGGTTTTAGTACAAACCTGTCAATGATAGAAATAAGAGGCGCTATCAAGGACGCCGCGCACGTAGCACTCAGAGCATCTGCGCCGAGCCGGAGGCCTAGGTTTCTCGTATTCCATTGGTCGGACACCTTTGAGGGCATATCAACGGTCTGTTGTTTGGGAGATATCGGGATAGGTTTTGCTTCTAGCGGTAGACCAGGCGGCGGCACTGGCTCAGGTAGGTCAGAAGCACTGTTGGTCTTCATGATTAAGTCGGGGTCGCTTCGAAGTCTGACCGTCGTTCTCCAAGGAAAGCCGTCTAGGTATCAATTGAACGACACTGCCAAGGTCCAAAAGTGCAATCCTAACTGTACCCGTGGTCGGGAGAAAGAGCGGCAAGAGACCAAGACACTTTGCGGCCCATTGGAATCAGAAAATTATATTATTTTTCGGGGGTGATTGGCCATGTAGAGGCTGCTATCCCAACCAGCTAGTAATCAACTGCTGTTCGCGCAGATCTCGATCTGATTGGCAAGAGGAAACCTCCCGACGAGCTGATTCCGAGGCCAAGCAGGAAGAGAGACGATATCAACAAACCGTGGCGCGCTGGCTTTGCAAATTAAGGGAACACCATGTTGATCAGACTCAGGAACCTAGATACACCATATATAGTGTCCCCCAATATGAGCAATAGCTCGCTCTGACGCTACCTTAGTTTGCGCTGTGATCCTGTTTGGCGGGCACTTGGGAATTTGGGAGGGGCCCGGCATCGGAGCTAAAACGCCCGATAACACGCCATCGCCTGTAGATAATGGCACAGTGCAACCGTCTTGCATCCTCGCGAGCCTATCACCATTGATGCAATTACCCCCAGGCTCTGTTGTTGATTGTTTGTGCAGCGCCCGGCCCTTGATTCGAACCGGGTCTGTCTACATTCTGGCAATTGTCATACCAGTATGAATCGAATTCCATGATCTCTCGTCCTCCAATCTAATTGCCGGTGCTACGGTACACAGGTATTGTAGGTACTGTGCCTGCAAGACGTGAGCTAGACCACCACCTGCGTACGGTACGGTAAATTTACATTGTCTCTGTGGCTTCATCAATGTTTCAATTCAGATTCTAGTCACTGATAAGCCAAAGAGGCTCTTTCATATACTCCGTAGACTTTTCGACGTAGTCCGAGATCAAGTGGTGGGGGATTCTGAGCCGTGAGTCTCATGTTCGGCGTGCTTACACAAGATTGCTAATGACTAGGTACTGGATGCACTCAGCCCATATTAAGGGGCGCATATCGGTATGAAGAGTTGTTGAAAATCTTAATAAGCTGCGAGCCAAGCTCATACTATTCACAAAAGAGGGAGAATGAGAGGGAGAAAAAGACAAAGTCTCGCAGCAAACCAAAGCATAGGGGCAGGGGCGGGGGCGGGTTCGTGTGCTATACGCTCCAGGCTGCCGTATTTCTTCCCAGGCGGGTATGCAAGACCGCGTAATCCGGTCGACCTTCAACTGTTAGACAAAATCCCTACGGTTCGATTGTGTAGATTACTTTTAATGATTATGTGAAGTATATTCACCTCTGCTGCAAGTCCCAACGTTCTTTCAATATGGTTATCGACAGGTTGACCCCCGAGATATTTATCTCGGCTCCTCGAAGAGGACCAGCGGTGCCTAATGATGATGGCACGCTTGCTTTGTATACCGAGTCAATTCACCAGATAGGTGGGAAGACTCGAAGATACATATACATTCTGAATATCGCAACGAGGTTATCCTCATGCATTCTACACGACGACCAAGCCTACGAGCCTAGTTGGCTTGGGGATGGTACTAATACGATTATTTATCTCAAGAGTGGAGGCATGGGAATTACGTTCCTTCTTGTTATCAACGTTGACAGATCTCCTCCTGAACCTTCTATTGTCGGACACATTCAAGGGCCGGTGCGTGGGCTTAAGACTAAGGCCCTTGGTAATGGGATTCTAGCGTTCACGATTTTGGGCTGCGTAGATACAGATGGGAAGCTCCGAAATACGAAGAACAGAAAAGTCCACAATGGAAGAGTATACTGTTCACCTCGGCTAAGATACGTAAGTTGGAGCAAGTATAGGTTGATAGAGCGTGTTCTGAAGAGCTGTATAACAACCACTAACTTCGTTGTCAGGACGATCTGAAGAATGAGCCTCATCCATACACTATTTGGTACTCGACACTATCTAGGCAAGAAGGCGACTGGAGAATTGCTGGAGATTTACATAATGCTCTGGACTCTACTGGTCTGCGTATACCCCTGGAGGAGAGTGGCCTTTATGAAGATGCAAAATCTCAGTACGATATGTGCGAGAATGGAATAATCATTACTGCGGAGAGCCCAGAGTATCAAAATCCCGGCCCAAGCGGCACGAGCAATATCTATTTCATTCGTATACGATCATTTGAGAATGGAATCATTGAGGCGCCGACTAAGATCGAGACACAAAGTGAAGGATGTCAAGCTATTTGCACCATGCCGCAATTCAGCCCGGATGGTGCTTTAATATCCTTCTTGTGTAATCAGACAGTGAATCGGGAATGGACGGAGATCTACGTATATCATACTTCGGCGTCTCAAAGCGCTGTCAACGTCTTCGGTATGGTGACTGGTAGACCGTGGGATCTAGCTCCAACTAGCTTTCGGTTTTCCGCAAACGGTCATTCCTTGTATATCACCGCGGAAGACTGCGGTCAAGTCGGCCTCTATCGCTTGAACCTTCAACCGCATGCGTATCCTGTGCCTCTATTGCGGTATGGCACGGTGTCCGCCTATTATCCACTTAGACGAAGTGATAACGGCGAAGTCCTAGTGACGAGTTCGAGCTTCGTAGAAAGCTGTTTCTACCAGGTCATCAGCGACGATGCTGCTGTTATGCTATCCTCATCATCCGATCACGGGTCTAAACTTGGTTTATCGCCGAAGCAGGTTTCCGAGATATATTACGAGGGCGGTGGTGATTACATCGTTCATGCGTGGGTAATGAAGCCTCAGTCTTTTGACGAGACGAAGAAGTACCCATTGGCAATATTGGTTCATGACGCCGCGGGCTTTAGGTCATGGCTTAACGCATGGGATATGAAGGTAAGGAGAACTTTCCTTGAATAAGAGAAACAGAAAATACCTAGTCTGATATTCACTAGTGGAACGCCGCTGCGTGGGCCGAACAAGGTTACGTCGTGGTTCTTCCTAATATCACAGGCAGTACTGGGTACGGTCAAGACTTCGCAGCAGGTTCGTGTAACTGAAAATCTGGGATGGGATTGATTTTAACACAGAGTATATAGCTGTTCATAACGACTGGAGCGGCCGGCCGTACGACGACCTGGTCAACTGTCTATATAATCTGAGGGACATGCCTGGCGTCGATGTCGACAACGCGATCATTGCCGGATCGGGACACGGTGGCTATCTGATGAACTGGATCCAAGGACATCCTCTGGCCAGACGCTTTAAAGCCATGGTTTGCCACGCTGGCGTATTCAACACTCAGTCCATGTCAATTCATGGCAAATCTGGTGAAGAACTTCCGTCATCGGGGACAGATCTGGCAGCACTGCATCGCTGTAACCCGGCACGTTCGGGCTTACTGCAAAATTGGAAAACCCCAATGCTCGTGATACACAACGAAAGGGATAGCGTGTTCCCTGTTAGTGAGGGCTTAGCTGCGTACAACAATCTGCAGTCTCTTGGCGTTTCTACGAAATTTTTGACATTTTCAAATGAGGGACACGATGTTTCAAAGGCAGAGAATTCGCTTGAGTGGCATCGACAGGTTTTTGCATGGGTTAATGGATATACGAAGAATACTACTACTACTGCGGGAATTGGACAGGCTTCTGATACTGGTTCTAATTGATATAAGGCTTACTGGAACAGGGAGACTATATCTTGGTAATGTTATACAGTCTTTATTCTTCAACGATGTTACTACCTCACAACTTCTTGCTTACACTTACTTTCCTCTATTCCAGTGTTCAACATAGAAATTTGGAGACTTGGAAACATGAAACGGGTATGATGGTAAGAATAATCTCTCTTCGGAAACTAAGATAAGGTTAGTATAACAAGGGCAGAGAGCTGGGCTTGGAACTTGATGCTACTCAGAATATAACGATTAACTAGGGCTGCATGAGTCCTTAACCAACCAATTCCTTCTTAGCCTTAATGTCTTGAATCGACTCTATATACAACTAGTCTGCCAGCCCTGACCGCCTAGGTCTTATTGGCTGGTTTCAGAAAGCGAAGTCTGTATAACCTCACTTTCAATATTGCCTGCATGTCTTTGAAGATCATGAACAGCCTGCAATGGCCTTTCGTACGGCCGAAGTGCAAGGATAACTGCATGTTCAACTTGTACGCGTGTAACAGGCGGTGTAGATTAAATGTTCCTATCTGCAGGTGTGCGAGAGCTGCATATTTCTTTGTTTACTTTGGACGACAGGTCAGTTCCATAGTCTCAGCACCGACCCCCAAGTTGGAGGGGTCCACGGGAGTTACTTCTTCGTATCACGCTCGAGGCCAAAACCTTCACAGATTGTGACGGCATTTCTTATACGATAGCTCTTCAAGTGCCTCTTGCGAGGCAGGGGGCAGTAGTGACGATAGTAGAGTCGCAGAGAATGCTTACTCTTGTGGGGAAAACACGACCAAGAATCGAAGCTAAACTGGGGGCTTTTTCTGATTTTCTCTGATGGCTCTTTTAACTCTGCCCTTTGAAGCGCACCCGAAATTATTCGAGATCCTACCTGTCACTTATCTAATGTTTGGAAGAAGCGCAGTTGGCAGTATCTCTGTATTCAACTTCCGGCTGACTCATTGTTCTAGTAGTTAGAATGGAGTAGGCTTCTTTGACGGCACTCTTCAAGTTCGACCAAATCAACTAAATATTCGAGAGCACGTAGACGTGGCCCATCCGATGTTCGATACCCCTAAGTAATATTTCATGTACCTATACACCCAAGACTTATATAATAATACCTAGAATAAGAGAAAACTCGCTTTAGAAGCCTCCTGTTCCCTGTAACCTTTTCACTGCGCCAACAGCCCCTTTCAGCCAGCTAAAATGTCCAGCATCAACACCCGTGGCGCCATCGACACTATTCCCCTGTTCATCCCTCCAGATGCCGTCTTCACGGTCAACCGCACCATATATTCCTGTGTTCTGGTTGCGCCTCAAAGCATCGATCCACGTGCGGCAAATCTGGGGACTATCAAGCATAAGGTTGACCTCTTGACTCTGGAACCAAGACTGTGTATCTTGGTTCCCGCTCCCGACGATACCAACGCACTCGTCTATAATCATCAACTTGATGTGACAGCTACGCTTTTTCTGTGTCGCAGGTATTGGACGTGTCTGGTCTTTCGCTACATACCAGTACCAATGAAGGCGCTGTCGCCCGGCAAACGAGAGTTTGGTGTACAGCTCGTGCACGATCTTGTCATTGTGACCTCCCTGCATAGGGAGCATTTCACCCTGCGATCATTAGCCAAGTCATATAGACTCTGGGGTCATGCCAAGGAAGGGTTACGAGTGTGGTTATGTTAACAAAGGGCAAAGATAGAGTACTCACCGCATCATTATATCCTATACAGACGTAGCAATACACATCTATACCCCTCTCACAAGCTTCCAGAATGGCCGGCAGTAAAGGCGCAGCATTTAGGTTAGGAGTTTGGATGAATACGTTTCGTTGCGCATTCCGCAACCCCGACAACCACGCTGCGTTCTGCGGGTTCGAAATGGACTTGTGGTTAGGTTGCCCATATGGCGCACGATTTACGACTGCTATGGGGAATGGTTCATGGGCTGTGTGAGGTATGTAAGGCGTCATCTCATCCTCCGGTTGACAGTCGGGCGCGTTGCCTGGATACCCTACGTTTAGGGTGTGGTTTAGATGCCTTGATACGGCCTGCATTGCGCTTTCGCCAGGCTTGCTAGAGACGACACCCTGAACACGTAACACCTCGTCTGTGAGACTGGCATCATAATGTGGCTCTTCTGCTGTATGCTCTTCAAGTAATTCATGATTGTCTGAGCCCCTTCGGCTTCCTAATTCGTTGTTGGAGTTGAGGGTAGATGCTGCTTGAGCTGTGTTGTCGACTGCGGTAGCTTCTACACCATAAGGCTTCCTCGGCGGCATTTTCGATGGATCAACGACGGCAGAGTGGCCCTTTATGGAGCCGAATGAAGAAAAGATATTGGCATAATCTGCAGTAAAGCTCGTCTCCTCCTTTTGGTTTGCTGCAGTCGTGCGAAGAGATGGGAGTGGCGGCTCCAGCAACTTGTGCCAACTAATCATAGCCATATCATATAACGAGTCCACGATCGGCCCTTCGACCTGAACCATCATCTCTAGGTTGTCGTTGTCCTGAATATTGTTACTCTGTATGATACCAATCTTCCGATCGACGATCATAAATTTAGCATGGAAGGTGCCCAGTACTGGCTGATGGTAATTCATCACTTGCAAATCGACATATGGTATGTCCTTTCTAGACGGCAAGTTCACAGCATCTCCCGTGTACTCACTGTCAGATACGATGTAGTGAGGGTCAAATACTTGTCTGGGGTTACCGCGATCATAAAGAATTTTCATGATTACATGAGTTCCTCTAGCCTGAGCACGCCGCGAGAGCTCTCTGATAGCATTCGTAATATAACGGGATGCAGTGCCGTTTTGCCAGAAATTCGTCGCAAGAAAGACTTCCTCCTGAGCCCTTATAATCAAATTCGACATATGGCGAACAATATCAGGAACACTTAAAAAGGTTAGTGCTTGTTGATTATTACCTCTGATAGGAGCACATACACAGAGATAATCGTCAAGGGAACTATGCCGCTACTGCCCATCAGTCGAGGACTGACAACGCCACACTCTGGCTTATCATTGAGAGTGCACAACGCATCGTGATAGAGCTGGTTTCTTACTGTCAGTATCTTTTATCTCACGTCTTCCTTGGGCAAGTGACCGAGCTTCGTACATCATGAACGGATACTTACTCTTATAAACAAGTCGCTTGGCTCCTTAGAACCCCAATTGCCGCACTTCCGCGCCTGTTGCAGCGCTTCACTCCCACTGTCATACTCTGATGTAGTTTTTTCAACTTCGTCTTTGCTACCTCTTGAATCATCACCGCGAAAGAGCTCCCGCCATGCTTCTTCAGGCGTCAGCTTTGGATCCCCCGCCAAAAGCGACGAGACACTGTTTTCACAATGGCACCACATGTACAGGCGGCTTGTGAGCTTATGCCCAGAGTCTGCCACGATCGCCTCGTCCATATTTTATATTTATGTCAGAATCTGGCGGTAGTGTCTTTTGATTCTGAAGGCTCGGTGAAAGAATGTCTAAACTGGCTGAAAAGTCACCTTGACTTCACCTAGAGGTATGGGATCTAGGAGTAGAATTTTTAACGACTGGACGTAAGCGTGACGATACAGGAAAGAGCATTGTGAACTAAAGAGATCCATTTATTTGTAAAACCTTCATCGCCCCCAAGTGTTATACTAGGCAATTTGCATATGAACATAGTGGCTGGCTATTGTAAGATGCGCCGATTCTGGTGATAATGGTAGGCCTTAAGCTTCAAACCCTGATTCCTTGGCGCGAAGCTTGCTTTGACGTCGCCTGGCTTACCTCCCTTGACAGCCCTTGCAACAATGCATTGGCCAATCAGTATAGGCATAGAATTAGGCACGTATCCAAAGGCACTAACGTGTTCCCATATCTAGATGAGATAGCGAGGCCGGATTCTAAGTTCACAGCATTTTGGGCTTACGTCCGGCACGCTGGAGCCGAGTAATGACGCAATCAATTACGCCGCCGCCGCTTTCCCGCAACCTTCGTATCCAGCTTGGGACATCTATGTTTATGCCGACCCTGGCGAGTCTGGGTGGGAGCTAGTCACGTAAGCTTGCTAGATAGGTGGGTGTGATGACGTATCAGATAAATCACCGAGCAGTTGAAAGGTCAAGTATTCGAATGCTCTGTTCACATTGTTCACAAAATCCACCTTTCAATTCTAAGTATATGCCCATCCACAGGTTTCAAGTTCTACAATTCGCCAACCTCGGAACCCTCAAGCTCTTTAAAGTCTGTAAATCCTAGCTCATATACAAAACCTAGGGTCATTTTGGCATGTTGCAACATGTGGTCCTACAACCATCAGCGCGAACTCTCAAAGGGGGGAACCAATGGCCTATGCTACTTACGAAGGAGAGATATTTGATGAGATCTTCAGTACCGTGAATATGATCATCAGAGTCGGGGAAAGAGGATTCGATCACGAAAGCAGAGGGATAGCCGGCCTTTGAAGCGGAAGCGTGATCGGAACAAGCGTAGCCACACTTCGTCTCGACATACGGAATGTCGCAATACTCTTCAATGATTTTTTTCTATTATGCGACCGACACCTTAGAGTCAGTGGATGATAGTCAAGCGCGATTGACGCGTGTACAAAGCTATAAGCACAAGAATAGCATATAAGGGGGCTGGGCTTCTAGAAATACTCTTGAAGCACGTAAAGCAAGTAGGAGTTGCAGAAGCACCACTTACAATAAAGGCAGTCAAACCAGCGTCAACAAAGTCGGTGATGACGCCCACGCTCTCCGGCTTACCGGCATCAATAGTTTTCTGAATGAAGCCTGTCATATCTTGCTGAAGCATTGCCTTGACATCTCGACCTTTCTTTTCGTAATCGGAAAAGATAGCCTGGCTACCGAGAAGACCGCCTTCCTCGGCACTGTACCAATGGAACTCTATAGTATTTTGGGCGTTGCCCTTTATCACATTCTCGGACTGTAGCAGAACGCGGAAGGCCTCAAGAATGGTGACGGTGCCGGAGCCGTCGTCATCGGCACCGGGAGCAGCAAGAATTGATGGTAGCCACATGTTGACTGAGTCTTGATGCGCGCCAATGACGACGGTCGATTTCGACTTCCCCGGTATCGTCGCTATGACTGTTTGCACGCTGGAGTCAGTAATTACCAGGAATCGCAAGAATCCAAGACATGATTTGGGAGCATGCAGGAGCAAACAAGGTCCAAAACCTGCACAAGGGAAAATTAAAATTGAACGACTCGGGGGACTGACTTGAGTGTTGACCCCAGCTGTGTTTGAAGTGTTCGGCTTTGACTCCATACTGGTCAGCATCTGCCTCCTTGATGGTATTCTGGACGGTCTGGAGAAGCCACTCCGAGGATTGTCGCCCATAGTCTGACTTATAATAGCGTGTGTGAAAGCTGGTGAACTTTGTAAGATGTTCTTCCATCGGTGTTTTTGACAGGTTTGCCAGTAGGGGTCTGATCTCATTTTGGAGCTTCGCCTTCTTGGGGAAAACAGCAGTGGATCGCGACGAGGCTCTCAGCGTCCCGAGGTCACCATTTTCTGTGATATCCATGAAATTCTTCCCGGCCTGTATGATACATGCGAATCAGCGAGTTCCGTGCAACCGGCAGCCGTCGACGGCCTAGGCCATCATGACATGCCAAGAACCAGAGATATGCTTACTCGGCGAAGCTCCCATTTCTCATCTTCGGTTACATAGCGCGTCTCGCCAGGAGACAGCTCGATAAGGAACTTCTCAACAGAGGCACCTTCGTCGAGGAGGGCATCCACATAAGGTAGGATGCGATTTGCCTCGATGGCCTCGTTAGCCTCGATGAAGCGAGCGCTAGCTGCTGCTGGCAGAAGCAGTGATGAGAGGAGGGAGGCTTTCATGGTGGTAGATTTGTTTGCGTTGAGGACTATTCCAACAAAAAAGGATATCGAAGAAATAGATGGAATATTATGCAAAAACGTGAAAGGGAAGGGGAGTAGTTGATGATGCAGAGGTGAAACGAAGGATATCTACTGCTAGCTATCTACAGCTCAAGCTCCCAGGCAACCAAACCACAGGTAAGCTTACTTACCTTAGGTACTTAGGTACTTACGGCAGGACCCTGGCAGCTCCCCACTTGGGTCTTGTCTCCAGGGCCGGAAGGGGCTAGCTACAATTGTACTGTAGAATCCGGGGAGGCTCGAGGCCCACATATGAAGTAGGTACTTGGTTCTTTGCATGTACGTATGAGGTTACATAGAATCCCACAACACACATCATGAGGATTACTTGAAAGGCTATCTACACGTAGGTACCTATTAGGTAGTAGTTTGAGGTAGCATGTAGGTCAGTACTACCTCAGGCAGCCACTGCCTAGGGAAAAGGAGGTTTCCCACGTCGTCATGTGGTCACGGACTCATCGGATAGAGTGTACAATATATATGGGCACATGGCCAGCTGACTTAAAAGCCTGTTTAAGAAGTATTGAAAAGACAGATAGGTAACAAGTAGATATGTATTGAACCATACCGCAGACAATACTTGGTCATTAAGTGTCTGCTAGCGGTCTTGGGTACCTGTTCAGCAGGTACCTAGGTAGGTAGCCTTGGATTTCAGTTCCGATAATAATCGGCACTCTGACCAATAGAAAAAGTCATGTGTTCCTGCTTTATGGTGCAACTTGAAGCTGTAGCACGGTACACCTAAAAAGTCAGAGATAAGATATTCTCGAAGAACCCATAGCTACTTTAAAAGGTATTGGAAGTTACTCAGGCTGAAAGATACAAAGCCAAGATAGTGTAACGACTGAATATGCCGAAAAACGAGGAAGGAAAAGGAATATAGTGTAACTACACAGTAAGTAGGTACATGCATCTTCACGCAGCCTGCCTTGCCATCTAATGGGCGCGTGTAGTAGACGCGGTACCACAATAAAAGGGTCTCAATGCTAATGCGCTAAAGCACGTTCACCTTAATACTGTCTATTCAAGTGTGAGGCAGGCTAAAGTAAGAGAGCAAGGTAGCTTTGCTATTAATCTAATACCTACACCACCTCTCCTATCACAATTGCCGAGTCACCTAACCCATTGAATCTTAGGTGCTGTGTGAGCATAAATGTACCTACCTAGGTAGTACGTAAGAAGGTTTCAAACCGCGAGCCAAACTATAGGTACGTAAAACGAATCAGCGTCTTGAATGTCCTACTTTGAACCAGAACATGGTATTGTAGCCTCAAGTATACCTACCTACATACCTACGAAGTCATAGAAGAGTAGGTATTTAAATACATGTGGATGTACCACTGTAACCAACTGAATGTAGGCAGGTAGCAAGGCAGCTTCCTACCTTCCTACCTACCTACCTATCTAGGTATTTAACAGAGCTCTCCACCCCCGCCAGCACCCCGCTGACTTAGGCCCGCCCTCCGCCAAAACACCAAACACGTCTGGAAACAACTGGGAAAATTTATTCCTACCATCTCGAGAGAACCCACCCCAGCAGGCTCGCTCACTTCCCGCCGTCTAATCACATCACGAACAACCAGGACGGAACCGACTCGGTGACATAGAACCGTCTGGAGCCTCGTCCACAATGGAGGACCAGCTTGTCCAGGTCCTCGCAAACACACAGCAGGCTGCTGAAGGCCCCAGGATACAGGCCGAGCTCGACTTGAAACGCGCTCAAACCAACCCGGCCTTCCCTCTCTCGCTTGCCAACATCGGCCGCCATGCATCTGTCTCGGTGGAAATCCGACAGTCCGCTCTATTTACCCTGCGCAGGTTTATCGAGAGTCATTGGACCGGCGAAAACGATGACGGCCCCACCATCCCCATCGCCGACGACGTCAAAGACCAGATTCGGCCTCTGGTGTTGGATCTTGCCCTGAATTTCGAGGGCGACAGGAAGATCAAGACGGCTGCAAGGTATGGCGTCTCTTTCTAGCCCCCAATTCTCACCGCCTCGTACCTACTATTGTCCCCCCATACTGCTTCTTGCCCAAGATATGCCTTTCTCCATTTTTGCCTCTCGCGCCCGCGTATACGTCGTTGTCCTCGAACTAACACTTTATCATCAAGCCATGTCGTAGGCAAGATCGCTAACGTCGACTGGCCCGAACAATGGCCCACTCTCCTTCCCACGCTCCTTAACGTAATCCCCACAGGGAACGACAACCAACTCCATGGTGCTCTTAAGGTTTTAAGCGACTTGGTTGAAGAAAGTTTAAGTGATGATCAATTCTTCTCCATGGCCCAGGAAATTGTTAAAGTCGTCTATGATGCCGCTATAAATGAGAACCGAAAGCCCGCATTGCGTGCGCTTGCCGTGTCCGTCTTCCGAGGTTGCTTCGATCTTATGGATACTGTCAAAGATGAACATCACAAGGAAGTCACGGCGTTTGCCGAGGAAGCTTTGAAGGGCTGGTTTCCTTTCTTTCTTGAAACGCTCAAAATACAATTGCCTGGGTTCGATCCTCAGTCCAACAGCCAGCCCGAGTCCTGGAATGGTCTTATTGCGCTCAAATTTCAAATCGTGAAGTGTCTCCTAAAAGTTCGAAGCGTATTCCCAAGTTTGTTGATCCCTCACACGCCGCATTTCTTTCAAGCAATCTGGCAAGAGTTGTCTATTCTCGAACCATCATACGAACGGATGTACCTTGAAAACGAAGCCCAAGGACGGCTTGAAGACGCAGATGGTCTGCCTTACACGCTTGATTTCCTAGTGTTAGAAGAGCTTGATTTCCTTAACCATTGCCTGAGAGCACCACCAGTGCGTAAAGAACTCGAATCTCAACTAAACACCCATGCGGGTGCCCATGAAACACCATGGTTATTGGACATTTCGAAGATAGCTAGTTCATATGGTCAAATCATCTTAGAAGATCAGCAACTGTGGGACATCGATGTTTCCCTTTACCTAGCTGAGGAACAGTCTGTCAGCGCCAACTATACCCCACGCACTGCTTGCGGTGATTTGTTCATCAAGATGGGCGAATGGCTGGATCAAAAGGCGTTGGAAGGCCTCTACGCATATACCAAATCTGTGTTTACGGAGAATGTCTCTTGGAGGAGGCAAGAAGCAGCTCTATACCTGCTCAACATGCTGTTGAGGGATTATCTCGACTGCGGCAAGAGTGTCTCTCCAGAGCTGAGTCAAGCATACCTGGAGCTTGTCGATCATGCCATCAACCAAACCCAAGAGCCACTGCTCCGAGCGAGGGGCTACCTGATCGCAGGTATTTTGTCCCAGTGCAATGGAATTGCCGTCAATCTTATGGACCGAACAATTGATGCGATCACCTCGGAAGAATCAGAACTTGTGCAAGCAGCCTGTATCAAAGCCACTGAATCATTCATTACTAGTGATGTTGCTGGTGTTGCTGGTAATACTCAACTCCAGACAAAGATAGTGGGCGCCATCAACCAATGGATATCTGCTAAGGATATGACTGAAATCGAGGAAGCCGATGATTTACTCGTCACCCTGGCGGAGACGCTTCGGGCTGCGATTCATATTGATAAAACAGTATCGGTTTCTAACGATGTGCCTGCTCTCGACCTCTTGTTCCTTATTGCTAAACATGGCACAAGCAACTGGCAGGTATGCTAAAACTCTTCAATGATCTTCTCTTGAAGTCATTCAGTGTACCTTTCTATATACTAACATGGCTCAAGGTTACGATGCTGATATGCGAGACGTTTGAGGATATCGTACAAACTATGTCTGAACCGGCGGCTTATCAAGCTTTATGCCAAAAGGTTCTCCCTTCTCTAACCGGGGCCTTCAACGTTGCTGATGTGACGTCAAATGATCCTTTAGTGATTGTGAGTTAGTTGGCCTGAGTCGTAATAAGACAAACTACTCACCATTTTTGAACAGTTCGCAGCAGAATTGATGGCTTCACTTACGCAATACGGCTCAGAACCTCTGCCTGCTGGCTTCGTGGCTGCTACATTACCCAAGTTGACGCGACTGCTCATGGAGAGTAATGAAGGCGAGGTTCTACGGCCGGGCGCCGAATCCGTCAAATATTTGTTAGCCCATGATCATGAGCAGATGTTCAACTACCATGACGAAAACAACAGGTCAGGCCTCGAAGTTTGCCTTCACATCGTTGATCGCCTACTGGGAACTACAATTGAGGATAACGCAGCTTCAGAAGTCGGTGGCCTTGCTGCCGAACTGGTAGAGAAGGCCGGCCATGAGCGCCTGGGTCCTTTCTTGCCGCAGCTTCTACAGGCCGTAGCGAATCGACTTGCTACTGCGGAAACCGCTACATTCATCCAGTCTCTCATCTTGGTCTTCGCTAGACTCTCCTTGGTTGGCGCGCATGACGTTGTCGAATTTTTGACCACTATTCAAATTAATGGACAAAGTGGCTTGCAGGTTGTATTAAGCAAGTGGTTGGAGAACTCAGTAAACTTTGCAGGATATGATGAAATTAGACAAAAGTCAGTGCATACCCCCACCCCTTCTAGCATAACCACTAACAAGACCATAGTGTTATTGCGCTTTCAAAACTATACAGTTTAAATGATCCCCGCGTAGCACAAACGATGGTCAGAGGTGATATGATCATGCCTGCAAGTGACAGGATCGTGACTCGTTCTCGGGCCAAGCAAAGTACGTTTACTCTCAATTTACATTTTATGCAGCACGCTAACAATGGCTTTTAGACCCAGACCAATATACAATCATTCCTGCACCTCTGAAGATCCTTAAAGTGCTAATTGAGGAACTTTTGTCAGCTTCGGGCTTAGCAAGTGCTCCGAATGCTGCTGCGGCGGCTGCTGCGGAGTTTGCAGACGAAGAGAACGATGACGATAGCTGGGAAGATGACCCAGATACCATTGACCTCAACCTTGGCTCTACTAAGGCTGATCTAATGGGTTATTTAGATGCCAGCAACATGCGACATCGGGATGACGAGACGCAGCAATACCTTTCTGAATTCTTTGTTGCAGCCGCGAGGGACAATCTTGCGGGATTTGGAGACTGGTACAACAACCTTACAAATGAAGAGAAGAGCAAGCTGAGCGAGATGGCAAACGCCCAACAATCTTAGGGCGGTTGGAGGAAGGCTTTCGCGCATGACGCTGTTTTTAGACAGGCGTACCGGGCTTTGGGAAGGCTCAGATATTAACGCGTAGGTAACATTGCAGCAGGACACATCAGCTGCATTCTTACTAGAAGAGGTGGAAGCAACAAGGAGGATATATAACTACCTATAGCTAATACGTGTGGGAGAGACAGAGCAGCAGTCATTAGAAGGCAGGAGAGGTTATCCGTCATCATGTCATAGTATTGATTTGCGTTGTGTTTCCTACAGGAGGCTAAAGGCGTTGCGTAGAGAACAATTCTAAGCTGATGCTTCGTTGTGCGGCTTTGTACAGATTCATGGATATTAGTATAGAAACACAGATTAATCATATCCAAGAACAATACAACAGACACATTTAGATTATCCCCGCCCCCCGACCTCCCGAGTTCTCCTGAATCTAGGGTAAGCAGGCAAACATCAAACAGACACTTAACAATTATTAGAGAATCGACATTGAATTGTTTATTATGTTTTATTGAATCTTTATCTTCGTTTCCATATCTCATAGCCAGCGAATGCCGTAACTCTACCAGCCGAGGATCCATCATTCATTACTAGGCGTTAGACATGCCAGCGTGATGCTATCGCAGTCGAGTCGGATTCATAGTAGCCGCCAGCAGTGTTCCAACACGACCGAAACCAAGTGATTCTGCATTAGGTTCCTGAGAAGCCCATGTACAAGCAGCCTTCGCGACCATGTTCTATTACACAATGAGTCAACGCCGCCGACGACCGAGAAGTTGCCTGCCACGTTCATGATAATCATTTTTAAATTCAAGTTCGAGTTTGTGCTCGTCAGCCGGCTGTAGCTGCTCATACCAACGCCGCTGGTGATCCACCTCCGCTTCCGAAACAGCCAGAACGCCAGGTTTCCATACCCTAAGATGCATACCCTCCACGGCGTCAACGCCGACTTACGGGCGTCTTCTCTCTAGGCATCGCCTGCGCCTGCGCCGCCGCCTTTGATCAAAGCGCGGAGGCTGATCATTTCTCTCTTGAGACGGGCGTTGTCCTTCTTTAGGCGTGCCGTCTCTTCGCTGCTTTCCTTCACGCTTGTCATAAGCTCTTCTTTTTCTTCACGCCCCTTACTCTTGAGGGCTTTCACGATTTTACCTAGCTCGCTATTGAATTTCTCGTATAGCAACTCGTTTTCGACCATCGTCTCTTTGTAGAGCTGGTCAATGGCTTTCACCTTGGCCTCGCTGGCCTTGAGAGTGTTTTCCATGTCTTTCTGCAGCTGATCTTGGCGACTCGTAAGCTGGCTTAGAATATTTGGCAAACGCTCTTCAAGTGACTGAACACTAGACGAGAGTTTCCGAAGATCAACTGTTCCGCTGCGGGGAATGCTAGAATTGACCTTAGCCATATCCGCAGAGATTTTAGATAACTCAGATCGCAGATCAGCGTCAACCTCTTCCACAGCTTTCTTTTCCACTTGAAGTCGCTCTCGCAGTTTTTGTGGAGACTGCAAACGTAGCTTTCCGGATGTCTTCGTCGGGCTTGTTGTAGGCCGCGTGGGAGACTCGGCTAGGTCCGCGGCTAAATCTCGAGATGGCTTGAGTGTTGGGATATTAGAAGTAGATAGCATTTTTTGGGTTGCCTTTCTGGGCGAAACGTTCGATGGAGATACCGAATTGAATGGATCCTCGATATTCTCTTTCTGTCTAGGTGATTTGAAACCAGGGCTGTTCAATAACTGGTGTGCGTTAGGACTAATAGGGATTTTTGATGGCGATGGGATACGTGGCGTCGAATTGAATCTCTCGGAAGTTTCCTTCATATGTGACAGCGGCTGCACAGGAAGCTCATCAGCAAGGCTTGTGGCTTCCATGAGGCTCTTCAGATCAGACAACGAGCTGCGGCGTTTTTTCTTGTATGCCTTAAATGCAATTTCGTCGCCTGGTTCACCAATTGTTTCGAGTTTCTGCGAACTTGTTGGACGACTAAAAACCTCATCAAACGCACCAGCAATAGGTGGTCTGTCTCTTGATCCCGGTCGTCGCAACCTATTGGTTCCTGATAGGCCAACATCAACAGAGTTTGTTCTCATTACAGAGCCTTTTGAGATGCTCGAAGGCTCGCCAGTTGCCGGGTGCCTGGCATGTTTACTCAAGTTACGCCAAACAGAGGGCCGAGAATCTGCATCCGCCTTGCTATTTTGGCGCGTAAGCAAACTATCAAAGCCAAATTTCCTCCGCAGGGAAGATGTACTCGATGTTATCGAGCCAGTATGAGATTTCCCACCTCGGATTGCAGGACTCGTCAAATCATACACCGATGTGGTAGCACCAATATTGAGTGTGAAACTCCCCGATCCCTCGTCAAAGATTCGATCGCAATCCTCGACAAGCCTATCAAGAAGGTTGATGTAGTTTGGGGCATTTTCGTTGTCTACAAGGACTTCGGCAAACGCAAGTGTTAAACCACCTCTGTCGCTATCATTTCCACAGCCATCTAGTAATTCAGCCAGAAGCTTGATGAGGGCTGTGAATGCTCGGCGATTTTGAGGCGCCATATCTGCAAACAAAAAGTGGACAAAGTCGGCGAAGTCACCTGGCAGCTTCTTGAAGGCTCTTGCTTGCAGTGCGTCCAGAGCTTTGGTTGTAATTATCGGGCCCATCTGGTTTCGCCACGCAATGCGAACGAACTTCTCAAAAGCTACAAAGACGACATCGGCGGTTACATCTTGGGTGGCCTCAATATCCAGCGGGTTCTCAATAAGCTTGTTATAGAGGTCGTTCACCAAGAGTTCATCAACAGCGGAGCGGTTCAGTAATGCTCGGCCCACAAAGCTTCCTTTGCGCTCGAGTAAACTAGCCATGTATCCTGTAAAAGTTTGCTCTAACCTAAATATCGGGTTCTCGGGCTTGTCGTCATCGGGCCCAGCTCGAATACCGTCTCTACTTTTAACCGAGCCGTATAGAGAGGCAGCGTCTCTGGTGCTATTCGAGCGGCTGATCTGACCTGGAAGAAAACTCGAGCTAAGGCTTGAACTTTCTCCTGTCAATGTCCGCTGGAACTTGGGGGCATTGGCTGCATCTGAGAAGCTCGATCCACTGAGGAAACTTGATAGATATTTGACAGGCGACGAGCTCAAGAATGATCTAGTTTTCTCTGCTCTGTTTGAAACACTCAATCCACGGAGAACTTTGGTATTGAAAGACACCAACGCGGGTGTTAAGCCTGGATTTGCAACGTTGAACTGTGTGCTGAGAAATTGGATAACTGTGACTACGTTAGTCATCTGGCCTGAAAGGAAGCAAACTGCTTAGCTAGTCTTACTTCTTCTAGACAGTGTTGGAAGAAAATCTTCCAGCGCAACTTCGTCAGTAGCGCGTTTACCATGTAACCCAACCGTGATCATGACAACCTTTTTCAAGTCACCGGTCTTCACATCAGAGCATATCTCTACCCCATAATGGCCCACAGGGGATCCCTTGGTGCCCTTTTCGTAGTCGACGACTATACGAATAGGAGCTGGCTCTTTGCGCCCTTCTATGAGCTGGTCAAGACCTTCTTGAAAAACAGCTGCAAACAAGCCCAGTCCAGTATCAGGCATCCTCACAGACCTAAGAGTCCATGAAGGGTCTTCACGCTCCTTCTCCGAGAACCTGTTTTCAATTCTTGCCTTAACAATATCCTCACTCCACTTTGCGGCTTTGCCTTCATACGATTCCTGTAGTATGAAGCATCTTGCGGTAATAGCTGTGTTTGTAACGAAATTTCCGGCATGGGCACCTCTCATCTCCTTCGCAGATGTCAGCCAGGTCAGGCGCCCATCAGCAGATTCAGTAAATCTAACATCCGCGAGTTCATGCCATCCCGCAAAAGCCAAGTCGTATGAACCAGGCCCCCCGGCGGCATTCGTCATAGATGCTAGTAGGCCGGCCGCTGATGGTTTGTCAATCTCGCGCAGAAGTTCACGTGCTGTCATCTGGATGCCATAGAGTTTTTTCACAATGACTATGTAGTCTGAGAATACAAGGAACATGCCAGCCCGCTCATCTACCTCAGGGTCTGTTGCATTAATATTCTGGTAAGGAGCGGGTATTTCTGAGAAATCAGCAGCAGCAATCAGGCGGCCTTGAGGGTCTAGATCGGCAGGCCAACTTTCAATCATGTTTCGCAGCCGTGTGCTTACATGTGGTTTATCCGCCAGAGGATCATCCATTGAGCATATATTTGCAATAATGTCTCGAGCTTTCAGCATCAATTGAAGTGCTGGATGTGTAATTGGTAAGCAACCAACTATTTGGTCAATCATCAAGCTGTAACGGGGGAGACGCTGAACAGGCTCGATTACAGTCGAGCGAAGATGCTGCTCCCCAGTGAGCGCGACCCTGTCAGTGAAAGTCGACTGTTGGTCGACGAAGGAGGTAATGAGCTGGGGAAAGTTCTGGCTTGCTCGTATGTAGTCTTGATAGCAGTCGGTGAATTTGGGGAACCACTCCAGCATAATCTTCGCCATCGCCACAGCTCCGCTCGCATCTTTGCCCTTGCCTAACAAGCTTCCCGAGATGCCTACCCGTGATGATGAAACACCCGAGTCTGCGTCCTTTTGTGCGCCTTCTTCTGTATTGTCTAGAACTTTGCGCAGCTCTTGCATGAAGTCGGTATTGATTTTGAGGATCTCGTCGGATGATCTGGGAAACAGCTTCTCGACATCCTCAGCCGAAGGACTAAAACTATTCAGTTGCTGGTCTTTGGCCTTTTGCCGGTACTCATTTGCGACGTGATTCACCAGTTCGTCTAGTTTCGCGACATATCGTTCTTCAGTTTCCACTAACTCGGCCATCTTTCGTCGTAATTCCAGTTTCTGGTCTTTGGAGAACGACTTTGTCCGGTTAAGCGCACTAGGCTTAGACGGAGCGCGTCGCAGTCGCGTCGTGGGCAGAAATATAGGTTCGCCGAAGAGCTTGACAAGTGGTGTGTACATTCCGTACTGCCGTAGAGTAGGATCCAAAATATCATCTTCATCCTCTGGAACGTCCTCAAAGTCGGCAGGTTGTAAGGGTAATATAGATCCAGGAGGCAAAACAAGATCGATATCGACATTGCTGACATGTTGCGTCTGTAAAGCCATATGAAGCTTCTGAATCACATCGGCAGTATTCTCAGCGCGAACCATAGACTTAGCGATATCGGCGGCATGCTGGTCGCTGAAGAGGGCTGGAGAGGATCCAGGCCGGCGCCCTCTTGTCGGATATTGCAGTTTGATATGGTTCTTGACGGGCTCGGGTAGTATTTCATGGAAGTACCTTGATAGACCGAAAGCGAGAGCACGGTAGACCTCGTCGCCCTGGAACTCGCGAGGTAGATGGTGGACGACATTGTAGAAGGGCGAGTTTGGTGATATGGTGAGCCGTGGAAAGGACTGAAAACCTGCGGGCGTATAGATGTGGACCTGTACTCTGGAGCTGTTGAAGGTGTAGTTGGCAGTGGTAGAAGGACCGTGGAAGATGAGGATGGGAAGATGACCGAGCAGCGGGTCAGTGGCCTGGTAGAGAGTGACATGATCTGGCGACAAAGCCAGCTCCTCGGTAACGCGGACCATGGTCACTCTAATGGGTCATGGTGGATCGATTGGGTGCGATGTCGAATGGAAAACGAGTGTGAAGAGGCGATGGCACGCCTCGAGAAGCCGGTGGGTGGCCAAGTCTGGTCGGGTCGAGTTCAGTCGAGCAAGGTGTTTTGGCGAGAGAGGTTATGTCACACACACACACATACACACATACACGCTTAACACGCATACACACACACGCCCTCGACGACTGTCCTCGGCCTACGGTAAACAACCAGGTTGCGCGAAGCAGCTTATGCGATGTAGGAGGTGGGATGTGGGCAGGCTAGGTACCTAGGTAGTGTGGACAGGCGCTACGAAGTAGATCCGGTACCTTGATAGAGCCCGATCAGCACCTAATACTTCCAAGACACCTGATACCTGATACCTGATAACTCTCGGGACGGTGCTGGATGCGCGCGTTGTGCCGGGGTTTGTTTACTTTCGAGAGGGACCAACATCAACAAACCAGCAGCACACGTCTCCAGCTGAAGATAAAAGTCCAGACCCAGCCCAATGCCTCGTTGTAAGTCTGAAGGGATAATGAGCCTTTAAAAACAGTGATATACTCCGTAATGAGATAGCCCTATACCGCTGCACCAGTAAGTACAATAGTATAACGACTAGGTACGGTAGGATGGATTGAAATAAGTGGATGGACTGGATGGATGCCCGAGACCCGCATGTGGCCTGGGTAGGTACGCACCCTGTGGTATTATTTTTGGTACCTACCTAGGTAGCTAGTTCAACTTTTTTTTATTTGGGTCAGCACGCGCAAGTCGCGTTAGACGCATAATTCTGCATAAAGGCTGCCCCAGAGTGGGGTGAAGCAGGTACCTATGAAGTTACGGTACTTAGGTACGCAGGTGGCCTGAACCCACCCCTACAGTATCAGTACTTATCAGTATCATCTAGGCATCTCACAACAAGCAGACAGTACCTAGGTATATATATCCATCTATCTGTAGATTCGGATCAACAGCACTGCGCACAGATTCCTTTCGACTTTGACTTCACCATGCCAAGTCAAAATGACTCTGGGATTCCGGTAATTCATGCCCCTGATGGCATTGGTTATAAACTGTTGGAGCTGCCACCAGAGCTCCTCGAGGCCCTCAACTCAGCAACCCCTCCAGAGTTAGTACCTACCTGCCTATATACGTCCCTGCCTACGTCCCTACTATACCTCAGGTACCTGTCTAAGGACCTACCCCACTTGGAACGAGACGCCTTCTAACAATAGCTGTTGGTTGTTCCAAAACAGGTTGAGACTCGAATCCTCAGCCAGCTCGGCTATCCTTAAATGCGGCTCGCAATCTTGGGCACTCCGTCAGAAAAACACGTCGAATGCCCTGATTCTGCTCAAAGCTGGCAATGTGGTCGCCGCGCCAAACGAGATGCCCCAGTTGGGCCTTCAAGCTGTCTCCACTATCCACGATACTATCGAACTAGTACCAGAGTCGTCGGGCAAGCCTGCGCCGACTACGAAAGGGAAATGGCATGAGAAATTCGCCAGAGGCAGATGAGAGGCTTGCCGACAGTCCAGCAAACGGAGATGTTCAAGGACACGACAAATGGCTGGTGTAATGAATGTATTATATACTGAGTACCTAGGTTTATAGTACTGGCCTCTCTCTAGGTAGTATCACAACTTACCATGGATCTGACACGACGACAGTCCGTGGTGGGATCCTTTCATATCAAAGCCAGGTGTCTGTCGGGTATTTAATTCAAGGCTCCGCTCTCAGCTACCTGTACCTACCTAGGTAGATTGTAAAGTGTAAAATGCTCATTAAGTCAGGCGTTGATGACTACATATGTTGGTAGGCTGGCTAGGCTAGGTTGTCAAGTCGGACTACATACTGTAGAACTGAAGCAGTCGGCTCACCTAATGTAAGTACCTGGCTGGACAGGTGTGTGGTAGAAAGTGAAGCATACGTAAAAGTACATAAGGCACTAGCTAACATACCTACAACTCAGATGACAACAGAAAACAGCGACAGCCGTTTGCAAAAATTGGTGGAAAACTGGTGGGAAACTGGTGGAAAACTGATGAAAACTGATGAAAACAGGCGGGCAGTCACCGAACCTCAAGATACCTAGGCCAATAATACCATGCTCAAAACATATCCTACGGGCTTATACTACCTGGAGAGGCTGTCGGAGAGGCAGCGCTGGCATCGCGTGATTGCAGAGCTGCGAAGGAGCAAGGTGAAGCATGGTGAAGCAAGCTATCGATCATGTCGGTTACCGGGGAAACTTAGATTCAAATTCATAGAGTGCACAGCTGCATTTGACACACGCAACACTTTTAGTTTTCGATGTGTTAAACATCCAATATCTATTGGATAAATGTGAGACATGCACACGTATGTACTGTACCTGCTATGGTAAGATACCGGTAGACGCCTCCCTCAAATCGTGGAAGCTTCGCGCACGCAACGCTTTCTTTTCAGCCGCTCCAATCCAAAACAATCCATCTACGCGTCCATGTACGATAGCCGGTAGAGCTCAACCTCGAGAAACTGCCTACTCCTAGCGAGGTATCGACGCAGCTGATCTTCTTCGCGTGTGCGACATTTGCTACGCCTGTCTGGAGTTTGCCCAATGCCTAGCCTGCCTACCCTACTTTATTGGTCAGCGCCAATCGCAAACGAAAGGCTCAATCGTCGGGAGCATCTGACCTCGTTACCGAGACCGAAGAAATCTGCAGCCGCTCTGCAGCACATCTGCATCTCCGTTAGTTCTTGAGTTGACGCTAGACTGCGGCGCCTCCTGCCCCCATCTCTTCTCCTTCTGACACCTCTTCTCCCTTGGCTTTTCTCTGCCTTCTCGTTGTTGGTCCTCCTTCTGCGTTTGCCTGATCCCTTTGGTGTGCCCCGCACATCACGCACTGCCTCCTCGCCCTCCCTTTGCCCTTTGCTTAGTTGCCGTGGCCTTGCCGAGTATAGCTTCGGTGAAATGGGCTGTTGTCCAGCCGCGACTCTTGACAAGCCATGGTCTTGTCGCTAGAATTGATCTGTCGCTGTGTAAGTAGGACATTTCCTACTCATTCATATGCCATTCATATGAGTTCCACACCCATTACATAGCTCTCCTTATGCTATGGGCACAATGGGTCAGTGCTCTTGAGTCCCATTCCCAGTCACTACGTGACAGCAGTAGCACAAACGTAGCAAGTTCATAGTTACCCAACACCGGCGTAATGCATCCTGTGCTTTTACTTTTCCAATCTAGCATTGTCTATTGCATGTCCCAAAGCAACACCACGCTAAGGAGAAACTTGAAATAAAAAGGAAACCAGACACTTCATTCAACCAGGTATCAGAATCCAAATAGCAGCGCCATCAGACTAGTAGAGTCAGGTCAAAGCTTGCGAGAGGGCCTAAACGTCCACATTTTCATTTTTTTCAATTTACCTGTCCTCTTCTCACATTTTCCATACTCCATGCCTTAGGTACCTAACATTTTCCCGGCGACAGAGAAACCGCGTGTGAAGAGAGTCGGCATTCTCGCCCCTCGCCCATCGCCCACTGGATCTAGGTTCACCACCCACCTTCTTGCCTAACCCACGGCTCCGGGTAGGTACGCACACTTCTCCATTCACAATCTCCCTAGATCTATCCTTATTACTATTTTGCATTCAACGCGACTTCACTCTTACCCACCTTCTTACGCAAACCCGAGCGTTTCAAGGCTTCATGCCTGGTCCTTTGGTGCCGCCGTAATCAAACTATCTGTTTACACTCGTTCGCTAGAAAGGCTACCCTGCAGTGCCCCGGACTGCTTGCTGCATAAACCAGATATACACGCAGTCTGGACTACGTAGCCATGGACTGGGACTGGGACGAAGTATATGATAAGAGCCGCCCCTCTAGCCCTGGTGGTGCAGCATTCTTGAGGCCTGGCGATCCCACTCTGTCGATAAAAGATGAGAAGCGCCCAGAAGTCATTGTTCTAGACGAGGACCGTTCAGTTCAAGCACAATCCCAGCATGATGAAATATCTTGCAAAAATGATATCCTGCTGATATTTCCGGACATCTGTCCAGATTATCTTACGCAGCTTTCACTCCTCCACAACCATAGATCCGACGCAGTCAGTTCTGCCATCTTAGACAAGCAAGAAAAAGACGGCAAGTACCCAACACGGCCCATCCCTGAGCTCCGCTCTCGAAAGCGGAAACGATTTGGCAGAGTTGATGAGCCAGCATGCGACCATGACTATAATAGTGATGAAGAAGGCGAAGAAAGTGAAGATCGCGAGCCAGAATCTGTGCGTTCTATCAAGCTCGAGATGGCTACGGAAGGATACGCAGCCAAAATGCATTCGTCCCAGTACGGTGCCTTAGCTAGGACCCTGATAAGCCAGGATTTCCCGCGGGTGCCCCAAATTGCAATACGCAATTTATTAGTCGAGAATGGTTCGTCCTTATTTAATACCTATACTGCGATGGACGAAATATATCGGAACTCTGACGGACAAATCATGGCCTGGACGGAAAAAAAGACCTTGACCAAGACGAAACAAGAATTCACGCCAGATAGATTCTCTAGCCTTGATATGAGTTCATACAAGCCTGAGGAGCGAGCTGCTTTGGCTGAGTTTTCTGCTGCTAGGGAGTTTCGTGCGGCCAAAGATGCCCAACTCGAAGCCAGCTTGGAAGAGAAAATTAACTTTACCCAAGCCCAGCTAGATGGCCAAACAAGCGAATGTGGAATTTGTTTTGAGGAATGCGCCCTCAACCGCATGGTTCGATGCGAAGGCGAGATGATGCACTGGTTCTGTCGAAGTTGTCTAAAAACTCAGGCCGAGTCGCAAGTAGGCATGGCCAGATACGATCTTGTTTGCATGTCCATGGATGGCTGCTCGTTTGGTTTTTCTAGAGAACAGAGGGCGCTTTTCTTGGACAAGAGGTTAACCGTTGCCTTGGATCGTATAGAACAGGAGTCAGTTCTTCGGATGGCTGGCATTGAAAATCTCGAGACGTGTCCATTCTGCCCATATGCTGCAGAATATCCCATCGTTGAGGTCGACAAAGAATTTCGTTGCGAAGATCCTCGTTGTGGGAAAGTTAGCTGTCGCCTTTGCCGTAAAGAAACCCACATTCCCAAGACCTGCGCCGAAGCGGATGCCGATCGTGGTCTCGACGCTCGGCATATTCTTGAAGAGGCCATGTCTCAAGCCCTCATAAGGAGATGTAACAAATGTAAGACCTAAATGCTATCTCTCGCTTGATGGCTACTAATCTCACTCCCATATAGGCAAAAATCCGTTTGTGAAGCAAGACGGCTGCAATAAGATAAAGTGCACGAACTGCGGGACATTACAATGTGATGTCTGTCGCCAGACGATCGATGACTATACCCATTTCAATGACACAAACAGAGGCGGTAAAGCTGGTCAATGCCCGTTATTTGACGTGTCCGAAAACCGATACAAAGAGGAAGTTGCTAAAGCTGAGGTGGAAACGCGGAAGAAAGTCGTGGAGGCGAATCCGGAAGTGGTAAGAGCATTATTGGAGGTCTTCTAATGATTCGCTATCACGTTGTTTCCTCTCTTAAGGTTTTATATATCTTCCCTACTCCTTGGAGTTTTATGAGGCCATAACCTATCATTTGGTTCTAATAGTTATGTAGGATGAAGCGGCTCTGCACATCCCAGTCTCCGAGAGCGTCCAACAAAGTGAAGATAAAGCCAAACAAAGACATATTCCCCGACCCTTTAGAAGACAGAGAAACTTGCCTAGGTTGGGCCGAGTGGTGCACAATAGAGCAAGAGTTCTGATAGGAGGTCAACCCGGCCATATTCAGCCAAATGAGTTGCTTGCTCAACATGACCATGGCGAGCCTGGTAGGCAGTAGAGTCAATCGTTGGAAAAAAAAAATGACCACTGACACGATCAGATGACAATAACATACGGGGCGTAGGTCTTGCTGTCCATGGAGGCGTCCAAGCGGCTTTGCAACCGTTAATAGGTCCTCCCCCCAATGGCAGGAGAAATGGGTTGTTAAAGGGAGCCGAGGATCTTGTTCAAGCTAGCAGACAATTAGGTATAAGCATTCTCTTTTTTTATCTTCTGGTCACTAAATCATGCAATCTTGTTTTGGGCCAAAATATCAGTCTGGATCCTCTACGATGCCACAACAGTTCATTATTACGCACAGCAGTAGGCTAACTTATTTCACGTGCTGCAGTACGAGCCAAAGAGCGAAATGCACCTTTACGATTTGGTGAGCTGGGCCAGAATGATCTTTTTAGGTTACATAATGCAGGGGCCTTCGGGAATATTCTGAACAAGGTGGAAAGTTTGAAGATCAAGCAGGGCGCACAACCTGAACAACCTATTGGAGTCGGCCAACGTGCTGCAGCCCCCAAGTATCCTCTGCAAATGGCACAGATACAGCCAGAGGCGATTCCTTTTGCCCCGTTTCCTTTTCCGTGGAATACCCCTCCTCCACCTGTCCCAGGCGTTGGCTATTTGTTGGGCAAAGGCGTGAACGCTTCAGCAAACCAAGTAGACGCAGGCGGTCTGGCGGCGCCCCAACCGAAACCTCTTGCCAACCTGAACTTGCCAGAGCCTCCAGATGACTCGTTATACGCATATCCCTTCGGAAGATGGAATCCCTAACTGCTCATATCGGTTCTGAGCGCCTCCAGGTACTCCTTAAAACACACATGGTGATTATGGAAAGTCTTTGGTAACCTCAATAACGCTCTGTGTCTAATTGGTGACTTATCATATTCTTCTCAGCTTTTCACCTTTTCTCTCATTTATTGTCTCGCGGTCCGGAAGGGAAGAATTTATGCATATCATATGAATGCTAGGGCACATTACGTTTGGGCGGAGGAACTCTAGGTATACCCAGGACTGCGTTTGTTTGGCCCGGTATTCACGTTACCTGTACGCTACAGCTTCACGGGATTCTGTTCATAGAATATCAGGATCATTGCGAACCAGCTGTAAGGTCGCGCTTTTCGTTCGTCCCCTCTATCCCCCCCACCGTGCCCGTTAAACTAAACATCGTGACCTCTGACGGCGACATACAACATCGTAAGCCATAATTCGCGCCTAATCAGGACAAGCTTGAGAAGAGAGCCATCATTCCGCCCAAGTACAAATGAGCTTGTTATCATAACCATATCCCATTCCCGTGATACAAAAGATACGAGGCCGTCTATAACTCGACAGTAATGATCACACATGCCAGTGACAATTTCTTATTGCAGCTAAATAGATGACTGCACATGCTCAGGAACAACTTTGCCGGCTGTTCCCTATCCCCTTGACCTCTTGGGCGTAGCTAAACCAAATACGATTACCCAAGCACCCCTTATACCCGGAAATCAATAGCCACTCCAATGATGCGAGACCCCTATTCGCGCCAAGATGTGTCGTGATGTTGACAGGTAAAACCAGACTAATAGATACATCTACACCAATGTTCATGCGTTAATCTTTCAGAGGGGTCGCAGCTGATTGGGGTTTTTGCCTCTGGCGGCTGCACGTCATCCCCTCTCTTTCTTCGTCGTGCTATTGCTCCTTCTCTCCTGTCTTTCTTTGGGGCTCGCATTCTCGCATTCGTAGGCATCCGTCTATCCTTTCTATCCTATGCAGGTAGGCATATATGCGTATGGATGTATGTATGTATGCATTCAGCACCAGCAATATTTCTCGTTGGCGATCCAGTCGACCGCGTCCTCTGTCACTTTCTCCCCCGATTCGTCTGATGCATACCACCTCATGCTGGGGATGCTGTCCATCTGGCGGTCCACGAACCTGTGCGCAACCCCGGACGCAGCTATTAGGTCTTTCACCACGGGCGTCGGATTCCATAGATGCACTGTGCCGCAATTCCATGAGCGTGCAGCATCCATGGCACCACTCAATATCGCGTCGAAAGCGAGCTGTAGGGCCTTGGGGTCAGACGATGTGTCATTGGTGTCGATTACGAGACGCAGGATGTACAGGGTGTTCTTTGCCGCGTTGGTTGCTGCATCACTGCCGTAGTTGCGCGTCCAGATTGCCCATATGCGTGCTTTGTTTGCCTTCTCCGCCTCTGCTCTTGTGTCGTATGTGTCTTCTCCGTCCGTCGCCACGGTGGCTATCAAGCCTCGGACTTCACTCGCCTCACGCCCGGGCATAGCACGTGGCACGATGAACTCCTCGCGTGCCCAATGCCAGCGGAAGACATCAGCATCGGGAGCGAATGCAAAAGCGGTACGCCCTGTCTTGCGCGCGTGCGTAAGAAGTTCGCCGCGTAGCTGTACCTCATCCTTCTGGCAGAGTTGCGCGATATTATTCTTGGTGATAGGGGCCAGCGTCAACCCAGTTCCGGGCGGCGAGCTCGATCTTTCAAGCAGCGACGAGACGCCACCTAACGGCTCCAGCAAAGCCAGGAACTCCACATGTATGCTGTCGTACGCGGGCCATCCCTTCTCGGCGTAGAAGCGCTTCCCAATATCCGACCACAGTGCGGAGCACACCGCCTCCTTCGCTTCCAGTTTAGCACGTTTCGATACTCCATTAGAATGCGCGTGCAAGCAATCGGCCAGCTTCTGCTCCTCCTCAGGCCAGGTCTTTAACACAACCCCGAGCTCTCGCAGCATGCGCGCGGCGTATTTCTTTCCGCGGAACTCAGGGTACGTGTAGACGCTGCCGATGCCGTAGGCGAGGCCCTCCCTGACTAGGCCTGATCCGTCACCGCTGCTGTTGCTGCATTGTGGCGGTGGTGCGTAGAGCACGCGTTTGCGAATCGTTTCGCAGGACGCTAGGACATTGCGGAACTCATCTGTCGATGCCGTCTCCGTAAGGATCCAATGCACCATGCCACCGTTAGCTGCCAGCGCCGTCGACGTGAGGAACGGCTCTCGCTTCAGATACGCCTCTAGATCAAGAGGGCCACCCCACTCGCCGTGGTTCAGCCGCCAGGTCTGCTCCTGTTCAGATGGGGTTGGGTGCGTGAGGACGAGCGTGTCGTCCGACGCATCGGGGTATTTCCCGCCTGCTGCTAGTGAACCCATTGTAGTGGGAAGAGAAGCGTTGCGTGATGAAACAAGGTGGCGATTCTTGTATTCTGTCTAGCCAAGGCTCTTAGTTTAATATCGCAACATGTCGATTTGGCAGGCATAGAAGAAGATATTTCATACCAGAAAGCTGACATATGACTGACACGTAAATAGCCCAGTAACAGAGGACAAAGAAATAAGTGAGGGCCTGAGTTCTGGTTCAAGGATCCATTGAGATATAGTTACCTAGACAGGTAGCTAGGTGGGACACCACAGGCACCAGGTCGCTCCAAAAACAAAGAAGCAGTGAAGCTACGTAAGTTAGTATGGTGAACTAGCACGTGGTGGTAGTCACGATATAGCAAGGGCGACAAAGGTTGGTATGACGATATGCGATATGCCACTTAGTATATAGTGCCTACGTCTTAAGCAGTCGCAGAGGGCTAGCGAGGGAAAGTTGGCAATCAAATACGTAAAACGAACGGCACGCACACCGTGGGAATCCGCGCCTCTTCGGCCGGCCTACATGTGTCCTACGCGGGGGGCCAAGACTAGCCATTCCGTTCCTTCGACGGCCGGATTCCGTACCAATAGGTTCTCCCCTTCCTCATCAGGCAAATCATCACACTGCCCACCCTTCCAGTGCAGGTGAAGCGCCAGATGTTCTCGAGTATCACCAAACGTCGTTACCAGCTGGAGATTTGGCTTACTACCATTCGAGGGGAACAACGCGCTATAGGATACTGGAAGAGGAAACTGCCGAAGTATTAAGAAGTCTCTAGTGCGGCTGTATTAGCTCGCATTCACATCAGAACGCATTGCCCCTTTCTTCAGCCTCTACTCTTGGGTAATTGTCATATTACACGCCTGTTGTCTGCAAACTCTCTACAATACAGCTTGGCATATATGTAACCGCCTGGGTGCTGACTACGCGAGCAGCAGCTCTTGTCAAGAACGTAATGCCGTTGCAACAATGACGACAGCCTGCCGGCACGATGCGAGACTCAGCACATTGGGCTAGGGCTTAAGCAACGTCGTGAATCATGCAGACATTTGCGCTTATTTGGCGGGCGCTTATCCTTGGCTGTCGTACCCCGGCGTTCACGGGACCAAGAAGCTGTTCAAGATGTGGAATAAAAACTGTGGGCCATGCCGATGCAAGCCGGCTCAGATCTACGCTTCCATGCTCTTTCAACGCAGAGGATGGGGGTTGATCAAGTTAAACCAATCATTGATCCGTTCTGGCTCATTCGTTTGTTTTCTCTTTCTTTACTCCTCAGTCGAGCCTGTATTTTCTACAAGATTAGATACCGTATCTCGCGTATCTGGTCCACCGCGTGGGATGCCATACAGTATCTAAGCAAGCCGACCCGATCCGCCGTTTTCCTATCAATGCCCGTGACCGTCATCCGGCTCTCCCTGCTCTTCCGGATCTAACTTGATCAGTGTGTCAATGCGCATGATGCTGATGCATGCCTCGACCGCACTCTTCAACTGCCGAACCTTGCTAATGCTCGGTTCTAGCACGCCAGCCTTGATCTCATCTACTACCTTGCCCTTCGTGAGGTCTAGACCGTAATTTTTGTAGTTCTTCTTTCGTGCTAATGTCTTTTCATCCTCGTTTCCGTCACCCTCCTGTACACGCTGAGATAGGGCATGTCGTGACCGGAGCTGAGCTGTAAGATCGCTCGCATCTTTGGCAGCGTTCACCGCGAGGGTCTTGGGGATGACGAGGAGGGACTGGGCGAATTCGCCGATGGCTAGCTGTTCCCTCGATCCAACTGTGCCGGCAAATTCCTCCAGATAAATGTGCAGAGCCGTTTCCACGGCACCGCCTCCAGGTACGATGCTGCCGCTTTCTAGCGTACGCTTGACAGCACAGAGGGAGTCGTGAACAGATCGCTCCATCTCGTCTAGAGTAAAGTCGTTAGGCCCACGAAGAAGGATAGATGCAGATGAATGTGACTTTGTTCCCTTGACCATGATGCATTCATCGTCCGAGACTCGCTCTTGGACGACTTCTTCGGCATAACCTAGGTAAGAAGCCTCAAACTTTTCGTCGCCATTCAAATCTGATAAAGTGCTGAGCAATGTCGCGCCCGTAGCCTTCGCAATTCGTCTCAAGTCTTCTTTCTTGCACCGCCGGACAGCCATGGCGCCTCGCTCGATGAAAAGCTTCAAACACATATCATCGATACCCTTGGTTGTAAGGATCACATTAGCGCCAGCCTTCAAGATCATCTCAATTCGCTCGATGACCATGCCCGACTCCCTTGCACGAATTTGCTCTAATTGTTTTGGGTCGTCTACGGTGATTTGCACACCCAACTTCATTCGTTCTTTTTGGAAATTCATGTCGAACACGGCAATCTTGGCATCTTGTATCCTCGTAACCATAGCTTGTGAAGCAACAGTGCAGTTCAAAGCATAACCCTTGACGAGAACCGACTCAAGCACTCCCTTGCCGTGAGCTTTTAGTATGTTGACGGCCTTGACTGGGTATTTGACTTCGCTGCGGTTATTGGTCGTCTTCACGGCCTGCATTGCATCGACTACCATATTCGCAAAGAAGTCGGAGTCGGCACCAATGATCTTGCTAGACATGGATGTTTTCGCAATGCTGAGAAGGGATTCCCGTCCCAGATTTTCCACTTTCGTGCTCACATTTTCGTTCATGTATTTAACCGCCTCCCTCAGCGCCAGACGATATCCAGTTATGATAGTAGTTGGGTGTATTTTGTTTCGCATCAGCTCGTTCGCCCGTCGTAGAAGCTCGGCCGCTATTAGGACTACGGATGTTGTGCCGTCTCCCACCTCCTTGTCCTGTTGTTGTGCGAGGTCGACTAGGATCTTGCCAGCAGGGTGTTCAACGTCTAATAAACTGAGGATAGTTGCTCCATCGTTCGTAACTGTGACATCCTAAGGCAGGTCAGATAACACGAACAAAGAATTAGGGCTGTCTAGCTGTTCGGTTAGGGTTCGAAGCTGAATGTTGAATGAACGTACACCAATATCGTCCACCATCATCTTATCCAACCCGCTCGGACCGAAAGATGTCCTCACGACATTTGCAATGGCTTGTGTAGCCAATACTATACATCGTGTGAGCACTACTATGAGCATTTGTATTGGATATGCCCTCACCATTTTGGTCCCTGATATCGGCACCCGAAATCTTCTGCCCACCTAGGAACAGGTGCCCATCCCCACCCTGTTCAAACATAGAAGTCATGGCTCGGTTATAATGGCGATTTTCGAGGTTCTTCACAGCAGGTACGTAAGTATTGACCCTAGCGTAACAGAAGACTATAATTTCCTCGTGAGTACAAGTGTGAGTGCGAGTGTGATTTAGGCTGCCGTGAGGCCGGTTTGTTGACTGGCCTAGCTGTCGACAGCTCCTGGCAGGAACTTTTCTCCTGGCTTGGTGAACCCCAGCCCCGGTGCTCTCTGTAATTGTGCATCAGCCACAAATGCCCCTCCATTGTTGCGAGATTGTGGCTTGCGAGCCGATATGACCCCACCAGCTTACCTAGGTACCTAGGTACCTAGATAGAAGAGTTAGGTAGGTACTTGCATGGACATCTGTACGTACCTCCCTCCGACCTACTTAATGTACCGGTTATGTATGTAGTAGGCACTTAACCTCAAGCAAAGGTAACAAAATGCAATTCTAAGTAAAGTTGAATCGAAAATCATCTTGACAACATCATCATCATATGTAGATAATATTGCTGCTTCATAATTCTTTGCATCTATAATAGAATGAAATAGACCCGCTGCGTGAAGCGGGGACCACTGAGGTCCACCCGAGTCAACATGAAATCAGGGTTCGTAGAAAGACTAGATCCAGCTCTACCAACAACAGGCCAAGTAAGGTGAATTATCATTAACCAAACCGCCGCCATTCCGTCTCTGCGTTTCCGGACTCCGGTGGCTCCGGCCCAGGCAAGATCTCACGCAGCATATGGTTTATGTTCTTGCCCGAGACATTCCGCGCATCTTCCCACTGTTTTGGATAGCCTAAGCTGCACTCCTCGAAACGGACACCGTCCTTCCAGTCCGTACGACGGAGATGTAGATGTCCCGATACAACCACCTTGGCGTTGAAACGTTTGTGCCAGTCTTCGGTGAGTGTAGTGCCACACCAGAGGCTAAAGCGCGGTATCCTCGGCAGGAATACGAGATCGTGGCGCAACGGCCAGTGGTTGGCGATGATGAGCGGGACCCCGGGATGCCGGGCTACCGCCTCCTCGAGCTTCTTCTCTGCTTTCGGCACTAACACCCTGCACCAGTCATCCCGCGATTTGTGCGGGTCTGGATGTAGGATGAACTCGTCGGTGGCGACTATGTCGGCCTCCTCGGCCCACTTGAGTGCCCTCTCGCGCGGCACATCGGCCGGCCTGAAGCTGTAGTCGTAGAGCGTGAAAATGGGCGCGATGATGGCAGGCCCGCCTTCACCCTCCCAGAGGAAGAAGTCGTCCTCGGGCGTGTGGACGCCGAATCTACGAGCTACCTCGACACACTCCTCGTATTTCTTCTCGCCCCGGGGCTCCTTGCGAGGTGGCATTGTGTACAGCTCATGATTCCCGGGACACCAAAATACCTCCTTAAACATATTCTTAGCTACGCCGAAGGCGAGCTCTAGATGTTCGGGCTTCTCGCCCACATCTCCACAGAGTATAAGTCCGTCCTCCGGGTGCGGCAGTAGATCTCCAAGCGCTGTCTTATTGAACTCGTAGCCGAGGTGAATATCTCCGAGGGCGTAAAGCTTCATAATGAGGGCGCCACTTGCAACAACGGTGGGTCTGGAATGGTATAGATAAAGATGAGAGAGGGGTGAATTTGTGGCAGATTTCTAAGGATGAGTGAGATGGGTGGATCCTACGGACGTTTGGCAGGTATTACCGGTCCTGTATCTACCAGCCAATCCGCTTTAGTGAACATATCGTTCCAGCGGTTGCTTCATCCTTATTTTCTACTTCAGCTAGACTACGATTGAGGGCTTGAAGGACTTGTTTCACGCACTTGAATTAGATTGCCTATGATGGATGAGCAAAGTTGCACGACCTGCATTGGACCCAAATAGGAGGGAACGCCAATCAGCCATGTTGGAATTTCATCAGAAACTGAGAGATTGAGACAGCCAAAACAGCACCACAGCACCTTTTCTCTGTCTACAATATTGGGCTTGAACGGATTGGAGCCGAATCTCAGCTACCTAATAATGATGGTTATAGGATGTAAATTGGGTTTAAACGCTTAAGTATCTCATATATTATAAAGTTATACACCGGAGTCCTAAAGCTTGAATGATCATATCTAGAAGGTAGAAGGCCGTGACTGTAGGAACTCCACAGCTGAAGAGCGAAGCATCATTCACTGTTGGTTTCCCGCATTTATATTAAAGATATATGATGCAATGTAGTTTCGCAACTCATATGTTCCTCGCGTCGTAATTTTTACACGCGCACACAGCTACGGACGCATGCAGCGCAAAGGTCCTCTTAATTACATACATGACACATGCAGTCAATTATGGAAAGTGAGGTTATACAGTACAGTCCTTGCTTCGTGAAACAGACCAATTTCACCTAGGCGCTCAGGACAGACAGTCTAATTGTATGGAGTCAAAGTCAAGCCACTGCGACTAGGAAGGAATTGGATGGTCAAGGACCTTTGCAGTCCTGGCAGATTGTTGTGATGGGAATAGCTTCATTCAGTCATCTGCCATTCTTATAGTGACCTTGTGTGACCTTAACTAAGATAAGTATTGTCAAATAGAACCCATACTAGGTGCCCCTTGAACTCCAACAATGACCCTATGGCAGGCTCATCACATCAAGAAGGCCGAAGTAGAAATAAGGATTCAGAAGGACTAAAGAATGCCGACGTGATGGATGCCAAGAGTAAATTAGTTTGTACAATTCAAGATGCAGCACGGGCTATTGTTGACCACTCAAAGGTGTCCCATTCCAGGGTCTCGCGGCTGGAGGTGCTCAAAACTGTCAACAAGTTGAGGATCTATAGGTATCATCGACGACTGGTGAACTGTTCTGGGAGCTAACAGACTATCAAGATCGCGGCAGAGCGACTCGACTTTGTCCACAAACAGAGCTTCGATCCAGATAATGCCCCTAACTACATCCATAGCTTGCTGACTGGACGTGAAGCCCGCACCCTCCATCATATTAACGATCACTGAGACATGCCAACTCCGCTGCTCGCCTTCAGCTTCCAAGGCTACGATTGCGTGGGCCCAGAGATTGAGCTCGGGGACAACGGTCCAGTCCACGTGTGGAATTCGTGATATTTCCTGGAAATCCTTGAGATGTCGGTTCAGTTCCGCACTCGCCACGCCAAACTTGACCTTGAGCGACGCGAGGAAGATGAGCGAACTCCTCCTAAAGGCCTCTCGCGCCGCGATGCCCGAAAACGTCGGGTCAGACGGGTCACTGGGGAGCAAACGGCCCTCGAGGCTAAGAACAGCATGGAGAGCTGGAATTATAAGTTGTGCTGCCGTCGTATCCTCCTTCCAGAAACTGGCATCCCGGCATCGCATATTGACGTAGCTAGCGACAGCCGCCGTTGCTAGCAAAGCGCCCTGGATATCGCCGAGGTAAGGACAGTGTCTATCCCAAGAATCTAGCAGCATTTTGAAGTATATGCTGTCGTTCCTCGTGTCGATCTCAGTAATCGAGCCCTTGGGTACTTCGAAAAGAGGAAGAGTGTTGCGATAAGCTGCTCCAGTGAGGTCATACCTGTAATGCCGTAAATCATTGAGTTATCATATCGCATCGCTGAAGGAGGTTGTATTTACCATGATATGATGAGTCGAAGCATGGGGTTCGTGATCGTATTGATCCCTCCCATGTCATCGATAAGTTGCTTGAGACCTTGTAAATGGATTGCCTGCCGCGAAAAGTTGCCAGTTGAGGTCTAATTGGAGGAATCAGAAACGAGTTCCTCTGAACTTTCAAAGAATTTCAGAGAGACGTACTTCATAGCATATGATGCCGGTAATAGCACCTAGCAGCCCCTCTTTACCTCTCTCACTCGGGTCTGCCAAACGTTTTGAAACTGACTGCAAAGACAAAGTGTACCATTTCATGGTTTCGGTATCAGTACCGAGTTTGAGGTTTGCCTTTCCCAGCTTTAGATTTCTAGTGCTGGCGAGTGTGATGTACCATGCGGCTGCATCAGCTAACCCGATGGACAGCCAGGGGAGGAGAAAGGGGATATATGAACTGCGTGCTTCTGCGAACACTGCCTCAATGTTAGCTAGTATAGGTCTGATATTGCGCGGAGTTACGAGATAACTTACCGTACCTCGCTAGATTTCGCCGCTCCTCATCCATATCGGTTGGAAACACGATGCTCTTCAATCTAGACTCATTCAGCGGGCTTGGCACCAAAGTCCGCTCAACCTGACACTCGCTATCGGAACTAGGAGCAGTTCCCATTGGCACAGGCTTTACTGTAGCCATTTTGCTACATAATTTTGGTTTTCGCCGAGACCTGCCTATGTCCTTCATCACATGGCGGCGAATCTTTGTAGATTGCTTCTTCTCATCACCGGGCCGACCCACGTGAACAAACTCGAACTCTGGCATTATCGCTTACTTGGATTCATCGGCCAGTATGACAGCTTAACTTAGGGCCATGTTACGAGCGTGTCGTCAACATAAATGCTGTTAACACCGTGTCATATTGTCGAATCTAGAGTAGCGACCATTTGTACCATTGTCGGTGCATATGATTGAAGATTAGGTAGCTGACGGCAAAGGTGGTAGTGCTGACTAATCGGTTATTTGAGCAACGACCGATCCAGTCATTTACCCCTTTATTTCAAGGTGCCCCCGTGTAACAGTGGAATTCAACAATTGAACAATCCACGCCTATAAAACGAAGAGCCTTGTCATGATGAGTTCCACAATACAATAAGACTTCTCTAACTACCAACTTGGACCTGGCCAAACCAAAGCTACCGACTAATGGAACCATTTGTAGTTGCGATCAGATGATTTGACTCACATCAGCTCCTACTAAAGTGGTTTAATTAAATAATGCCATCAATATCGTCTAGCTCCCTATTACATATTTCTTTCCAACTGCAATTGTGAGCAAAGATGAGCCTGAGGGATAGAATTACATTTCTACATTCCCGTGACATGTTGTAACAATCGTTAAAGACTACGTAACCTCGACTGCTTATTCACAATATACGATAAACCCATCTGATCATAATCTCATCTAATTCATCAAAACTATGGAGGTATACCCTGTGCTACTACATCCATATAAAAACCTGTCACCTTCACGGAATCGGATAGGTGACATTAGACCATGTCCAAGTCTCCGCATCGATATCTGGAGTGTATGTGAGCTCAGCAATGATGCTGATAAGTACGGAGCCCCAGTGGGAAAATAATAAAGGGATTAAGCGCGACTAATGGCCTGGCGGGCTCGGAGCCCGGAGATGCCGCGCTTCGCGACATTCGCATTGGCTTGCAGGCATTCCTTTTGCTGCGCATCGCAGTCGGCGACACTGATGTCAGCGGCTCCGCTGTTTCCTTGGTTGGCGCATTGGTTCTTCTGCACGTCGCAGGCGCGCTGAACGGCGGCACCGGCATTGAGGAATGTGTCACCGTTGACGGTGAAGGGCCGTTCGCTGTTGGGGTCGTTCTCGATGGGGATAGGGCCGGCACCGATGTTACCTGTGAAAACGTTCACATTTCCTGCAGGGCCGGGGGCAGGGGCAGGACCGGGAGCAGGAGCAGGAGCAGGGGAAGGGGCAGGAGCGTTACCAGGCGCAATACCAGCATTAGGGTCGATACACTCTGTCAAGTTTGTTAGCAGAGCACACACTACCAATTTCGCTCTTATTATCAACGGTTACGAAGACTCACCATTGCCTGCATTAGCGCCACCACCAACATCAACAGCATCGCCAGCGCCGGCATCGCCATTAGCAGAGCCGCCAGCTGCTGCAACAGCAGCATCGATCTCATCGGGCGTGGCATCCTCGACAATGAGGTTTTGTGTGAAGATGCAGCCAGTCGGGTCATCGGCATCATCACAAGTGTTGCCCGCACCAGTGTTATCATTGACCTGTGTTTCCTCAGATTTAGTACGATCATGGGGATGGAATGCGGGCAGGTATCCATTCTCTTACATCACCGGGCTCGAACGTGCCAGACTTGAGAGCAAGCTGAGGGTCGGCGCCAATAGCGGCTAGTTGAACGGCTAGGTCGAGCGTGATTTGCTTGTTTAGATCAGCCGCGCCGTCAGAGGCTGGGTCCTGGTGTTGTTGAAGGGCGGCGATCTCGGGGTTGACGGCGGTCTCGGTGCAGAGAACTGAGGCCAGGCCAACAGAACCGGTGTTTCGTTCCTGTACGCAGTTAGCGAACCATTAACTTAACTATCTGAGACGCATTTGTGTCGAGGAATCAAAGTACATACTAGTGCACGGAAGATGAGAGCATTTGTCATGCCTTCAATGTCGCCGGCCGCTTTGGCATTCGTGAAAGCCTGATCAGCGACGTGCTGTTGTAGGCAGTCCAAGTCTTCGACATCTCCAGCACCTTCGGCAGCAGCAGCATTTCCAAGGAGGGCAAAGACGGGGTCCTGGATGTTTTCGACATTATTCAAATTAAGAGCCTCCCCGACCCCGGTCAAGAATTGCTCGTGCGAGTGTTCCTCTGTTTCACGGCATTAGTATCTAAAACATTTGAGGCGGCGTCCCGTCACTACGACTTACGAGGTACTTCACGGCGGAACTTAGCCGAGCTCCGGGCCTTGCGCGAAGATCGCACGGCGTCTGGACGGGCAGATGCCGCACCCACCATCACCAGCACAGCAGCACTAGTCGTGAACTTCATCTTGAATGGTAGGCTGTATATAACGACCGTAGATTTGATGCCGATAAGACACGAAGAAGATCCCTATTATCCGTATAAAATACTATATTCTTGCAAGAGGCCCGGCCTAGTGGAAAGTAAAGAGCGTTGAGAAGCGAAGGAGTTCACAGAACTGAAAGAATGTAAAAGGGTGTAAGTGTTTCGAAAGAGAGACACAGGTGTTCACAATGAAAATGAGAAAGAAAGACTAGTAGAGAATCTCGTGAGGTAGCTTGCCTTCTATATACACCTTCAAAACATCTATGATCGCGCCTAAAGCGTGGGGGGTTCTAGACCAGGGCGTCATGCTTCCTGACGCATCCCTATCCTGTTCAGTCCCCAAGGGGCATAGCAATGTGGCTCGTCTGATTCTCCCCAACTGCCAGGGTCAACTTCAGATGAGTCTCACAGAAGATAGCCCTGTGCGATAACGAAGCATCCCCGGTTTGGTAGATCTTTTCGTCCAAACGAGTCTTGGGAGCATGGGTGGAGGGGCGTCTCCAAGCGTTTATTCCACGAGATGATCATAGAGCCAATCGGCTGCACGACGAGCCGATGGGAAACTTCGTCAGGGGCAACCTTAATATCGATACTTAGTGTAGTATTAGCAGCATCGCGAGCTTACTTACATAGTAGAGGAAAGCGGCAAGGATCCGGCCGGCGTCTGAGCCATTTCATTGCGTGAGAGAATAAACACAGGGATATGTCAGCGTGCTGTGTGAATATCTAGCGCTCCCGTTTTGCAACACAAGCTCTCAACACGATTCTGCGGTTTAGGGTCACTAGGTATGATTTCATCAGCCGCTTCGTCGCGCCGTCGCACTAGAAAATACCTAGGTTAGTAATGGAAAGGTTCATCCTGGCCTTGGGACGAATGCAGGGTATCATTTGCGCTAGGTCGAATGCATCGACTCACTAGCGCTTGCCCCAGATCTTGAGACTGAGGAGGTCCGGGATGAGACTGCTCATCCTACTCCAAGTGTCGCAGTTTGTTCGAGCCGCAACAATGCAGGCATTCTGGCCGAATACCACCCTACCTACCTACCTACTTACCAAGTAGACTAGATCAATGCTGAACATAGTAGAGTTCACTTCTCTTGACGTGGTCCCTCAATTATTAATAACAGATGATGTCGATTTATTTACCGACTACTGCGATATAATCACTAGGTACCCTCTTGCGATCGCCAACCTAAGCTTTTTCCCGAGCTCTATCCACCGAGTCATGTCCTGCTACCTGGCCTGGTATTTTCTAGGTGAGGATAGGTATATGCCAAAGCCCCTAGCCCACATTCTCGATACAAGTCCCTGTTACTGGACATACCTACTACACTATGTAGTGGTTCCATTACATATCTACTCTCAGTCTCTCATACAAGGGTATATAGTACAAGGTTTACTCACTTGGCAGATCTGGCGTTTATTTTGCGGATGCTCGGTCCGACAGTCGTTCTGTAAGGCTCAACAATCTCATCTCGTCTCGACTCAGCGGCCAGAGACTCAAAGGCTGTTACACTGCTAAACGGTCTCACATCTAGGCAGGGCAAGCATTTCATCTGCAACAAGGGCCAATTGTTCTGTATTACCTACACGCGACAACTGTAGAATTGCCTATATTCCTAAATAGACGCAATTGTAGAAACACCAAGCCGCCTTCAACCTGATTTCATGCATAAGTGCATATATATATCTGCAGTTCAGGCTTGAGCACTGAGATACATCGCTTTGGTTATCACACGCTTACCAGATGTAGATTCGAAACGAAAATCTGCTATCCATAGTTGACCAGATGATGGTTAGCTCCAAGACTCAGGACCTCGGCATCCGTTCCAATCTCATGTTTATGAACAGGATTCTATTGGAGTACCACTTGGTCGCCCATGGGATGTGTTGGTAGCGCATCATATCTATCATGGAAGATCATCCTGCACAGGGTTAATACTGAGTGTTTCGAACATGCCGTGTCGGTCTTGGCAGGTGAGATTTCACATTGTAAAGGATCCAGAGTTGCTTGACCCATTGCTTGGGCCGGATGGGATTAATACCTTGGCACAAAAGTCTGGTACCAAACACCGGCAGTGCTTCGACTAATCCATCCGATATCAGGAGGGGCACTTGTCCGTTATTCACTAATGCCGATCTTCAAGGTCCATCAGAGATTCGCGCTCATTTAGAAGAGGCTGAACGATCAACTTGTCTTACCTGGCTCCCTGAAATTTCGGTTCGTAATCGCCATAATGTTTTGATTGCTCCCACAGATATCGGAACACGGAATCCATGGTAATATAGAAAACATTCTTTAAGGATTAGGTGCAATGATCTTTGTTCCACTTGACATAATCTGTTTTGTACACTTTGGCAAATGCCAAGGAAAAAATCTAGAGAGTGCGTTGCGAATGTCCCCTTCTCGCCATTGTCTATTCCATTTAAAATTGATAGCGTGGTATTCGTACAGCGCGGTTTAACCAATCACAAGTTTGCCGTCCTCGGGGAAGTCATACGCAGGAATTTCGAGGTTAAGAGGAGCAGGACCTTTCCTTATACGTCCGGAGATATCGTAGTGAGAGCCATGGCAAGGGCAAAACCAACCACCATAGTCACCAGCCTCGCCAATAGGTACACAACCCAGATGTGTGCAGACACCTGTATAAGAAGGGCATTGTCAGTATTACAAGTCGATATTCGTGATGTATTGTACCGAGGTTCATTCTGTTCGGAAACGAATCAAAGATAAAGTTTATCATACCCAACATGACTAGCCATTCGGGCTTTTGTACACGGTCCTCATCGGCTTGAGGGTCTCGTAGCGAGGCAACGTTGACCTTGTTGGCCTCATCGATCTCGCCGGATGTCCTGTGTCGGATAAAGACGGGCTTTCCTCGCCACTTGATGATGACGTTCTTGCCTTCGGGGATAGCGTTGAGGTCAACTTCGACCTTGGCCATTGCCAGGACATCGGCGGAGGCGGACATGTTCTTTAGGAATTCTGGTTTGATTTGAATTAGCACTTTTCCGTCTCGAGATGTTGCGCAATTGATGATGGCTGGTGCAGCGGGCAATTGGTGATCCGGAGCGATATAGGTTTCGGGTGCACGGCGGTTACACACCTTGGACAGTGGACTTGGCGCCAGCGGCGGTGATGGCGCCCATTGTCCCGACCATGAAATAGGAGAAGAGCAGGTTTGTTTTGGTGCTGTTCTTGTTGACGTAGTGGCTGAAGTCGGGAATATTGGTGGTCTTGGACTCGCCCTTGAAGGGGCTCGAGTAGGAAGCGCCATCCTGGAGCGGTGCAGAGGTGGAAAGCGTGCGGGCGGCATTGAGACAGGCGGCCGATCTCGAGACTCCGCGTGCCAGGGCACGGGAGGCGATCGTGAGAGGAGCCATGGCGGTGCGGGTGGTGAGGTGCAATGGGTCGGGGTCGAGGCGTCGTGGACGGGGAATCGGCAATGGACGTTGAGGTCTTTTTTCAAGCTCCAGCAAAATGGGTCGGGTACTTCGTATGTTTCCATGTTTCCAGACAGCACAGCTAGACTGGGCTTAGCGCTAAGCACGCAGCCCTCCGGCATCCTCTGCGCCCTGCCTCACCCGAGTGCTGGAAATTGCCCCGCGCTGATTGGCCAGGACACAGGTCAGCAGTGCATTGACCACCCAGCGCAGTACCTACCTCTGCTAGCAGCCATCTACGAAGCACATGTAGGTACCTATTAAGTACCTACCTACTTACTTAAGTACTTATAAGAGGTAAGTAAGTATGTACATATATGTACCTAGTCCGTATCGAACAACTTGATTCACTTGATTATACAACTGGCTGAGGCTATGAGGACTGTCAAAGACAAACAGCACCATCTGCTCCATTGCCCTTCTCGCAGGATATACTTTAGAATCGATCCTACTGAGCCAAATATGATGTAAGGCCACGTTGATAGATCCGATACACTCGAAAAGCATAAATAACATCTTTTAGTCTTATTGGTATCTCAAATGTTTGGACAACGAGCAGATTCTATAACAAAGCTTGACGTTCCTTAAATCATCTTCATACCTAATCATAGTCAACCTTGCAAAGCGCCTATATGTTTATCACATCAATGCATGCGTTTCAGCTCTTCCACCATGTTTCTCATAGCTTCTGCGTCAGGGCCTAACCCTTCACATATTTCTCTTTGTTGGTTTTCGTCAAAGTCAAGGAACTGCTCCAGTAATTCACCGTCAACAAAACGGAACGGTCCATCTGACTCCCGTTCCTCGTTCCTAAATGACCTATACCGAGAAAATTCTATGTTGCCAGTTGTCTCTACTACGTCGGCGAGCTTATTCTGGAATCGCATGAGAAGATCTTGATTGTTATCCGAAATCGTTCCGAAGAGATAGACGCCTCCCTCAACCTTTGTGAAAATTAGCAAGAAAAGCGACTGTGTCTCACGAGAGCTACCGGGGCTTACCGTGCCAACAAATGCCTTGGGGATGATGATGGCATTCTCACTTGTGTCGACCGTAACCTTGCGCATCTTGTTCACCATCTCTCCAAGGTTGATCTCGCTAATGACATCCATTCTCTGCTGATCCTCTAGCGTGGCACCCGATGTATTCCTACGCAACATCATTAAATTGCCTTGTGTATCCGACTCCAGCCACGTTTCACCGTCGACGTGACATATTGCCGTGGCCCAGAATGATTGGTAGTGCCTCGAAACCTCCATAAGCCTCGCTGGCTGCCCGTTAGCCGCTGGAGTGAATTCAACAAGGCTCATGGATTTCATTAAATCGGCCACCGCTATTGTATTCCCCTCAACTACTAGGTCGATCGGGTAGGTTGCCGGTCTATATGACGCGATTTTCTTCAACTCGGCAGATGTGGTAGACGCTTCCAAGTACGAATAGACGATGACTGTCTTGGCCAATGCAGCAACAATATTATCACCCATAACCGCGAGAGCCCTGCAGGCACCCTTGAGTTGTCGACTGGTAATCAGGTATGGCTCTCTTTCACTATCAATTCCAAGCACTAAGATTCGACCTCGTTTATCATTTTGCGAAGTAATGATTTGCCCATCATCCAAATAGCTGGTTCCGACGACGAACCGCTCCGCTCGGCCTCCATAGGAATCCGGCAGGTCCGCACGAATCACAGCTTCCACCATCTCAACCCGAGGGGAGCTGTCGAGAATGACAGCTTTGCCAAGCTGCTTGAATATAACTTCATCTACTAGCTTGAAAGAGCTGATGATGACTTCTTCGTTGTCCGTGACTTCTCTTTGAAAGCAGCCCAGACCAAAGACCCGCTCGGCTCTTGAATACGCTATTCGCCGAACTGTTTCCCCCATAGGGAGAGGATTGACGTGTGTACGGCGCATGGTATCTATCGTCGATATCTTAACTTCTCTTTCAGTTGCCACTACAATAGAGTCTGGGAAAGCCTCGGCGTCAAAAGGGCAGATACAAACCGCATCGTCAGCCGTCACAGCTGAGTAGACGATTCTACCTTCCGAACCATATATAAGACTGGGAATCTCGCTTGTGGAGAAGATATTATACAGTCCATTAGCTCGAGGAAGAAGCTGTAATCGCGCGTGTCGCATGCCTAGAACAATCATCTTGCGGCCAGAGAGAGAAAAATCTTCCTTCGAAACGTTGAAGGTTATGACGAAGCCATCCTCCATAGATACGAATAAAGTCGGTCCGGCTTTGTCTCCCGGCAGAATTTGTGCGAGAGCAATGTCACGCGGCACTGAGGAGTTGTCATCCTTTCGCCTAAGACTTTCTCCATGTAGAGGCTGCAAGGTTTGAACATCGATGATGGAGATAGATCCAGATTTCCAAAATCCTACGACTCCGATACTAGGGTATTGTGGTGGTAGATGAACACAGGCAACTTGATCTGAATCTCCAAGGTGGTTTTGCTCAACCTTGACAAGATCCTGGCCAATCTGGAGAGAAATGAGCACTCTACCGTCGACTGAAAGAAGAATCCACTGATCATTTGCAGATACATTGGTGATTTCTCCTTCAGCAGGCCGCCAGGTAGATGTTGCTACGCCACTCTCCAGATCGATAAGCAGCACACCGCTTGGTGTCACTTGGAGAAGTCGATCATGTGATAAATTCTGGGACAGGAGCGTTGGCTCTGTGAGTACCATCCCCTTGTAGTTATCCACTTCTTCGATATCACCAGCAGACCCGAAGAGAAATATTCTCGACTCTGTTAATAGTGAGACAATTAAAGTATCCGCCTTTGGCGCACCGTAAGATGTTAATGAAAACAATGAGCGAACATTCTCCATAGAGTCGAGTATTCCTATGTCGTCAAGGCCAACGCCACTTCGTACGCTCCGTAGGCTACCATCTTTGTGTACACCACTCCCAGTGACAATTCTTGCTTGCCCTGACGAGTATTCATTCGACGTCTGACCCTCGCCTTCTCGATTCCCCATGTCCATGATGGTCATATCAAGGATTGGGGCAATATTATGCAAAGTCTGTATCAACTTTATTGTACCCTGATCAATGTTGACGCTGAACACTTGTGAGTCACCGTAGTGGGAACCGACAAAAAGGGTACTATTTCCCATATATACTAAAGAACTTGGCCGCGAGATCGTACCGATCTTCCTCATTTCCATGCCTGTGACGACCACACCATCAAGGAGGATTTCCAGCATCCAGAGATGACCATAGTCGTCACCAACAAAATAATGAGAGACGTCATACTCGGCCCAAGCGACGAAGATCGATGCTTCTTGAAGAGCTGACTCGACTTTCTTTTTGGCGGCGTCGTCATAGTAGAGAAGTCTCGTCTCGCCAAGGACGATGAGGCCACCTAGTTGGGCGCGTGCAGAGGCAGCATTTCGACTTAGATATCTCTTGTGGTCTTCCTCGCCTTTGGAAACCGGAATCAATAGAGCAGAACCTGGGTCCTCAATTTCCATGCGATCAATCTGATCTCGTGTCTCGAATCTCGACACTTCAGTGTTATTGTCGTTGGCCGTTAAACGATATGAAACGAGATGGCAATCGGGGTGTTCTGTTCGAGTCTGATATAGAAAAGCAATCTTGGGGTGACCGGTTTCGACATGAAGAAAGCTCGCGCATTTAATAAAAAGCTCGGATATGCGGACTTGATCCATCCAGCTCAAATTTTGTTTCTTACTCTTGATAGTATGCATGCGGAGAACATTGATCACGCCTTCCCAAAGTAGTACCACCATAAACCGGCCAGTTGGGTCCACGATGCACTTGTCCTGGCTCTGCGAATCCCGCATGTGCTTCTCGTTCATGTCATAGAACATCTCAATTGTATCAAGCCTTCCCTTTGCTTGGTCCCAGCCGACAGTGAAGTATTGGAACCTGTCGGTTCCAACGAAAAGCAGATCTGTATCGGCATCTCGCGGTCGCAAGCGCTGCAGCATAGAAATGGTACCGTTGACATACTGAGTATCCGTATGGGCCAGAGCGCCAGTGTCTTCAAGTTTCCAGACTTCTAAACGGTTTGCCTTGCTGTACACGCTATGCTTAGTATACCGCCCTCAACGCCGGACCGGGGCGGAAACCAGAGGGCCGACTTACGCTACAACCAGGCACTCTGGCTCATCCGGAAACAGATTGAGGCGTATGGCATGACGAACACTGTTTGGCCTATGGATGGGCGCTATGTATGCCATCCTCAATTGTTTCTCATGGTTCGTAGGACGACAATTTATGAAGCCGCGGAATCTTGGAGTATTATGACCAAGCTCTCTAGCTAGCAAGGAAGCTTCGATGATGTATGTAATAAGAAATAGGCCGGCGATAAGTGCATACAAACGCCGCTTTTTACATACTTCGGGCAGGGGATGGGGCGCTAAACATTAAGTACCGGTACAGACACCGGTAGGTACCTACAGTACAGGTTCAGCTGTATGGCGGGGTAAGGTAAGGGGGGATACTTAGGTAATTACCTACCTACCTATGAACTAACCTAATTACCTACATATGTACTCCGGTACAATCTACCTGCTATACTATGGGTACTATGTATATAGTAAGGATAATCAGCAATAAGAACGTAGAAATGGGACATCAAACTGTCAAAAATTATTCACACGGCATGAAGTCTGATGTGCACATCTTCTAGAAACAGTGAATCATTTGTAAATCCTGCTGTCTGGGAACCCACATGGAACCTGTAGTGGCAGCAGACAAGTAGCGCGTTCCTCAAGAATTTCTTTTAGCGGAAGCTTCTTTCGTCTTGAAATGGCTTCTCAGCTAGCGTCAATGCCTCCTGGTAGGATGCATACTCGAAATGTCGATTTAGATGCATCACAAGACAAAGTGGTAGAAGAGAAAGAAGAAGAAGGGGACGGGGACGACGAGGAGGAGCGTTGGACCACTCTTCAGCTAGCAGCGAAAGACGGCGACTTAGCACGCGTCGAGGAGCTTATCTTGCAAGGTGCCGACGTGAACGCTCCACCGCGAGGCTATTACGGCAATACGGCACTCCAAGCGGCTTGTCTATTCGGCCGCGAAGATGTTGTTCATCGACTGGTCTCCGCGGGCGCCCAAGTTGATGCTCCAGGCGGGAACAATGGCAACAGAAAAGCTCTACAGCAGGCATGTTCCATTGGCCACGCATCACTTGTCGAGTTTCTGCTCGTTGCTGGCGCAGACGTCAACTCTCCTGCTGGGCGGTACCACGGTCGCACTGCACTCCAAGCAGCCGCTGAGGCAGGTCACTTGACAATTGTCCAACTTTTACTCAATGCTGGTGCCAACGTCAACGCACCGCCAGGGGCCACGGCCGGAATTACTGCTTTGGCAGCTGCCGCTTCAGGTTCGCATCGGGATATAGTAGACTTGCTTTTAGATAGGGGAGCGGACTTGGACGCGAAGCCAACGAGGCACAAAGGGCTCACGGCTCTTCAAGCCGCTGCCTTGAACGGCAGCCTTGAAATTGTGAACAGGCTAATTGAAGCAGGGGCAGATGTCAATGCTCGTGGAAGCTCTTTTAAAGGTGGAACAGCATTGCATGCCGCTGCCGAGAGGGGACATGCTAACATCGTCAAACGACTTATTGAGTCAGGCGCTAACATCGAGGCACAATCAGGCTGGGGAAATCAGACACCATTGCAAAGTGCTGCTGTATGTGGACAGGACGAGATTATGGACATATTAATCAGCCACGGCGCTTCTGGGAATACTAAAGGAGGAACGATATTATTTTAAGACGGCCAGGCTGCTATCTTGCTGGCGTGCTTTCTGAGGCTGCCCATATTACTCTAGGTTTAGCCTCGACTTCATGTGACTTTACCTGTACTGCCTAGGCATACCACCAGGACAGCCGTTCCAGTCTTGCACCATCGAGACAGGATAAGGAGGGCGGCTACGGTGTAGCCCAGCTCGAAACTCTACATCCTCGGAGCTTAATTCTTCGGGTTAACAAATTGTCTTAGGGCTCTCCGCGAGTATAGAAGCTGCTGTGCTAGCTGGTGCGACTAGTTCATGATCAATTCAATCCTAGAACAATCAAGGGGTAAGGAGCAATTGAGATAAGATGCCATGGCAGATGAGAGTGAAGATACTTGACTCAGCGGACATGATAGCGTAGCTAGACTGAGCTCTCATAATTATTCTACATTGGTAGAAATATACAGCCTGGAATTAGTGGAAAATTGTTCCTTCGAGCTGTAATCTCCACAGACTCTGTCCTGCACACACCAATAGTTCACCTTTGCGTCCAAAACATAAGCTAGAGCAAGTGCCTATTCATGGAAAGGTTCGATGTCAGCAACGCAATAGGATACATTACACGCACACGAAGTTATTCGAATCGATAGCTCACCTGGTATCTGAATCAAGCCAAGAGCTGTGCCTCCTGAGTTAAATATTTCCACTCCATCTGCGCATGCAGCGTAAACGTTTCCGGTGGGGTCGCAAATCACTGCGGCAGGGACTCCTGAGAATGCAAAAGCAAATACACGTCTATTTATTAGGAAGGGCGAGGATCCCGGCCGTCGGGTGATATCGTACGCGTATATGGTTGCGGCGCTTCATGAGACATACAGTTAACATGAGACAATCTTCTGGAGTGAGTAATCACACTAACCTTCTCGAGGCGTGTTTGTTTCCTGGTCGCGCGGCTTCGGTATCGGTAATATACAAAGTATCCTCCCTAGGGCTCAAAGCGATGCCAGCTGGCCTCTTGAGGTCATCTGCAACAACTCGAAGCTCGCCAGTCGTTGGATGAAACCAATAGACATGACTTGGCAGTTGCGGCAGTGGGCGAATTTCTTGTTCAAATCCAGCACAAGAATCCGTAAACCATAGTGCACCGTCTTTTCCCTCGATTACGCTTTGAACAGAGTTGAAGGCTCTACCGAAGTAATTTGTAGCAACTGGAATTGGTCGGCTGCCTAGCGGCATGTGAAAAAGCCCACCGCTATAAGCCTCGTGGGCGCCTTGCGAACAGTATAGTACACCTCTCTTGTATGGAATAGCACCAGAAGGCATTGGCATGTTGGCTGGGGGCCGAAGTTTCATCCATTCTATACTTGTGATTGGGGCTGTTAGACTGCCAGAAGAGCTGGACTCCGTAGTGCGACGGAATGATAATTTCGAGATGAGAATCACAGGTAGCCTAGAGCTTATGGTGGATTGCAACAAGTCCGAAGTCACGTAGAGTTCGTCTGTATCTACGACATAGGCGCACCCCTTGTGGAAAAATGGGTTTCGTGAAGTGTCCGCCGAAAGCAGAAGTGAGAAGGTACTAGTATCGCCTATCACAGATCTGAGGCTGGAGTGAAATTCTTTGATCGCGATCGTCTCCAGGCTGGACGATCCACTCCTTCCGCTACCACTAGCCGTGTAAGTAAGTCTGTCTGTAGTTTCTGTTGCATTTCTCGCTCATATGACAGACCTTTCTGTGGGTGTTTGCACCTTGTGCAAAAGGTCCACCACCTACAAAGGGGGCTCAGCATGACAGTCTCTCTCGATTTTGATATAATCTCACCTTGACCGGTACTGGTTGGACTTTGATGCCATCTTTCAAGATAGATGTCATTTTACCGACCCAGTTTCATAGGTGTGACGGGACCAAGGTCTGATGTTGGATGGGAGGATGATGAAGTTGCGTGCCTATCAGGCATAATTGATATAGCGTGTAACCTCGCTCGTGCGGGGGATGCATAATGATAGAAGCCTAGAACGGCATTCACATGATTATTTTGCGACCACCCTTCAGCTTGTCGAGTCAAAATCTCATCAATCATTTTATAAAATAAGGTAAACACAAGCTCGTTTAGGTGTTTAGGCCATCTAATAATAAGATGCAAGGTGGTCTTGGTTTACCTCTTCAAGCTCTCTATGATAGGAAAATAAGGGTCGATACTAGGCATTTTAAAAGAAAATCCACTTGGATCATATGTGTATAAATATGATTAGATTCTTTATTGTATGTTTCGGGATTGAATAGCTAGTTTGGGCCTTCACAGTATCTATACACCCAACATGCCTGTATGCTACTGTACTGACAGATAATAACGATGCATGTGGTCTCTGAATATTCAAGCTGAGTAACTGTTGCATATAATGTGTCCGATGGGCCCGATCTAGAAAATTTACATGTCTAATACTCGAAAGAGTTTCGGCACTCTATGTACATTGTCCATACCATTACACGGATTGTGACTCAGACCTTGATGAGAAATGAATGTTTGATAACTACTTCCGGCGGTTTAAAGAACTAGTGTTCATCCCCATCACGAATTCCAACATCTGCAGTGCTCTGATCTGAGTTGAAGACCATGCAAGCTGCCATTAAACCGGCTGACACATCACGATGTCTGGGTAACCACTACTGTGAATGTACATGGCTAAATGCAGCGCTCGGTTATCTCTTTGGTTATCTCGTTGGCCCATATGACTACTACCAGTATAATTATTAGTATAACCGCCAATGCAACCACCAGTATAACCAACAGCATAGCCATTAATATAATCATAAGAAACCCTTGGCATTGCTCTAGAAGCATGGGTGTTAGAAACCATGTCAATTTGAATAGTCCAAGAGGCTATGCAAGATAGACGGAAAATGTTAGTCAATGAGCCGGACAAGCTTATCACATACACCCCTCTCTTTCACGCTACATTATACAACGCCTAGAATGTCACCTTTAGCTCATCACATCCACTCCCAAAGTATAGACTGCGATAAGCTGGAATTGGGTTGAGCTGAACCCAAGTCTCGACTGTCCCAGACATTGATGAAGAGGTTTGAGGACTTAAAGGAAGATCAAACTGCTCACGTGAGGAGACCCAGATTGGTACCAACACTCCTCAAAGTGGTACGACGTGAATTAACACACCCTTTGACTTTAAGTGGGTGTCTTCATGAAGCGTTGTCGAAATAATGCTTAATTGTGACCTCTAATGTACAATGACCTGGTTCCGATCAAACAAGCGCCCGCAATTTACATTCGTCTCTAGTGCTTGGCCTTCTCATCGGCGTCGGCCTGTTTCAAGAAGTTCCTACCCGAGCGTTAGTATCCGGGCTGATCTAGATGATTTCGGTTCGCATACTGAATGAAGTCGGCCTCGTCGGGGGATGACGCGTTGATAGGAGGAGTCTGAACGGTCTTCTTGCTAGGACCGCTGAAGGCCATGTAGGTGCCGCCGAACAGGGCACCGAGCACACCCATAGCGAGCTGTCGGGGGGGCTTGTCAGTCGGCTTTTTCACACCAAATAGCGCAAGATGCAAGTAAGGATTAGTGGAGGAAGTCAAGTGAGCGACATACGTAATGCGAGCCGACCTGGCGGCCAAAGATCTGGTACATAGCAACCATTCTGGCGGTATTGAAAGATTGGATGCGAAACGAAGGGGCTGGTTCGCTCGATGGGGTCGACGGCGTGATGATAGTGACTTGTCGTAGGAGGTGAAGAGGCTGCCAAAATAGTGCTCGTAGCTTGCCTGGTCCGGTTTGAAATTCCGATGGTCCAGCATCTTATCGCATTGACATATAAATCGCTTATAACAGTAGCTGGCTAGATGCATATCCCGTGGGACCCACCACTTGGTGGGCTAGATCCCTGCTACCTACCTCGGGCAGAAGCTCGGGTCCGCTCGGGTACCTACTACCTACTGATAAGCAGCGACGTCACCAGATAGCTCCCGCATCACGTCTCACAGTTTCCAATTAGTTCAATGCTCTCCAACTGACTATATGAACTCGAGTTAATGGTAAATCGCGTTTGAGCTAAGCGCCCGTTGCAAAAACCATTTCCTCCTTCTGCTACATGTAACTATTCGTCATCAGTTCAACAAGATGTTTTGGGGCAAGGGTCCGGACAAGAAGCCCGAAGATAAAGCACCTGAAGCCTCGCCGGCAGCCACTAACGTAGATCCGCGAAAAGATGCGACGGGGTTTGATCCGGATAAGCTGCCCGCAAGGCGTCAGCTCCCCAAGGGGCTACAAAAGATCGTAGATACATCCGATAAGGACGAGAGTTTCTTCGACGAGCTGAAAGATGGATAGTATGTCTTGTCCCCTCCATAGCTCGTTTTGCTCGATGAATTACTAATGGTGTGCCTACCAGTGTCCCTGACTCAACCGAGTCTAACGTACGTTATGCCGCGTATGCTAATCGATTACGGACGATAATGCTCTCTGCTCATCGCTACGTCGCTTACACATCTGACATTGGCGAGTCGTTCCGTCCCGTAGCCCATCCGTGGTTGGTCAGAGGCGCATACGGCGTTTCATGGGCATATATATTGGGCGATGTGTCGTACGAGGGCTATAAAGCATATTGGCATAACCAGCGTGTCTTGAATCCCCAGCTCGAACTTTCAGAGAGGCAGCAGAAGGCAACCGGTTTGTCCTCAGTAGTACCAACTCAAGCCACACCCGGAGTTGTGTCACCACTTGAAGATTACCGGACGGTAATGGTGCAGCGAGGAATTTTCCAAAGTGTTGCGAGCATGGGTTTACCTGCCTTTACTATTCACAGCGTTGTCCGATATTCAGGCCGAGCTTTGAAGGATGTAAAGAATAAGACTTTGAGGGTATGGGGCCCGATTGGCCTTGGTTTATCCGTAGTGCCATTCTTGCCGAGACTTTTTGATGCGCCTGTTGAGAATGCTGTCGAGTGGTTGTTCCACAAGGGCTTTGAATCCTATGGTGGACATGCCTATGTAGGTGACGCCCCGGCTACAGGGCGCGAGGCGACTCTACACCAGCGATCCAAGAAGGGAACCAAAGAGAAGGAACTTTAGATGTACGAAATACAGGCACGGTGCCGTTAGCAGGGTTGAACTAGGTTTGGTGGATTACTATGGGAGCAGTACTGCATCTCTCTATATTCAAGACAGAGTTTAGATATAAGTCAACCGCTTGCGGGTATAGGAGCTGTACATTCGATGTTGAAATACAACTATCCAGCCATAATGAAACAAAATGAAATCCATTATTTCGCATCGCCATGATTGTCATTCCCCGAAAATCCGCTTCTAAAAATGCAATGAAAACCGTATCAACGCCGACGTAAATGCGATCTATGGCCACGACATGGTTTCCTCGTATACCGTTCACATCTCGATTAGATCCGGAGGAGGCCCGATGCCTCGCAACAAGACAATCGTGTTTCCGCTAGCCAGGACAGATCCAACCTTCTCATTAAACTCAAGTACTCTACCTCCCTCCACATGAAACACGCGCAATTTATCCCTCTCGTCCGACGATTGGTTGTTGATGTTTTCAACCTGTAGGCTCTTGGCTGCGGCGTCAAGGATCCTCCCTATTACCCAGTCCTTTGAGTAGAAGAACTCGCCTTTATAATTCTTAGCAGTCGTCGTTTCAGCTTCGGCTTCCACGTATAGATAGACACGCTTCTCAGGAGGTAGTTTGGCGTCGCCCTTGGCAGTCCTCTTCAAGTTGTTGACGGCGACTAGGCGGGCGGAGGCAGAAGTCGGCTTTGGCTTTGGTAGTGCCCGACTTGCCTGCTCTCTCTTGGCATTTCCCCAAGCGCGCAACTTCGCAAAGGCAGATTTGGTCTGTTCGGTCACGTCGCGGGAACGTGCACCGATGGGGACTTTATTCTTGCAGTCATGCTCTTCGCGTAGTCTGTGTTTGAGACAATAGTCGTGGTTACAGTTGGCGCAATGCACGCCAGGCACCAGCGACGTGCCGACCGTTGTCTTACAGTCAGCGGCTGCGCAGGGCTTCTGGTTGACGAAGTCGCGCATACGTTTTCCCTCGCCCGCTGCAGGGCGTGCCAGTTGCGCTTGTCGCCGTCGCTCGGCCCAGGCACCTTTGTTCTCGCATTTGTGCGAATCCTCGGTCCGGTGATCGAGACAGAATGTTTTCTTGCAGCTCTGGCAGAAGAAGGGTAGGAAATCAAGCTGGTTGCAGTATTCAAGCTGGCAGTGTTTGCCGATCAGTGTGGCGTCGTTGTCTTTGTCCATTTTGACGTAGCTCGTGTCAGGAGCGTCGGCGATGAGTGAGGAAGACATCTTGACTATACACGCGCATCAGGCACCTCTTATGTACCAGGTAGTTCGTGCGCTATGAGAAGGTTTCAGACTGCATAGGCAGTTGGTTGTAAGCCAGCCTTGTGGGCGCGAGATGGCGAACTTCATACGATTATGTAAAGAGAGGGCTGACCAAGGAACGGTCTGGAAGCAGCTAGTGAGGTGGCAGTTTGGTACCTGCAGTCTGCTACAGGCAGCTGAGAAGGTGAGGCGGCCCGGACCCCACGGCATCTTAGCGTATCTTTTAGGAACATACTTAAGCGAAGACTTTACCTCAGCATTCTAACTAAATGGAGTGGTGCTTCACAAGCCCTACCTTAGCATATGCGCACCTCCTACAGGTCATAAGGATGGTAATTGTTAGCGCAACGCTAAATTTTGTACAGGCTGGGATTTTTGGCAGGATATTTGTATGAATATACTTCGTACGCAGGGGTTTTGGAGTGGCAAAAGGGCCTCGAGACTGATCAACAGCAAGATTTCTACCAAAAATGTATAACAGCCTTATGAACAACAGTACTCTTACTCTCTTAGAAAATAGCGTCGCGCTAACAATTACCATCCTTATGACCTGTAGGTGTCCGCTATTATTACAGGTTGCCCGTATGAAGTACTCATGGATCAATGATGAGGATGTCCGAGTAGATTACCAGCCATTATTTCTACCATCTTGTCGTTCTGTTGTGACTGCTATATGTCAAGATCGGAGCTAAGCAACTTGGAAAGTATACCCCTCCCTAGCCTATTAAGGTAGCGAAGGTACGGAGTACATAGGTAGTAGCTACAGGTCCACGGGTAGTTAAGTAATGGGTGGGGTACCGAGGTACCGTAGGTACCTACTGAAAAGACATACCTACAGAGCACTAAGACCAATTTGGGACAATTAAAGATGTACTCAAGAGTCACGGGTCTTCGCGTTTCGATGACGCACGCAGCTTACCTCATACCTATCTATGGGCACGCTCTTACAGTTTTCAACACATCGCAAATTGGCGCTTCTTATGGGAGAGCCTTAGAATCTACGCTTAGTTATGCCCATGTCTGTTAAAGATGCCACCTCATGTACCGCGTAAGCGGTCATTACCACCAGACAACAATAGGCATGTTGTGAAGCGGCCGAGAAAGTCAGCTGCTGAAACTCCTCCTTCAGCAAATAGCCCGGCTAGGAAACCCACGTTATGGGATGATCTAGATTCTGCGTCCAAAAGGGGATCAATTGAGAAGACTAAAGCAGCAATACAGCAGATGCAGGAGGATGAAGATGACAGCACATCTCTCAGCTCGTTATCCGATGCTCAATTCGAGGATGTCCCTGGATTTAAAAGACAGGAAACCACTCATAACCTTGACGATTCTGATGAGGATGACGAGGATATAGAGTTTGAGGATGTTCCATCTCACGAACAACCGAACCAGCCTGAGTTGGAAATGGGTGATCTTGAGTTAACCCTGTACCAAGACAATCGAGTCCTACCCCTAGCTAGTGAACTTGGAAAGAAAGGCCCTTCGAAGAGGGAGAAAGCCATCCGTGTTGCTACTCATTGTATCCATGTCCAGTTTCTACTATGGCACAACGCCGTGCGGAACTCGTGGTTATGCGACCCGGAAGTCCAAGCTGTACTGCTATCCCACTTACCTCCCAGGCTATGGGAGGAAGTCGATCGGTGGAAACACAGTAGCGGATTAGAAGCTACAGAGAATGAATGCAAAGCGAAAAAGAGTACTAAGTTAACAGCAAAGCAGAAACCTCGATCAAAAAGAGATTGGAGTGAAGCGGCGGATCATTTGGAAAAGGGGGTCCCGGACTTAAGCCATGGGGATCCTCTTTTCAGGCTCCTTAAATGTTTGATAGCTTGGTGGAAGCAAAGATTTGCTATAATAACCCCTGGGCTGCGCAAATGGGGCTATATGGACGCAAGGAGACTAGGCAAACTGAGAACCGCCTTTGAAAAAGAAGAAAACAATCCAGCAAAGTTTGGAGAACGAGTTGAGAATCTTGCCAAATTCCGGCAATTAGCCCAAGATTGCACTGGCAGTAGAGATATTGGGGCACAGCTCTTTACTGCGCTCTTGCGAGGGCTAGGACTAAACGCAAGAAGTATGTTCAACATATATCTCGATCCCCTCTTTTGATTATCTCTTGCACTTCAAGTTTCATTTCGGCGTGGCTGTTGCTTTTACTAACTGTTAAAAATTTAGTGGTTGCAAATATCCAACCCCTAGGATTCGGTTGGAGCAAAGCGGAGGAAGCCGACGAGGTGATTGAGCAACAGAGAAATGGCCACCAGGCCAAGGAGCCTGCAGCGAAGACGAGGACGGCTAAGAAAAAGGGAGCAACAATAAGACTGGCTAGACGGCAAACAAGAAAGTCTGATAGGGATGCTCTCAGAATAGATATAGACGATTCTGACGAATTCGCAGAACCTCTCAGTGAGAGCGAGGGGGATGCATCTGTAGTGGATATTACCGATGATGTCCGTCCTAAGCAAACGAAGTTGCATGATAAGGATCTAGAGTTCCCTCATTATTGGACAGAGGTTCTATCACCGGTTACGAATAAGTACATCGCTGTTGACCCAATTGTTAAATCTATCATAGGTACGAATCGCGAACTGGTCGAGTCACTAGAGCCACGGGGTGGCAAGGCCGATAAAGCCAAGCAGATAATGGCTTACTGCGTGGGATTCTCTCATGACGGTACCGCAAAAGATGTGACTGTTCGCTACCTCAAAAAGCAAATATTTCCAGGCAAGACGAAAGGAATCCGAATGCCAGAAGAAAAAGTACCCATATACAACAAGCATGGTAAAATCCGTCGGTATGATCAGTTCAACTGGTTCAAATCAATTATGAGCGGCTACTCTAGGGGTGACAAAAAGTATCCCATTACTGCACTGGACGAACTGGAAGATTCCACAGATCTCAAACCTGCCCAGCCTCAAAAAAAGGAGATGAAGGAAGGAGAAGAGACATTACAGTATTACAAGACATCAAAAGAATATGTTCTACAACGACACTTGAAAAGAGAAGAAGCATTGCTTCCTAATGCTCTTCCAGTCAAGATCTTCCGTAACAAGGGTAAAGGTGGCAAGGTTGAGGAGGAAGATGTTTACCTGCGAAGAGACGTTGTTTCCGTGAAAAGTGCCGAGACATGGCATAAACAAGGCCGCGCTCCAATCGATGGCGCCCAGCCGTTGAAACATGCCCCGTACCGAGCAGCAACGACGAATCGGCGCCGGGAGATTGCCGAAGCCGAAGCTGCAACAGGCCAGAAAGTTTTGCAGCCACTCTATAGCTTTGACCAGACTGACTGGATTATCCCTGACCCTATTAAAAATGGTGTCATCCCAAAGAATGAATACGGGTTTGTGCAATCAATCATCTGCTTTAATGAAGTACTGCTAACGGGGTCGTAGTAATATTGATATGTTTGCTGAGCACATGTGTCCAGAAGGCGAGTCTCTCCTAGTTTTCTTGGTAATTCGTACACTAACTGGAAATAGGGGCTGTTCATGTTCCGTATCGTGGACTCCCTCGGGTTTGCAAACGGCTTGGGGTCGATTTTGCCGAAGCCGTTGTTGGATTTGAGTTCGGTCATCGTATGGCTGTACCCGTCATCCAAGGCGTAGTGATAGCACAGGAATACTATGACCGTGTACTTGAGGAATTGGAGAAAGAGGAAGCAGAACGAGCGAGAAAAGAAGATGAAAAAAGAAGGAAAGCTGCTTTGGGCACTTGGAGACGGTTCCTCATGGGACTACGGATCGCAGATCGTATACGACAAGAGTATGGACACCTAGATGAAACTATCGATGTCCTTGACTCTGGCAACGAGAGCCAGAGGAATGTTGAGAATGGTATGCATGACGACGACTTCGGTGGAGGTTTCTTACCTGAAGGGTATGAAGAAGATGAACCGGAAAAAGAAGAGCCACGCCAAACTTCCAGCTTCTTCAATGCGTCTGTCACTCACGACGACGAAGATGACGAAGGTGAAGATCCCTTCCAAGTAGAGTACGATAAAGAGAGAATAGATCCCGAGCCTGTAGAGGCACGAGATGATGACTCCCACAACAGGTTGGATGAAGCGCCCGCCAGGAGACGAGGGGGAGCAAACCCGAAAACTAAGTTTAAACCACAACAGTCGACTCGACGACGAACGAGGAGGAAGAAAGTTGAGTCGTCAGATGAAGACCAAGACGCAGGCGACGAAGAATTCAAACTATCGGACGATGACGATTGAGGTGTAGTAATGTACTCTTCTATGACATCGCACGGATATTGCCATTTATCTGGCTATTAGACTTGTATTCAACAGGTTCTGTCTTGGATTTGCTAATGGCGGGCAAGGGGCCGTTTCCCTCACTTATCGCCCCCCATGTTGAAATTTACATCTCCATCATTGGACGGTCAAATCACGGGGCGAATCTGACCTCGAACGACTGGTCCACTGTCTTCTACCAGCCTCTTCATTGCAGCAACACTGAACGTAATCTTTGGACAAACAGCTTTCGATGTTGGGATGCAAGTATGCCGTGTTCCTGATTATTTCGAGGCTGGACTATTGCTCTGAATCACATTCACCAAGTACCAAGCCTATCCCATATCTGTGCAGTGGCTCTGCCACCTTTCAATAATGATGTTTGTGTGCTACTGCGTGTCTCATTGGTACCTACACTGCCTAATCTAGATATCTCATACCTCCATATTCTCATAAAATTCCGATCTCAATGCGTGATGAAGTAGACTACAAACGAGGGGGAAGCATCAAGACACGACTACTATGTAGATTCCACTCTGGTTACTTTCTACACGTACCTGCATAAGTACCTAGGTTAGGTAGTGGGTACGTTCTCAGGTAAATAATGGAATACAAGTACCTACATACTTACATACTTACATACATACATATGTACAGTACGTAGCTTGTCCCGCACCTAGAGTACATGTACTATAGGTAGGTACCTAATGCTCGGTATGTATTCTGTATGCCGATGGTACAAAGATAGTAGCTACATATATCCACTGTCTAACCGAAAGTAGCCACCAGTCTACATGGGATTGTCCATGTCTACCTTAGTAGGTACGGTATCACCTTGGCTCTTTTACTTCACGCCAATGTCTGCTCACTGATTTGATTGAACTATGTGATTTTGATTTATGCTGGCTTGTCATATTCCGTACCATAAGCCTCCTTCTAGCAACGGACGATCTATCTGCCCTTGGACAGTTATTGCTAACATACTGCGGCGTTTTACTATTCCTGAGGGCTTGGTGCGCCTAAGCACGATCTATCATCCATCATGTCGACCAAACCACCGTCGCGGGTTGTCTTTGTTGGAAATATCCCCTATGGTACTCAATTGCGATATTTGTTTTGATGCCAGCACAGATGGTTGACATGTCATTGCAGGGCTTTCCGAAGAGCAAATCAGCGACATCTTCAGCACTGCTGGAAAGGTCCTCAACTTCCGCCTTGTCTATGATCGCGAGACTGGCCGCCCAAAAGGATTCGGCTTTGCCGAGTATCCAGATGCAGGTAAGTCAGGGACATCATTCTCTTGCATATCAACTTATCCGAACTTTCTGTGCTAATTACATTGCCCGAATAGACTCTGCAGCATCAGCAGTTCGGAACTTGAACGACCATGAGATCATGGGTCGCAAACTTCGTGTCGACTACAGCACCGAAGGTCGCGTGGATGGAGATGATAATACCAATACCACCAACGATTATAGTCGCGGCGCCAACGGGGTTTCGCATCAAGCAGCTCAATCACAGTCTGCAGGATCCCTACCGCCTCTTCCACCAGGAAAAGAGCTTCCACCAGGCATGACTGCTACCGACGCCATCTCGCGAACACTCAACACTCTTCCCCCTTCTCAACTTCTCGATATCCTATCACAAATGAAATCGCTTGCCACCACGGACCCAGCCCGCGCGACCGAGCTTCTTACACAAGCACCACAACTATCTTATGCCATCTTCCAAGCTCTACTCCTCATGGGTTTAGTTTCACCCGAAGCAATCCAGTCCGTTCTGGATACAAGCGCTGCGCCGCCACCGCCTGTTGCGCAACCAACACCGGTCTATCCCCCGGTGATGCCCAGCTATACAGTACCAGCAACCTCGACACCCCCTGCTCCTGCGGCCTACGCGCCACCTGCAAACCCTGCGCCTGTTCAGCAAGATCCAGATGCTCTCATGCAGGCAGTTATGAACTTGCCACAGGAGACTATTGATCAATTACCCGAGGCTGAACGGCAGCAAATCCTTGCTCTTCGGGCTAGCTTCATGGCACAACGGCGTTGAGGCTACTGTGACGAGACATTCCTTCTTTCTTAACACGCATGAGAACAAAGGAGCTCCACGGTGTCATTTCGAGATTGTTTCCACAACCTAGGAACGCGACTAGACCCGGTATGATGCACCGAATCGACTCCCGCGATTCTACCGATTTAGGTCCATAGGTTAGGTTCTCGAGCTGCTGAGGCTTACAACCAATTCGACGTCTCACTATGTGCTTTGATGGACCTTGTACATTATAATCAGTTATTATTATGAAGGCTGGTGTCACGAACTGGGCAGGTTATACAAAAGACTTATGCGAGCAGTAACTCTACGGTAGAGGAGATGGCACCTCACTAGGTATAATATTGCCGCAGGGTGGATGAGTGGTATGGCAACTTTTCCCTGAAATTGTCGAGCGTGTAATTCGCCGATTGGAGAGGTCAAGGTGCTCTCCTCTAGGCTGCTACTACGACTTAGGTGTCGGTACTGTAGTAAGTCACATACAGTATGGCCAGAATTACATGCCTAGATGATTTTAATTAGAACTTCCTAGATTGTGTTCATTCAAAGCACAATTCAATGGGTGGAATAGTGCACAATCAGTTAATTTCACGCAAGAAGTGATAGTCAAATCCAAACTTATTTGTATCCGCTCCAATTGGGCCAAGCTATGTGAGCAATGTTAGACTTTGGGTAACAGGATATATGTATCTTTAAACCATCACACAACTACTCAGTACGATGTTACTTGGCAGAGGTGCCAGAGAGGTGCCTAGCCAGAGAAATGCTGGGGCTGCTGCATATGCTGGAGATCAACCCCTGTCAATCGGTACAGGAACTGTCCAATGGGCAATGGCTTGGGTTCTGGTCTGGGGCGGCCTTGGGGTGGACAGGTACAAGGTACAGTGGCAGGTACCTAGTTGCGATTGGATACCGTACAGCACTTGGCTACGCCGCCACGACGTCACATACTTAGCTCTCAGCATAACCCTACCTACCTACCCTACCGATCCTCTACCTAACCTAGCTCAATGACTCTTCACCCATGTGACAATTACACTACACATCCGCCCACAACCCCATCTCGACATCGAGCTTCTCGGGCAGCACTTCGTTTTGCTGCCATATACTAATAAAATTTATGAAGAGCAGCTTTACTATACCATACGGAGATATGGCGGCTCGAGGACGTCTATAATAGTCCGAGACAACTACACAAGCACCAGAATATCAATCCCCGTCACCACCCGCAACACTTCACAGCCATGCTGTATCGCATAAGGTAGCTTCGCTTTTGACTTTCTTTGCTACGATTTAACAAGAAAATTGCCTCCAAGTAAACGAACAGCTCTTATTAATCATGGTCACCAACCCGTATTCTGTCCTCGAAACCTCCCCACGCGGTTCGCCTTCTGGGCCCCCCGCATCGAGCTCCCAGACTCCCAGAAAGAAGCATCGCGCAGTTCGGAAAAATAAACGCCCAAGGCGAAAGTCCTTCGCTGCCCCTTCGGATGATTACGCTGGAGACCCAGTACCAAACGATACCTCAGGCCGTGAGGGATTCTACGCCCGAGGGAGAAACCTCAGCAAGGAGAGCATAGATAGCGAAGCTCTTTTAGATCATAGGTATAGACACCGCCTCTACTTCGTCTATTGTTTCAATTGTCATCTAACAAGGTTATTCAGGGATGCCCAGTATCCACGGGCGAGGCGACCTTCTGCACTTGCAACATCGTACTCGATGCCCCAACCTCCTGCTGCCCGCATTCGTAACATGTCTTCTCGTCAAGGCGACCAAGCTGGGACCGATACAGAGAACACCCCTTTACTATCTGGCTCAGCTAGGTTAGATGCTGAATCGCCTCGGAGTTACGGCTTTCGCGAGGAGCAACGTAGGTGGGAGCAGCCCAATAGCCGTCCTGGTTCTACCAAGTCGAGCAACAAGCCGCACACGGTTCTTCTGACGCCTGGCGGGATGCACAATATCAACTACCCTCCCTCTATGCCTGGAACGCCCCCCTTAGGTTCTAGGGATCGGGGTGATATCAATTTTGGCGATGCCATGATGCGAGATGGTCTATCCTTAGATAGGTCACCTGCTCGCAGCCTAACCGACGGCCATGTTGATCCATTGCAGCAGTCATCGTTTGAGAGGAGGCAGACAATAGCACTACAGGCCTCTGAAGATGTTTGTTTCCCTCAGGAGGGGATGTCTGAAGTAGCGGACGATGAGGTACAACGCGCCCGAGACAAAGGAAGCATGCAGGGACGACGGCGACGTAATAAGAAGTGGCCCGACCTAACCATCCTCGAAGAGTGGTCTCGACTCGAGCAAGAGGACAAGAGTGATGTTAGGCGTATGAAGAAGATTACAGAGCCGCAGCTAGTGAACGGACGGCTACGCCCAGTTCACCACAAGGGGTGGTTCCAGGTTGAGGAAGATGCCCCTTATCGCTTTACCTATTTCAACGAAGAGCTTCAAAGCACTATACACAGCCAGACTATTTCCGAGCTTGTGCAACCAGACGCTACGTTTCGAGAGCTTTTCATCCCAGATCCGCCACTATTATCAGATTCTTCGTCTGATGACGATGAGCTTTTAGAAGACGTAGTAAGCATTAGCAGGGAAGGCGAATCCTCTAAAGTCCCAACAAGACAACCATCCTCAGCCACAAATTTCGCTCTCGAGTCGCAATTGGACCTGAACCTTTCACCGAAGGAGAAATTTATTGCTTCCAAGTCCCCTTCAAGACACACCTCCACCGGATCAACGCCAAAGGGATCGAAATCCCCTTTGCGAGACATGAAATCCCCTTCCCCGGATAGCGGTGAGAAGCCACGGTATGGAGAGCGTCCTGTCTGGTGGCTTGATGTTCTAAGCCCTACAGACTCAGAGATGAAAACGCTTGCCAAAGCCTTTGGTATTCACCCCCTCACGTCGGAGGATATCATGCTTCAAGAACAGCGTGAGAAAGTCGAACTATTCCGACACTATTACTTCGTGAACTACCGCTCTTTTGACCAAGATGCCAATTCAGAAAATCATCTTGAACCAGTCAATATGTATGTTGTGGTGTTCCGCGAGGGTGTTCTCTCCTTTCACTTTAGCCAAACGCCACATCCAGCCAACGTGCGTCGCAGGATACGACAGCTGAAGGACTTTATGATGCTTAGCTCTGATTGGATTAGTTACGCAATCATCGATGACATCACAGACGTCTATCTCCCTCTTATACAAAACATTGAAGAAGAGGTGGACGATATTGATGACAAAATCTTGGAGCTGCACTCGTCCACTGACCCTGATTCATCATCGCCAAAGCAGAGGCGGGGCAGTAGCACTGACGAGAAAACGAATGCATCAGAGGGAAATGCAGAAGCGAGTGGGGACATGTTGCGCCGTGTCGGTGACTGCAGAAAGAAAGTCATGACTTTGTATCGACTCCTAGGAAATAAAGCCGATGTCATTAAGGGATTTGCCAAGAGATGTAATGAGCACTGGGAGGTAGCCCCGCGGTCAGACATTGGTTTATACCTAGGCGATATCCAGGACCATATCGTGACCATGAGTGCCAATCTAAGCCACTACGAAATGTAGGTTTTCTCTTCTGGTCTTTCTCTTACCTTGGCGGGAAGAAGCTTGGCGGTATTTTTGTTGTATAAAGCTAATCCACTCTCCTCGTAGGATCCTCGCGCGCTGTCACGCCAACTATATCGCTCAGATTAACATCCGCATGAACGAGCGAGCGGAGCAGACAGCTGATGTCCTGGGTAAACTGACAGTCCTTGGCACCATCGTTCTCCCCATGAACATCATCACTGGTCTCTGGGGCATGAACGTCTGGGTACCTGGGCAGGGAGCCGAGCAAGACCTGACTTGGTTCTTCGGCATCACCGCCGGCTTGGTGCTCTTTGGTTTGACCTGCTTCTGGATTGCCAAGAGGGTGTACAACATCGTTTAAGGGAGCCCAGTACCAAAAGTCTCCCTCGCTTATATCTCTTTCTCAATCGACGAATGGAGAAAGAGGTGATTTTCTTTTTCTTGTACCTCTTTTGTTTACTATATACGGCGGCATCCACATGCTTGCATTCGGAGTGGGGGTTCAATCATAGGGTATAAAACTGGCCAGACCAGTTGGGTTTAGAGGCTCTTGTATGGAGCACATGGTCAAAAGAGCAAGCTTATCATAGGTATGAGATGTTTAACACACCATTATCTTTTATTGAATATAACTTCCTTCGTGGTAAATGGCGAGTTTGGATTAGTTTGGATTCGAATTGATACGATGGGGTTATTGTAAATTTGCCGAACTTCCTGCTCGAATGGCGAGGTTATTGTAACGTATATATTTATACATAGAGAAAATAAATATCTGGTAAAACTCATTTCGAAAAATGCTATGCTGGTATGCAAACGCTTAATAAATTGGACTTGACTCGAGAAATTTAATTATCCATTCATTAGGATGAACGACATTGTAAGGAACTCTTTTTCCTTCCTTTAAACTCACCTATATACATTGTTCTAAGCATTTTCTAAGTAATTCCATAAATGAACCTAGAAAACTAACTATATTTCAATGAATAGCACTTGTTTATTTTATGATGTAGGCTAAGCTGTGTTCATCAAACTAGAACTAATGCTATAGTATATCTTTATTCTCCTATAGCCGTCAAGAAGCAATCAAGCTACTAATGAAAGGGGGGTGAGAGAAATATTGTCTTGGAGAAAAAGCACGGCAGATTTTGAATTATATGTAAAATGTATAGACTGTACGCACAGAGGGCTATTTACTATAGGAAACTCAAGGTTGGTTAAAGATGTAGTATAAACCTATAATATGTTGCAACCTTGTCACTACCAACTTATATACCTAGAAAGGAACTTATAATAGGTTACTGATCTTTCGGAATATCCCGTAGTATAGATTTATATCCCGGCTTTGCTACTACTTGGTTTTTTTTCTCGATTGGTCTCTCCTATTCACAGTGAGCCAGCGTCAGGTATTTGTACGTATAGTACCTATTTCAAGGAGATCAAACGTAGTACACGCCGTATATGACAAGTGACATGATTATATTTGTGTGTAATCTACATTTGCCCATATATATACACATTTAAGAATCTGAGCCATTGATTTAGGTTACTGGTCGCTGCTGAACATTTGGCTTTCCGTCATCTGTCGCCATTGGAAGTCGTTTTTTTTACGACTTTTACAATGCGAATGCCAGCGCCATGCATCGGCGGAGCATTTTTCAATTGTCTCTGGTCTACGTCGAGGAAACGAGCCGGTTTGCCGGTGAATTTGCGGAATAGCATTCCATCCCGTACCGAAGGGCGCAGGTTGGCCCATTCTTTTTCTGTGAAATGCTCTAGCCCTGTATCCCCGATGGTATCAATTTTCGTGGGAGAAGCGTCGTTTGGTAACCAATAATCATTTTCTGGAGATTCTGGGGAAAGGTTATCTAAGGTTATGCGATTGCGCTCAGGGATGCGGAACCAAGGTTGTCCATGGCCACGCGCGACACGCATGGCCGCGTCGAACCCTGCGCGCATAGAAGGTATCACACCAATTGTGGTGTAACTGGGTCCTGCAACGCTAAGATGACCCTGAAATGCCGAGAGAAGTTCGTAGTGCGCCTCTTTCATGCGGTCACGATGACCCACGAAGTGCTGCGGTAGACAATCACGACATAGGCGTGTACTTGCAACCACTCTTTCGTCAGAGTTGATGCCTAGCTGACGTCGTACAACCTCCTTCGCCATAGCAATTCCCGCCTCTTCTGACGGGAAATACTCCCAGCCATCCCAGTGATGTCCGCCAAGCATGACAGTGAGCTTGGTGCCGGGCATTTCGTTGTCATCGGTTCGTAAATCTGAGTCGAAAAGTACGCCGAGAGCACCCTCTTCGTTTTCGGGGGTAGATGATGGGATGAGGTACCCGAAACCATGTTCAGCCAAGAGATTGGGGTTCGGGTACCACAGGTTGACGACCATGATAGTCACGGCATGTGTCTCTGCGAGTGAGGGCAAAGAATTCTGCGGCTCCGTGATCTGAGCAAGCTTCTTAGAGAATAATGTACATATCACATGGTCGTGTTGTGCTGGTTTGTTTGAGTTTGACTTCGTCACCTAGAATGCTGATTAGTTTAAGCATTCAATGAGAGTATGGATTCTTGGGTGACCAGCTTACCAAAATTTTACCATTTTCATGCTTTAGTGATGTAATAGTTTTGTTGTAGCTGAAGGTGACATTGCTCCTCTTCTTGAGGTCTTCCTCTAAGCCTCTAACCAACGATACAAGGCCGTCTTCAAATGCTAACAGCTTCCAATCAATAGCCTTCTCAGCTAGCTCAATAATCTTGAGCCTGTTAGGTCCACTCAGCATGTCAAATAACAAATACCATTCTTTGAGATCGACCCAAGAAGCTTTCATGTCAGGAGGAAGAGGGTTTTGGAAATGATACCACAGGCGGTCTAATATGGTGTGCTTGGCACTCAATTTGTTGATGTCGCCTCCATATATGCCGTGCATTATGCCAGACACTATATTATTGATAAATCTGTCATCTTTTAGGATCCTCTTTAGAAACTGCGTGACTGACTCGTCGGTTTCTGGTACCTCGTGGGAGGTGTTGGGATGGTGACGGTGGGACGGAGCCAAAGACTTGTTATAGCTAACCCAGAAATTGAATGCAGTCCTTAAGCCGCCGGACCATATGGGTTCTGAAAGGTAGCTTTGGATTGCGCCAACTAGGTTATCTAGACTTCGCTCCCCGGACGGCATTTTTACAAGATGATCGGGATAGTATAGGTAGCGGCTATCCGACACACCTTCCGGGTGTCGGATTTGATCACCCATATTCAAGCTAGCAAGCTATAAGATGGATGGGAAACACGATCAGCAATGCCGCCGTCTTCATGGCTTATTTAGAGTATGCGTGACTTACCACGTCGTACAGGACAAGATCGTCGTATTTAGTTGACGAACTGCCGGAACGGAGCATCCGCGGACCATTTTGAAGCAAGACATGGCCTTTATTCCCGTTGTCGTCCTCAACTTCGACCCTATTTGCCTTAATCCATCCTCCCGGCCTATCAGTAGCCTCGTAGATTGTTATATGCGCATTCTCTGCATGACGGGCCAAGTAATGCGCTGCCGTCAAGCCTGTTATTCCAGCGCCGAGGATGGCAATCTGACGTGGTTCTGTTTGGCCGGTGGAAGTGGTGGCGTATGGCTGTTTCTGGCCCCTATAAGCGAGACTCGAGCCAATTGAGGTTTCAGGACGACTTCGCGAGCCGGATAGAGTGCTGAGCAGTCGCGCGGACAAGTGAGGCCGGCCGAGCAGCGTGGTGGGGCGGCGGGTTGCTAACCGTTGGGTTGAGCGCTGAGCGTTGTTGTAAAGCGACCGTAGAAGGATTATGAAAGCATCTTCTGGGCGTTTGGGAATCATTGCACGTATGCAACGACAGGACTGCAGCCTGACATGTCGCGAATATGCGGCAGAGAAAAGTGAAGCGTATCAGACGGCGCTCGTCATTGTCAAAATTGGGGGGGGGGCATGGGTGGCGTGGGGAACAGCCGTCATGGCGTAGTAATGGTTCGACATCTACACCTTAAGGTACCTACCTCTACAAGAGCTACCACCTGTACGTAGTGGGTACCTACCTACAGTACAGAACATACCTAGCCTAGGTAGTAGGTACCTAGGTAAGGTATAAATTAGCGGGTAGGGACAGGTAGCTAGTTAGGTAACCTGCCTCTATACTACCGAGGTAGGTAGCACTTAGGTCACCAATCTTACGACAACCTGGTGCAAGGTGAGAGCACCTACTTATACCTATGTCAATAGCAGCTCTGTCCATGGCACCTGGCGCTGATGATTGTTTCCAGATACACAGAGCAGAGGAAGAAGATGGTTAGAGGTTTTTTTTTTTTAACATATCACAAAGATTCGCATTGGGTATATTCCATGTAGGTATGCTGAGGTCCCGATAGGCTTCCTTTTCTCCGTCTAATCCCATTCTCTGACTATCACGTACAAAAACACCAACCTGAACTCCAAGAACCCCTCGTTCAGCTTGGCTCCGCTGAGTGACACACAAGTCCAGCTATAATATACAATGCAATCATCTTGAAATCGTAGATCCCCACCTCGTGGGGAATGCTGTTCGATACCTCCTCACCTGGGCTCTCCCTCTAATTTTCCTTCTCTGATATCGTGTAACCTCGTATCATAGCAAAACATCCTGCCATGACGACAACTGTAACCTATTGAATGCTTGCATCCATAGCCGTCGCGTCTTGGGCGGTATCCTCGTCCACTCCAGGAATGATGAGTTCCTCCGCGCCATTTTGGTCGATAAAGTGCCTCTCGCTCACATGGTTCTTTGCTCCCTCCGTTGTCCACACCTTGTCTGGGAACGTGCCGCGTTGACCCTCTTCGTGCTTGAAAGGGCAGTATCGGTTCTTGCAGGGCTTGAACTTGCACATGGTTTGTAGGTGAGTAAACTTGCACCCCTCCACGTTGCAGTCGCCCCCGTTACGACAAGGAGGCATGTCGGGGTGTTTGAAAGGGCAGTGCGGATTCGTGCAATTGGGATAAAATTTACACTCCTGTTCATTCTGATGGGCACGCTTGGTAGCCGGAGAAGGATGGCGACCCACACACTTCCAGTTCTTGCAAGCTGCCCCGAATGAGCAAACGTCGGTAACATCCACAGTTGTGTTAGGAGGGGCTGCAGGCGACTGATGAGCGAACTTGCACTCCTTGTTTGTACAAGCCAGGTTGAACTTGCAAATTGTTGTCTCGGGATTTGGTGGCTCTGGTTTGCCTTGTGACATATCAACATCCTCACCCTCGGCATTGTTGTCTGGCGGCTTTGGTGACCCGGTATGTAATGACCTAGGGCCGTTCATATGATGGCCTCCTCTCCTACCACCTCGCGGGTTCTGAGTTCGGTCAAACAAAGACCTTCCTGGCCGGCCATTGTTGTTTTGGTTCTGCTGGGAAAGCTGTTGTTGCAACTGGGCCATCATTTGGTTCTGTTGCTGGAGTAATTGAAAAATCTGTTCTTGCTGAGGGCCGCTCTGCATCATCCAGCTCATGTCGTTCATACCGTTCATGTTGGGTGGGCCAGCCATGCCTGGCATGCTGTTAGCCATCTGGTTGAGTCCAGCAGATATCCCGGCGGCGCGGTTGTTCATCATGCGGTTGTTGCCGCGTCCGAGCCTAGGTCCGCTTGGAGGTCCTCGGTTGTGCGCATTGATTCGCTCGTTGCCATTTCCTCTAACGCGATGCAACACCGAGTCATGGCTGCGGTCCATTGCTTTCGCCATTTGACCGAACATTCGCTTCTCGCGGCCGCCTCTCATATTACCATTCCTCATGGATTTTGGTCCGGTAGGCCTAATTTTTGTTAGTACTCAGTCAAGAATAGAATCGAAAGACACATACGCGTTAAGTTCTGGGCCATCTGTTGATGTGCTCATCTCTGTATCTTGCTCCATAGGAACCGCATCAGTTAGGACGCCACCTTCCGCGGAATTACCCGCATGCGCGAGACCGCCGTTAAGTTGTGACTGTAGAGCATTGATCTGATCAAAAAGCCAATGTGTGAAGTCCCGAGCGGCTGGGTCATCGGGTCCGAGACTCAATAGATCGCCTGCAAGTTCTCCTGCAATTTGCTCTTGTGTTTTGCCGTTCACGAGCATGAGGATAATATATTCGGACAGGGCAGCATCGTCATTTGATTGCGCCCAGCCAACTTCCATCAGTTTCGGCTGAATGACACTGTTAAGGGCATCCGCCAGCGGCGTGTTCAGGGCGATCTCGATCGACATGTTGCTCGAGATTCGACAACACTTCACGTATGATATAGTGATGTTGCGCGAAGGCGAGGCCAGTAAGTCGAATTACGAAATGTTAAACGAGGATGTAGAAACGCGACGGTCGTAGTAGAGGCGTAGTGCTGTCGCGCGTAGTGAAAATTGGTGGCAAAGTTGGAGTGGCGACGTCGTAACGACGCGCAGGTTGCGATGCGAGAAGAGTCGACCAGCTAAATGAAAGCCGGGTGAGTCGCCTCTATGCCGTGAGGAGGACCCTGCGTCTTTGGGGGATACGGGTTGACTACTTTTGGGACGAGGCGGAATGACGGAGGAGGTCGGCAAAGGGTTAGGAGGTTGAAGAATCCTTGCGGTAGGTCTGGCAGAGTCTGGGTTGCTCCCAGCTTATTGCTATCAGCGCTTAAGCCACCTCCCGAGCCACATTTGTCAGCCCCTGTGATTATATAAACAGACTGGTTACGGTACAACGGTACAAGCCTTGTTTGTCAACGCCTTCCCTTAATTCAAGGTAGATCTACAGCATCAGTCCGAAGTGGCTGGTTGTCTCTTCATTCATCCAATCTGGGGTGAATGCATTCATTCCATTTTGAGTATTTACCCGGGCTTGCCAGGGTCTACTATGATTCCAGAGCAGTCAAGGTCAGGTGTGCATATGTACATGTACTCGTCAATCGAAATTAATCGCCACCCATAGGTACCTAGCCAATAGAGATGGACCAGCTGCTGCCAGTTCATGCAGCACTTCCAAGTTCCTAATCGACACCTATCTATGTCATTGATATCATCCCCTAAGTATGCTGTTTCAAATTTCAAATGCGGCCTTTCATCAATGCTGGATCAACCATTACGTACTTGATAGACAATAGGCGAAGGAAATTATAAAGAAGCGCAGTATTGGTAGAACTAGCCAAAATAAAATAATAATACTAATAAGGGAAAAGGGGGGAGAAGGGGGCGGGTTGGTTTCGCCTTGATACCCTTCATTCTGCTATACATAGCACGTCGAGCGTCGTAACATCATATCTCAAAACACATATACAAGTAGCAGCGTAATATCATGCTTTTCACTTCGTCACTTTCGTATCGCCATTGGTGATCAGGGTTTCTTTGCCTCCCAAAATGCAACCTTGACACCATCCCCCGGCTGACTAACGATATCAGATTTAAGCGTGGGTTTCCCGCCATCAATCTCGAACATGAAGCTCTCAACGCGCTCGAAGCGCTGGAACATGCGCGTGAGCACGTACGTGATCTCGGTCAGCGCAAACTGCTGCCCGATGCAGATACGCGGGCCCCCGTTGAACGGGATGTACTGCCAGGGGTGAGGTTGCCACCAGAACCAGCGGTCTGGACAGAATTCCGATGGGTCGGGAAACTTTTCCGAGACCGCTGGGTAGAGGTCCGGACGTCGCTGCATCACGAGCGTCGAGTACCCAATCGGCGTGTCCTTGAGCACAGCGACTGGCTGGGTGCCATCAGCTCCACCGCCGCGAGGCAGCGTCGTGTCCTTCAGCGCCAGACGCACGTTGAACGGCACAACGGGGTACAGCCTCAGTATCTCGTTGACCACGTACTGGAGGTACTTCATACTCTTCAGATCTTCGTATGTCGGCGTGCGCGTGAGGCCGAGTGTCTCGATGATTTCATTACGCAACTTTCGCACAGCATCCGGATGACGTGCAAGCTCATATATTGCCCACTGTAACAGAGCACTCGGGTTAGATATCGTCATTTTTGAGCATTGCGTATGTATATGCGCACGTTGAATAGTGTAATAACTCTCGAAGGCGGGACATAGACAAAGGAGAAAGTTATGAGATAACCAAGGCTAGAAAACGATGACCATGAGAATTCAGGGTTAGCTTACTGAAAGCGTCGCCGCCGTTGTATCACGCCCAGCCAGGAGCACGGCTACTAGCTGGTCACGTAGCACTTTACGATCACGGGTGAACTGTGCAAGCTCATGCAGGAACGTGTAGTCGTGATCCGACTTGGTCTTAGTTGCCAGCTCCTCTTGACTGAGTTTTAGCGCCTCATCGATGTAGATGTCACAGAGTTCATCGACTACTTTTAGGCCACGACGGAATGACGTGCGGGGCACCAGGAATTGCAACGGACCCGCGCGCGCTCTGAGGCTCTGGATCCGTTGCACTTCATTAAAGGCCTCAGCGAATGGTTCACGAGGGTTTCTGAAGGATTTCTGTTAGTGCCCCATGGATTATATGTTTTTGAGAAGCCTCAATGACTATTTAAGGTATGCGATAACTTACGTGAGCGATTGCACGTCTTTGCCGAGTAGAAAGCTTGTCGATACATCCAAGCTATATCTGAAGAATAACTCACTAATCTCCAGTGGCTTGCCATTTCCGGCCTCGAAGTCGACATCCTGATAAGGACCATTCAAAGCGCCACCATTCGCGATCGCTTTGAACAGGGTCTCTAGGTGAGATTCGAACGTGTGTAAATGGCTGATGCGCTCCCTCGAGAACTGAGGACGGAGTAACTGTCGGCTCGCGTGCCAGGACGGCCCATCCGTAACGAAGATGCTATCACCAAGGAACTCCTCCCATTCGCGGTGGAAGGGTTCTCCCTTGCCATAATCCGAGAACTGCGTGGCCAAGATTGCCTTGATGTTCTCAGGATCTGCTGTGAAAAGTATGCGACGTCCCACTACCACGCCCAGAGTCAGTCATTCTCCATTTTACTATTTCCCATGCTATCTGTGAATCAATCCAGATGGGGTCTCAAGGACAGAGATACTGCCCCATAATCTCTTAAATCCTAGGACTTGACACTTAGGGAAAGAAAATGAGGTAAGAAGCTTGCTTACGTAGCTGGGTCTCCGCGGTGAAGTTCGTAGACGGGCTCACTATTTCCCGAAAAGTTTCCAAGCTCTTATGCTTCTTCGTGGCTTCCACCTGCTTCATCACGATGTCCAGACCTATTGCAGTCCTTCACGTCAGATGCTTAGATTGCTTTAAAGTGGGTGGGAAATATGTGAATTTCCTTTGTGTTGCCACCTACCAAACGGCCATCGGCTAACAACCCTCGGGGCCCGGGCCCCCAGTCTTCGGAGTCGTATCGACTGATCAATCTTCAAGTAAATTATCCATAGCGTGAATGCCACGGTCAGAAAGAAGATAACGGATCGTGCCGAAGCACGCTCCAGTAATTGCTCGACCAAAGCCATATCAAAAGGAGCTGTTAAGGCCTAGCTGTCAGCAAAACCTAGGGCTGAGGCGTATCAATCGAAGAGGGGTCAGAATTATATTGAAGCTGTCTATCAATATCTCAGCGTCGAATTATTGATAGTCGCAGAGATCTTCACGTCGTCGTGTCGTTGATAATCTTCGTGATGGCGTCAACACAACGATTGCTTATCTATCATTTATTTATCATTTGCTTTTCGTATTCATTCTCGCAGTCAGTCAGACACACGATACAAGCCGAAACTAGAGCATGCCTAGGCAACTCATTTAGCTGCTTAAGTATAAATAAATGGCATGTTGGGTACCCCGGTAGTGTCGTCACCAAGATTCGGCGTCCGCGGGGTTAATATGGTCCCCAGCCCATACGTATACTGTTACCTAGGTATACAGATGATTACATGTACGTAGTACTGCACGGCCAGGTTCGATATCTAAACAGGGAATACCATTGTATGTGATTACTACTATGGAGGCTCGGCGCTTCTGATTCGCGGCAAAATATCCCCTATTCTTCTTCCCCTTCTGTAGTACAACTATCTACTGTAGAGGCTTCTCAAAAGTGTGTCTCACCTGTCCAGTATGTAGAGAAAAGAATGTGCAATGTGCAATGTGATTGAGTGCAGTATGATGGCATCTCCGCTTATTGTTCCACTTATGAACCTAGAATGTGCCGCGGTTGACTATATTCACACTATTAATATACACGTGCAGAGGGGAAATGTGCCCCAAAACGGTTAAGATCTCGCCAAAATGGATTGCCAAACCGGCTCCGTCCCATCTGAGCAACACTTCTGTAACACCCCAGAACGGCATCAAACAGGCACTTTTCTTCCTTACAGTACCGAGTACTTAATGTATGGTAGGCGAGCTAGGGGCCTTCCAGGGACTTGTGTCGTGGATCAAAACATATGGGTCTTGCGCTACACTACGAGGGAAGAGACGAGACAGCTTGAAGAGTGTAAACCTCTCTCTAATTTATAGCTGGCACACGGTACTTAAGAGACTGATCTAAGCTTTCGGGATATTGGGCCATTGCATATCTGGGTCCGGCCTTAGCCAGCCTTGAAGACAAGGAATCGAATTCGGCGCGGAGGATACAAGGATTACGAACAACGGAGTTGTTCACGATGCTCAGTTAACGATACCGCTAATCACACAATGATTTAAAAAAAAAACAGTTGGCCTGCTAAAGATCACATGTATGGAATCACATAATGGTAGCGCGCCGTCTGAAAGGATGCGCTAGAACAGGCTTAGGTTCATCTTCTGCTGCAATAAAACGACGGAGAAGGGAATCCTCCTCACAACTGTATCAAAATACATCCCCTTATCAACCCTGCGATAAACCATAAAATAATCATAAAATTACCTAAGCAACACCCCTACCTGAGTTAGTGATCGTCTGTACCGAGGCACTTGACAGAAGGAATGCGGGGTCTGGTGTCACGTCTTCTGCACGTCTCTACAGCATCTTCGGGCAGTATTCGGGTAACAAAATCGAGCGAGGATCGGTAGCGGCGTAAATCTAGAGCCCGACGGATGGTGTCTAGGAGCGATTAGCACAGCCAGGAGATCATCGCGGGTTTAACTGTAACCCCAGGTAGCGTATGTAGTCTCGACACATGTGCAGTCGGTCGTACTCTTATCCCAGACATTCTTGAATTTACCAAATAAGCAGTATCACAGTTCAAACAGGCAAACTTAGCGTCCAGTACATCGGCACTCTTAACGGAATTATTTCCTAAATATTGGGTAGGTGGTATATACACTAAACAGCCATCATTGCTTAGCCAACTATCTACCAGCCCGGGCGATATCTCGTATCTAAATGCTTTGGTTTTTGTTACATCCTGTATATTCGTCATTACAAATACCGGCAGGCAGTCTGGTTCAAGCCCTGGGTACAGTAGGGCATGTGAACAGTGGCAGACTTGATGCCTCTCGCGATCATGTACTCTCGGAACGTAGCCAGACGAGGGGCAGCCTCGATCTGTGCGCGGCCCTCAGGTGATGACCATAGAACCTCACCTGCGGCGCTGGAGCGTGGCCACAGGATATCGTCGATGGTGGCGTCATCAATCGACTCGCTCCAAGCCGCGAGCTCGCCACCGAGCACAAGCTTGGCCTGCTCGGCCGTCAGGTTAGCGCGGGGGTCGTAAGAGTAGATCAGGCGCCAGTTCTTGTAAGGGGAACACCAGTCGGCGAAAGGGTAGTAGGTTTCGAGATCAGCACCAGCAAAGTTCAGCCACTGACCACGGCCGCAGTCGAGGTACTGTATGTTCTCAGTCAGCTTACTCTTTTTTTTTTTTTTTAATATTTGGCCAAACCGCCAATATGTCTGTGAAAACTTACCCAATAATCATGGTTGCTAGTAATAACCTTGTGACCATCGGCCGTGAGCGATGCAATAGCCTCGTCGCCGAGCCAGGACTGGACGACCACGTCCTTGCCAATCGTGACGTTGTAGTCCACAGGAATCTCCTCCCACACGAAAGGCACGAGACCAGCCTTTCGTACACGGGCATGGTGCTTGTCAATGAATTTCTGCAGAAGCGGCACAATCACGGCGGAATCGTTGGTGCCAACGGTGGGGTCGAGAGTGTACATGTTGAAGTTGACCTCGTCTCCGCCAGTGTGGAAATAAGCACTGTACGGGGAGAGTCGTGGTAGGAGATCATCCATCAATTTATCCAGGAAGGGGTCAACCTTGGGCTCATTGAGGCGAATTTGACCGCAAGGCGGCTCAGCGCAGTATGAGGTCCAGGGTGTTGAGTCCCAGCCGGCAACAATATCCGGGTGTGAGAGGGCAACAATTCCAAAGTGACCGGGAGTGTCAATCTCGATGATAGGTTGGATACCACGATTGACTGCGTACTGCTGGATTTTAGCTAGGTCACTTGGGCTATAAGTCTTGCCTCGAGCGTAGGCGCCTTTCTCGTGGAGTTCTGGCATTGCGGGAATTTCCAACGGCCAGGACTGGGAGTCGGTTATGTGGATGTGGATACGATTCATCTTGTTGTAAGCCATAGCATCAATGGTGCGCATGATGGACTCCAGGGGGAAAAAGCTTCGAGAGACATCGAACAAAATACCACGGTGATCGTATTCAGGCTTGTCGGTGATTTTAACAGGAGCAGATGTGGTGTAGAAGAATTGACCTTTCGAGTGTTGGTAGAACAGCTGAGAAAACGTCTCCAATGCTCGGAGAACACCTGTCGAGGATACAGCAGTGATGGAAGCTTTTCCACGCTTGTCCACATTCAAGGTGTATGACTCGTCAACCTCGCCGGCTAAAGGCTTGAATGTCTTGGAGGTATCTTTACCAGTCTGGGTGATATCGAGATGAGTGATGTAAGTTTTGGGCTTGAAAAGGCTGGGTTCAGAGGCCTCAAGCTCCATGCGGTTGTACAACATCCAGGGCACAAAGTTCTTATGTATGATGTTGTCCATGGCACGTCCCACACCCCCCTTCACAATCTCACTGCTGGAGAACTTGGAGCCTTTCGGTTCATAACCGTAGGACCACGGAAGCTAATGTGCAAAACGTCATGGTGAGTAGCTGATTTTAATGAGGGGATGGAAAGAACCCGTGCGAGTGCGAGAACTATGAACCTACATTCTTTCCATTATAACTGACTGATAGCCCGGACTTAATCCAGAGCGTTGACTCTCCAGTACTTATGGATGACGGCTGAGGCCAGATAGCCAGCACAGGCGAAGCAAGAAGCCAAAGCGAGAGCAGCATGCTGAAGATGCCACGGCGATTTGGAGACACCATGACAGTAATTCGTCCCTTAGGGTCGGGTTCTACAACATCAAGGTAGGCGAATGCAAGTGGAGGACTAGAAGTACTCAAGTCGAATGCAAGGGGGGGGCTCGTACAGCAGATATAGTACCACGCTGTCGGCTCGAGGTGTAAGCTGGTCAGTTGCTGGGGACCGGCGCCTAGACCTGGACGCGCTCGGGACAGAGGAAAGATGTGGACGAACAGGGCTCGACGTCCTGTCGCGTTGGCGATTTGCTCGAGCTTCACGAAGACAGGCGAAGGGACTGGCGATTGGCTGCCACAAGATGACGGGATGGTGCCGGTGTGGCTGCAGTAGTACCGCAACGTTACTTATTAGCTACTTATATCCCGGAAGCTAGCTCGACTACTGCACAGCTTGGTGCCGGTGTGGGCCAACAATGGGCGATGCACTGGGGTGATTCCGGTAGTTAATGCTGCACTTGAATCAATCAGGCAGTTGACAAATTGTGGCGGCGTCGCTGGCTGCCAGTATCGTGCCGGTTGTCTCTGGTTAGGCGCACGGGAGCCACGAAGCAAGGGAACCAGAGAGATAGAAGCAAGGGAGCTCTGCGGGCTCGCTTATGCAGGTATTACAGGGGAGACAGGAACCCAGGCATGCTCGACCTCATTTTACGAGTTCGTTGGAGAGGTATCCAAGATATTAAATATGGCCTCTATCAGTGTCGATCCGAATGTCTAGATCGGGAGGATGGATGGGGTAGGCAGCGAGTGCAGCCTCAGCGAATTATCCAGTTGGAGATGCATGTCTCGCAGACATGAGACACACATTCTAGGTATTTCCTCCTCATCCCTCTACGTCTTCTGAAACCAGCAAAGAAAAGACAGCACAGAAAAGACTGAAAAGACCCAACGCAGAAGAAGCATGGGGAGGCGTACCAACCACCTCCGTGCCACCCACGTCTTGCCGCTCATACCTATGGATGAAGAGGCGAGAGGTAGGGCGAGGTACGAAGTGGTAGGTGCAATCTTGGAAGAAGTGACTCGATTCAAGGTGGTTGGGGTTGGCTGCTGCGCTTTTGGGCTTAGCACAGACTCTTACCTACTCTACCTACCTGTCTACAGTGAATGATGGTCAAATGATCAATTGGAACCTGGAGCGCACTGATCCGTGATCATACACTTCCAGCAAAGACGTCTAACATGCCTCTCGCCTACCTATCGCCTACCTGTACGCTTGCCTGCACGCTCATACCAAGAGGAGCATCTACCTACTCGCATTGAATAAGGCGTAGCGTGTTATTTCCATGTATAACAACACCATTCCTTCACCATGAGTCTCAAGTGTCAGGATAACCCCACGACACAGGTACTACACTACCTCTGACGATGAGATCAGGATACATGGATTGCCCAGTTTATTATTATTGTAATTAGGGCATGCTACAGCCATGAAAAAGGGGCGCTCTCCCCACCACCGCCAACTTCTCTTCTCCGCACACGCTAAAAAGGTAGGTAGGTACTACGAAGTAAGCTAGGTGCCGGTATGTAGTCGAGCCGCCAGTCCTCGCCGCCACAGAACTGTCGATCCCACCTCGGCGCAATCCAACATCATCACCAATCGGCACCTGCCGCATTTGGGGTCTATCGGGGTATCAGAGATAAGTAGATGCTGATAAGAGAGGAAGGCGAGCGAACAGGACTATCTCTACATATGGCGTTGTGCTGTTATTTCTGGTCGCGGCGCTACAGTGACTCCGTAGATAAAGTATGGAGCAATTGTTCCCACGATTTCACCTTCACTTGAAAGTTCTATTCCATGCGGCAGCTATGTCACTCTAGGAGTTATCTATCTATAGGTACTTAATGTAGTTAAAGTAGGATCATGCTACACTACCGGTACATTAATATGATGTGTAGATCTCGTAGTGTCGGGTAGAGTAGATAAGATGTCAGCGTTATATACCAGATACCACCATACTTATTACTATTCCACGCACTCGCTGAATATTACAATAACGATAATAATAAGACTCGACTGAACTACGCTTGCCGAACAACCAAACAATCAGCACTAACCACGACCCCGTTCAGCCATCCCTCTGGGTCCTTACACGAGTATCTCAAGAATGGTATCTATTGATTGAGATGGCATGAGATCTTTGGATGCAACGTGAGCTGTGGATATCCCTCATCCCTACAGCCCCATCTACAACCTTACACGACTTAACTGAACAAACCAGAGCCCTTGTAACCATGCATAGTAGGCTAGTGTAATCGACTTCATGCTACCTACTTTACTACTCCATAAGTATGTAGACATGCATGTAAGCCCTATGTAGAATGTTACCATGGGTGATGTGGGGGGGGGGGGGGGGTGATATTCGAACAGTGAGGAGGGTTAGGACATATACCAATAGTGCAGCACGCGTGACATTTGGAAATTGGAAACAATGCTTCGTTCTCGTTCAGGCGATTCTTGGGCGAGCCCCTAGGTATTAATCTGATCTTACATAACAACGTCAATCCATCCTATAGTTTTGTTCCCATGTTCACATGGACGGCTTTCGTCTGCGAATAAGCCGCGAGGCCCGCCTCGCCCAGCTCGCGGCCGATGCCACTTTGCTTGACGCCGCCAAAGGGCACTCTAAAGTCGGAGTCGTTGGATGAGTTTATCCACACCACTACAAGCGCTGGAGTCAGTAATTACTCTTTTGGGTAAATTTTGGGAGACACACTTGTGCCCCTAATAGGCAACTACGGCCCTTCTAGAGTAACTAGAACAGGAAGAAAATGATTCCAGGGGTTACATACTGCCCGACTCGATGCGTGCAGCCACGCGGTGCGCGAGCTCGATATTCTGGCTGAAGAGGGAAGCACCTAGCCCGTACGTCGTGCTGTTGGCCATGCGAACAGCTTCGTCCTCCGTCTTGAAGGATGCGACTACCACGAAAGGGCCGAACACCTCCTCACGATAGATGGACATGGTGTCTTTAACGTCGGTGAAGACGGTGGGCTCGATGAAGTACCCCTTGCCGTTGAGCGGGCATGGCTTGCCGCCCATTGCTAGTGTCGCGCCTTCGGATTGCCCCGATTGCACAAAATCAAGGACCCTTTCATACTGCACCTTCGTTACCTGTGGGCCTTGGAACGTACCCTCGGCGAACGGGTCGCCGACTTTGCTCGTGTTCTTGATCTCCTCGCGGAAGAGCGCTACGAACTTGTCGTACACATTCTCGTGCACTAGCACGCGGCTCGTCGCCGTGCAGATCTGGCCCTGGTTGCTCATTATACCGACGTGCGCCCATTTCGCGGCCTGCTCGAGGTCCGCGTCCGCGAACACGAGGAGCGGCGACTTGCCGCCCGTCTCGAGGGTAATGTTCTTCATGTTGATACTCGCCGTCTTCATAATGTGCTTGCCTGTCGCCGTCGATCCAGTGAATGCCACCTTATCGACGTCGAGGTGGCTGGCGAGCGCTTGTCCAGCCACTCTGCCGTACCCATTGATGATGTTGACTACGCCGGCAGGGAAGCCGGCCTTAGCGATCAGGGTCGCGAAGTAAAGAATGGAGAGGGGCGTCTGCTCCGCGGGCTTGAGGACAATCGTGTTACCGCAGGCAAGCGCAGGACCTAGCTTCCACGCTGCCATAGCTAGAGGATAATTCCACTATTCCAAGTCGCAGAAGTCATTAGTTTCATTAGTTTCAAGGGACAAGTATCTTCAATTCCAACCACTCCGCCGTTTCAAATACCAGAGACACATGAACCTCACATGGGTGAAGAAGGTCAGCTCACCGGGATGATCTGTCCACAGACACCAATGGGTTGCTTTAGCGTGTAAGCGAACTTCTGCGGCGTTGTAGGGATAGTCTGGCCGTGTATCTTGTCGGCCCAGCCGCCATAGTAACGGAGGCAGGATATGACCTCGTCGAGGTCGCCGAGCGCGTCGCCGTATGGCTTACCGTTATCCCAGGTCTCAATCGTGGCCAGGACCTCTTTCTCCTGCTCGGCAAGATCCGCTAACTTGAACATGAGCGCCCCGCGCTCAGTGCCGCTGATGTCGCGCCATGATTCATGATTCAGCGCGGCTCGCGCTGCCGCAACCGCCTTATCTACATCGTCTGCCGAAGCGGCTTCTACAGAACAGATATCCTGCTCGTTACTAAGATAGAAGCGCTTGTGTTAACAGCGCAGGTGCATGCTGAGAGGAGCTAAAGCAGAAGTCTAGGCGATGTACGAAGTGCAAGTAGACAGAAGCAAAAACAGTATTCGGTAGATCGAAACTTACGTAGGATTGATGCTCGTGATCTTCTCACCCCCTCCGCTCGCCTTGACAAACTCATTGTTGATAAAGAGACCAGTGGGCAGGGTGAACTTCTTCCCATTCGGGGCTGTGAGGTCAACGTTGAGATTCGCCATACTGCAAATTGGTCGAGTGAATAAATCAATTGTCTTCTTCCTATTTATATGACGGCTACTACTGTTGCCGATGGTGGTTATTGTGCGAGGGAGGCTGGTTCGTACTCGCGGGGTCGGAAGAGGGGTTGTTGGGAGCACGAAGAGGAGCTTTGAAAATGACCTCACGCTTAGCATTGTTCTGTATCACCTATCCCGACCTACTACAGTAAGTATTATCATCGGAACCAGACAAGAGCCCCAAAGCCCAGCGTTGCATTTGGGCGAACGAGCTACCGGTAGACGTTACGAATCAGAAGTCGTTATCAGCGAGCTTGCTTATTCGAGGCTGCATTCCCCCGCATTCCGCCCGCACCGGTGATAGGAGGTAGGTAGTGTGTAAGTCTACCATCGCTACCGTATCGCACTTACTCATCCGCATACGCTTTCTAGATTCAGATGATTAGGGGCAGGTTAAATAGATAGGTAGATAGATGGATGGTATCTGTTTTGTTTTGTTTTTGTTTTTATTTATTTTTATTTTTATTATTTTTTCAGTGTGTCAATTCTAGCATAGCTCCCCAACAGGTTAGTGATCAAATGTACCGAACTGATACCGTAGACAATGTATAAAATTAGCATAATTTACATGCTCCGTACGTGGTTGAGAACTTAGAGCCGCGTCAGTCTGGAAACAGGTGTATATGGATAGGCAAGAACCTGTTCCCATCTTCCACATGGATCGTTCCTGTTATGGGAGTGGGCATGGTAGGACGGGTTATTTCGACCGAGTCATCGTGCGACTCCCTCGGGAAGATACAGCTAAGCACTCCTTGCTATCACTGCACACTGACTGGGATGTGTCGATCTCGCGGTGGGAAAGCAGTCTGGTATTCAAGCTTATAAATAACCATGATCTAGATTATTGCTCCATGCCACCGGTCCCAAGATGGGCGAGGCTGCCGAAGTACAATAGGGACCGGGCTATGAGGAGCTCGCCACGGGGAATATTCCACGGCTATGTGAGGCATAAGCATAAAAACGGTGAACGACAAATTCTCATAGCTCCGCCTCTCTTTAACAAAGCTTTTTACCTGGGGCAACTCTTGGATAGATATGAACTACAACGTATGCTGAGGTTAAGGATCGGGAATCAGGAGAAAGGGGCGTGGGAACAGATATCCTTCGACCTCTTGCCGTTAAAATTAGTAAGCCGGTAATAGGCATTGGGGCTTATGTGTTATCCTGAGGATGATCAGGACTCTAGGGGAGAGATTCGATCGATAAAATATGTGCTCTACCGAGGATCGAATGTCACAACAAAGTTGTAAATTGAACAAAATATTGAAGAAGTAAACACAACCTCGAAGCTGGAATCAATTTAGCTGTTTTATAGGTAGGTATATATAAACGAGTATTATCTAGCATGAGCAGAGCATTAGGCAGTGGTTAGGATCTTAAGCACCTCCCTTAGCTTAGTATTCAGCGATATCGGCGAAGGACATTGCGGCCCAGGAAACCGGTGCAAGTCAAGATATATGAATTATCTCCATCTCTCACCACTCACAAGCCCGCCAAGCTAGTGATGGGAAAATAACACGGAACCATGTGAATTGAAGCTTAGTATTGATATATTTATCTGCCAATCTATGAACTTGGACAATCATAACAAAATACTTGCCCTAGCCGTATACCCCCTGTTTATAGGACACTAACACGGCCATATACCCATGAAGTGACCTCTGGACCGAAAGAAATAGATCCTCGCCCTTTAGTCGAAACTGACAGACACTCATACGCCAGTACCACCAGCCAGCAGGTCTCAGGGACTTGACATTCTGCCCTGGTCGGTACGTCCAGATCCTTACCTATATTTCGAAGCTGGCCCGGATGGCTTCTCCCAGGCGCTTCACGGCGACATCCATATCACTCTGTGACGCTGCCGCGAACGTAGTGCGGAAGAAGAGGCCGGTAGGCTCGACGTCTCTCTCAGCAGAAAACCACGAGCCGCGGCAAGCGAGGACTCCGCGCTCGACGCAAGAATCGAATATTTCTTCCTCAATCTCGAGTATCGTCTTTTGTCCAGCGTGTGGATGACGGCTGTGGTCTACGTGCAGCCAATGCTGTGTGTGCATAACACTCGTTAGAAGATAATTCCCGACAGTCGGTCATCAAATTGATCATAAATCAGACGGGGTGAAATCTATGACCGAATCCTTCAATGAAAAGGTACAGGAGGGGATATACTTACAAACATACCCGCGGTCGGTGGGGTCCAGCTTACGACGTCTTTAGGCAAATATTTCTCGCAGGCGTCGAGCAGCGTGTCTCTTCGCCGGGTGTACTCGCTTCTCAGATTCACCAGCCACCTCAGATATCCATCGTGACCCCATGTCTCATCGAGTAGCTTGTATAATAATACTTGGGATAGGCCAGATGGGCCCTGGGCTACACATTCCTGGAGTCGAATGTAGCGTTCGATAACCTGTTCGCTCGCTGTGATCCAGCCCATCCGGGAGCCCGGGATTATGACTTTACTGAAGGAATCCATGCGCAGTACACGCCCGTCGATGTCAATGCTCAGCATGGTTGGGATGAGAGTTTTCAGGAATTCCTCCGGGTCTTGGTTTGAGGAGCTGTCGACGGCTCCAGGTCGGGCAAGTGACTTCGCCTTGTCATACGGTGGCATCTGCAGATAGTAGTAAGGCTCGTCCTCGAAGATAAATATGTCGTGTTTTCTACACACATTATAGACATCTTGGCGTCTCTGCGCTCCCATCGTCGCGCCAGTCGGGTTCTGACCAGACGGCACTGTGTAGAGTACCGTAGGCTTCCTAGCACCTCTGGCAATTTCGTCCCAGCTACTTAGAGTTTCATCTAAGCTATCAGGTAGAAGACCTTGCTCATCCACACGCACACCAACAATCTTGATACCTAACGGATGAATAGTCTCCAGCGCTGTGGAAAAGCTATACTCCTCGGTGAGCACGGAGTCGCGCCGGTTGCGGTCACAGAACATGCGCAATGCCGAATCTAGTGCGCCTGTACTGCCTATACTTAGTGCACATCGCCAGTCCGCGTAAGGAGGGCGGGAGACGAGTTCGGTGTGCTCGGTCACCCAGCGCAACATTTGCGCAGATCCTATAGACTGCCCATAGTTGAGGCCAACGGCAAGGTCGAAGACACCATCTTTGTCCCTAATATCATGCTTACCAATAGTGGCAATACTCTCCGGTGTCTCAGTAGAAGCTTTGTCGAAGAGTGGTGCTTGTGGCACATGCACTACATTGTAAAAATACATCAGCGCACGCACGTAATCCTAACTGATGTCGAGTAAAATACCAAATCACACTCTTATGTGCCGTGTTCGGGTGAGTAAAGGGTTAGCAGAAGACTTATACTTACTGCTTATTGATTCTATAGGGAAATTATCTGACGATGGCAGTCCACCACCAAGTGATAACATGCCAGGTTTCTTTAGGAACCTTGCTGCTTGTTTTAAAGCGCAAGGCTGCCGAGAGATTACATCGTCAGTTAGGATATCTTGGTCTCTGTCAGTTTCGTGCTCATCTTGAGTTGAAATAGAACCGACTCACGATCCCACCGCTTTGCTTTCGGTTGGTCAAATGCGTGCTATATAATTCATTTATGTTAGCTCTTCAAGCAGTCCGCTCAGCTTTGTGGTATACTCGCTGACACCGTCAACCCGTCCCAACAGCTTACGTAGTCGAAAATGGTTCTTCCTCTGGCGCCCCTTAGACGTAAGATTCAACTCATTTGACATTCCCCCAAACTCATTGTCCCATTCCGGGTTTCAACTTCTCAACTCTAACACCAGGAATGAGAGAGAGGCACAACATACCGGGCTCTTGAACATATCACTATCCGAGTACGCCGCAGTCCCGGCAATTAGCTTTCCAGCTTTGGCCCTGCGAGCCGCGATACCAGCTAAATTGAGCGGCTCTTCTGCCAATTTCTGGACAGACGGATCTTGCTGGGTTGTGGCAGGTAATGACGCCGTCCCATTCACAAGAGCCCCATTCATAGTGCGTCTGGGCTGTGCATCTACTTGATTTCAAAGATAATAGAATCTAGCAGGGCTAAAGGGACGTGCGTTCTTAGAATTCAAGGATAAGAGCGGTAGGTAGAAGTATGGCAGAGTCTGGAAAAGAAGGGCAGTGATAATGCTGGTGGATGACGAATGAACGGGCGTTTACGAATATGTAAGTGAGCTGGTGGCGGTAACGGAAGGCAGCGGCGATCCTTGCGGCGCCCTGGGAAGTACCTTCTGCATAATCTGCACATGAGACATGTTGAGTCAAAGCTTGGGAAGCCAATTATATGACTTGGTCCAACTTAACACAGCTTGAATGAATTGTTATGGGCGCGATCCTGCTTTCTTTTACACATACGCCCTTTGACGTGACCACCTGACCGGGTGGCTGACTGCCTAGGTACCTGGATATCTTTAACCCAACCTAGAAGTTCGGCATACGCCACCCGCACTGGGTCATTGATACATGTGTGTGGCCGGAAGACTTCCGAAGCCGCGCCGTCTTTTAGGTAATAGGAAACAGAGAGAGATAAGTTGTTACGGCTGAGAAGGTTCGGATAGCGTAGGTAGACAGACCTCACCTATGTAAGCTACGTAGGTCAGGCAGAGTCGGGGCATCCATTAGACGACCAAGAGGCGCCTAGACCCATACATTCAAGCCTATTCGAAACGTCGGACCTATTGCGTACAGAGCTTAGTGTTCCCAGAGATGTGCGTTATCTCTCAGCTTTGTGGACCGATCGACGGGGTGAGGTGTGTAGCGGGGGATTATGCAGGCACCGGCATGCACCGGCATACCCTTTGATAACAAAGGCATGCAGATAGATAGATAATCAGATAACCTGAGCACATAACGTGATTACTTAGCCGAGGCAATTAGGTTAATAGCGCCTTCTACACCAATGAATTGGAGTCTACCTAGTATCTAAGTACCGGTATCTACCCTGTCAGTGTGCTCAGAGGAAGGACTCAGACGAAGGAATCATGTGACGAAGCTTGTCATACAGATTCGTTGGTTGTCCCCGGTTGCAAACGGTCACCGGTGGAGTCCCGGTCCTTTCAGCTCCGCCGAGCACCGGCGGTCGACATTGCGCCCTGCCGATGTTAAGCGCCTGGGCCTAGCGGGTGAGTGAGGAGGCCGCAAACTCTCTCGTAACCATCACATAAAGTTACGGCCCGTCACACATGGGGAGACTGATTGCGATGATCTTAGGTAAGGGATAGATACGTGAGTCAGGATGACCTCAAATAGAGTTTCCTGTGTAGGCACACGAGACCAAAAGTTTGAGCAGGGTTGTGGGCACAATCACATTTCCCTGAGGAGAATACTTTTTTTTACTATCTGTCGTCTTGCGATCTATCATCTCTAAAGTGCTTGAACATTCCAGTCCCTCGACCTCATTAACCTAGCTCTTTTTAACTGATTAACGACTATATTTGCTGGTAGCCCCTTGCCATCAGCCTGCGTCGTGTATCGCATTCAATATTACCAACCGGGGGTTTCAAATGTGACCGAAATCAAGGGACCTGTTCCCGTCATACGCCTGACCATGCTCTTTAACCGTTTGCAAATTTGCCATAAAACGCCCATATCAATGCCAATGCAACTCTTCCTCTCAGCCCAATGCACTCAAATCATAGCGCGATACAAAGTGCTAATATCGTCGTTGTCGTCGCAACAATAGGGAGCCAAGGGTGGATGCTCAGTTGTCGCCAAGCCCCACTGTTAGGAGCCTCAGGTGTATCTGGGGATGATCCATCTGTGTCGGTGGCTGCCGTAGCAGTAGGCACATCAGTAACCGTCACAAGACTTCCAGACGTCGGCTTGAAAACCGGCCTGACTGTTGTTGGAACGCCTCGGTCATCCGACGTCATTATTGTCATACTTTCAAGGCCAGACTCCCCAGCTTGCGCCGAGGATTGTGCCGAAGATGGAGACAATGAGGGCGAAAGGGACTCCTAGCGGATTTGTTAGCGATATATGTTCTTCAGCTGGCCGTTAAAACTCCGCTGGGGAGATCAAAACCTAGCCAAGCAAAGGGGTTAGAAGTGAGAACATACGTACGGTGGCCGAGCTTGACGGGACCACCTTTCCATCCGACGTCATCACCCAGCCGTCAGGCAAATTGGAAGACCCCGAGTCCGATGAGCCCGAGCCAATGCCTCCGACGGGCACGTTGGCGGTTGAAGTCGACGCAGAGGCCGTAGTGACGGCAGTTGTAGTCAGTTCGCCGGCGCCATTGAGATTGCCATTCACAGACCCACCCTCAGCCTGAATAGATTGCCAGGACCCAGATTGATCACCGTAAGTATACTTTGAACCTGTGCTGTAGTCTGTGATTTTCACACGCTGCACTACCATTGAGTAGGGCCCTTGAGAATAATCAGTCGGGCCACGTGCCCACTCGACGGTACCCTGGGCATTGCTCGGATCGCCCCCAGACCATGAACCAAACTTGATTTGCATAGGAGTTTGGGGATATTGGCCCGACTCGGCCTCATCGACGCTCAGTGTGCGGACCACAGTTCCACCCACGGTCCAAACGATCCGATCGCTCGTCCAATCCACCGTATATGTGATGAAGTCTGCCTGGTTGTTGGGTGCAGGGTTGAATTGGCCACGGTTGTATGAGCCTGTAATGCCCTTTCCGAAATAGTTCGTTTGCACTTCGCTATTGTCGGCACCGAGCCACTCGTTGTCGATCTCGTCCAGGCAATCTGACTCAAACACTAGGGATGACACAATGCCGGCACCGGGTGCAGCCTTCATCGTGATCTCGACCCGACCGAACATGATGTAGAAGAGGGAAATAAGCTGAGGAGAGTCGCCGCTCTGGGCGACCGTAAATGAAACCCCATCTGAATTGTATGTCGGGGTGCCACCAGAGGGCGTGAATAAGTCATCCGAGCTACCTTGGGTGAAGTCAATGTCGATGGTCCTGCCGAGGGCGGGATCAGGGGGGCAGGCTGCGCTCCTAGTTAGAATATCGGCATGCATTTGAGGTGGATTTTCCTGGGGTAGCCCAGGCTGAACGTACATGATGTCAAGGGATTGCATGATGTGTAAGTCTGAGCTGTGACGGTGCTGGGGAATAAGCCGGCCAAGGCAGCGGTTAATGCCGCCGTCGCCAACGGATGCCTTGCTACCAACATATTTTATGACTATCTTGATGGAGTTATCTGTGTTGACGATGAAGCAAAGAGAGAGGTCGTACACGTAAACTGAGAGGCGGCCTATCTCGGAGAGTAGTAGGGTCGACGAACGCCGCACAGACAATCAAGACGCTCCTCCTGCGGAAATGGAGGGCTTAATAGAGAGGTTTATAGGTACAACGTCATGCAAACAATACGATCGTTAGATAGCAGAGAAAAATAAATATGTACAAATTGGAAGATAGCTACCGCAATGTACTGGTATATCCTTAAAAAAAAAAATGATATGAAATGATCACGCTGGTGCTTGAGGCATGGGGTGCTGTAAATATTATACGAGCAACTCCAACCACCTGATATTTACTTCAGATACTGCCAAGGGCGGAACGGCGGGATGCCTCGTCATCATCCCTGGCGGGTTCGTCTTTACTATACTAAGTACGTACTCCCTTATGTTGGCACTACCTACACGTACCTTGGTAGTGCTCTAGTGTGATATCCACCTGTCAAGCAGATCTGTGCTCAGGGATCTTGATTTGTTTTCTTCTCTGCGGTGAATACATGCTAGGCGTCTGGGCATTCTAATTGGCGTTCAAACCAGTCAAACCTGAGATCAGAGAGGTCAGAGGTGCTGTACCCAAGTACAGTAGGTATGTGATGATGCGTTGGCCATCCAAATTCTGCCTGTCTTTTTTTGCTGGATGCGAAATAACGGAGCCCCGAGAAGCTCCCCTAGCCTCCGCCCTAGCGTGGGAAGTGTGTGAGATCTACCCGCCTAGGTAAATTTTTCTCTCAATTGGCCTCAGGTGACGTTTAGTGTGACGTTTATTCAATATTAGCACTACCTACCTTACTTATATAGGTATGTACCTAATTAGGTACTTCGTACGCAAGGGTTTCTCTATTCAAGCTTAGCGTCATCGTGGAAAGAGCGTGGCTGGCGAGCTGGCAGAAGCTGGGCGAGTGGGCCAGAGGGCTGGGTGTCACTTTCCTACAGGCTAACTAACGGCACCTACTGGGTAAGGTGGGTTAAGTACATGAGTACTTAGTACCTAAGTACTTATTCAGATGGCTGGTGGCTGCCGCCATGAGACTCGGTGAAACCTCAAAAGTTGTTTGCACCTATTTACCCATGCGATTTGCGGATCTTGTGCGCGCAGGACATACCGTTGTACGAATATGTATGTTTGCGATGTTACACTTACATGAAATAATTGCATGTGATTCAACATGAATAGGTGTCAAGTATTTGGGTCCCTATGTGTCGATAGCTAGGTCTTGGTTCTTGCAGGTCGCGCATCTTCCCAACGAACTGCAAATAGATATATCTACCTAGTATAGATGCATTCCATCCCCAATCTGTGACTATTTAATAATCAAGCATTGCCTTGAAATCAACTCCATATCGATCTTACCAGCCAACCAGTTTAGGGGCTACCTCGTCTCCTAGATCGTAGTTATTCTCTTTGCTCAAGTCAGCTTACTTATACTCATTGTTATAAAATACTATGTATTGTCCTGTGGGCATGAAGGGTAGACGTTGCCTCATCTCTAGTGTACCAAGATGCTCGCACATCGGGCCGGGAACCAGTATTAATAAGGGACGAGTGATGGCCAGCAACACAATCAAGGGGATATCAGAGAGAATCATATCTCAGAACCCTAATCCAAAAGCTCAATTGCGGTACCTAACGGATGGAATAACTGGACTGGAGCCCGATCCTTGGACTATCTTCTCAGGTAACTACAGAGGTTGCAATGCCTGTCCGACTTGAACGTTGACCTCCTTGGGGAATCCACGGAAATCTTGGACTGGGTACCATAAAAAGTAAAGAAACAAAAGCGAGGCGTTGGTGAACGCTAGAGGGCAGCCTATCCAATGATAGAAGGATAGGACCACGATGATATCCCGATTAACACAGACGGCCTATATATTGCAACGAGGGTAAAAAAAAGAAAAATAAAAAAAAGAACAGAAAGCATCCCGGGTTGTAAGAATCTCCTGGTTCGACACTATTAAATCCATGATGGAAAGCGGTATTGCTTGGCACATCTCCCTGGAAGATAAAAGGATCCTAAACGGTTCGTGATCTCCGGCATAAATCATCTCCTTGGGCTGAAAACTCTGGAAACCAGATTCGGGTCAATGTTCCCCAGGATGAGGGCAAGCTTTCGAGTCCACTTGATGACAGCGAAATGTCCGAGAGTCTGGAACTTGGGGCACAACTTTGACTAGGAGTCCACATGTACTTCAACAAGAGGCTTTCATGATCGTTATCATCACCATCGTCGACCCTGTAGTCTGGACCTACTAGGTCATGGATCCCCACCGTGTTCTCAGTTGCCGTACTTCGCGCAACATCAGGGTGCATGGCGTGTGACCACCACGGCGGAAGGCAGTACACCTCCGAGTGGAGATTGGAACAATCCTCAATCATCCAGAGCCAGAAGGCAATTATCACAGGCATATACCCCAGGGCTGGGATGAACTGAGGCAGGCATACTGCAGCGGCGGCCAGAGCTGATGGGAATGGTATTGCGATTAATAGGTACAAGGCGCTGCAACTGTTAGCGTCGTCTAGGCCCCCGCGACGATTCGCCTACAGGTTCGTTACGCGCAGACTCGCAATGTGTGCGGCCGTGCCAAGGCTAAACAGGCCAAAAGTACTGCCATGAATGTAAGATACTAGGCCTCCAGACGACTCAGGCTGGGTACTTACACGCAATTATATATCGTGTGTTCACGGTGCATCGCCGTGAACATGATTGCAGCCCCCATCATAAGGCCCTTTGAGACAATCTTCTCCATGGTGTAGGCAACCTAGTTGCTATTCTAGGCTTTGAGTCAAGTGGAATATCAGGGAACATCAAGATAAGTGAGGCTCAAACGCATTGGAATTTCAAGACTTCTTCTCGATAACGGAGGGATATATGTGATACTAAAGGCGGGAAAGGGGCGGCGCGGCGTCTGTTCCCTTCTTGTACGATACGGTAAAGCGCAAGGCGACCAACTGGTCGCCGCGGCTTATGTGGGCGAATTAGCACTAGGCGGTAACAACATCGTGAGAACGTTTCTGCGTTGCTGCCCAATAACAACACCCTTGATGGCTGTGAGACATGCTGGGAACAATGAGCTCATATAATGCCCTGGGGAAATCTGACATGCATAGCGTTGTAGGCGATCTCACCCGGCTCACTGATCCTATCTGGCAGCCTCATGGTTCGCCTTTGGCTTTTTGTAGTTTGCCTGTGCTTGAAAGGCGGCCATACGGAATGATGCCCAATCGTCAAATTGACAAAGCACCCATGCAATACGCCCAGCTTACGCTAGGGTGCCTGATACGGTAGAAGGCCGGTGGCATTTCCAGAGATTGAGTGCCATGTAAGCCAGCCTCCAGCGATACCAAGGGTATAAGGTATAATTTGAACCGATTTATTGCAGACTCATTCATCCCTTTTCGGTGGCGTGGAACGCCTTGCCCTCCCTCATTCTTAGTGTTTTGGACATATGTTCATGTCTGATCCCATTTAGAACAGATAGACGCTCTTCTACTTCCCCCACCCCTATGTACAAATCTTTGCATGCGCTGACACGGACTTCTAAGATCTCCACGCCTGTCGAGACCACCTTGGCAGCCGCATGCTCGCTTCTTACTTAGTCGTTCGGAAAGAGGTCATTACCCGTGCCTACAACACGAACATGAAACCAGCTGCTGATCTGTCTGAGTGTAGATAGTAACGTCAGCGTATGAACTAGGTAGACATTCCATTCGGGACCACCCGCTTATTATCTCCCTACATAAGCCATGGCCATCTACTCATGGCCTGTTTGATCCTTGTGTGCTGTGCCTCTTTGTACAAACATCGAATGCAAAGACAGGAGCCTTACCAAGGAATTATATTCCTTGTTTGGGTTGTGTGCGTTGCTTTGCTCGGCTTAAGGGCTGGCTGGAAACTTGACACAGTCATCGTTGGTCTGCTTCCCTGAGCTCTCGTAGCGGCGATGCTCAGCAGCTACTTAGATCAACACATTGTTGGCTACCTGTGTGTATAATTTATACGGATGACTTCTATTTGTGGCGGTTTTGGGCATTTTAAGACATGCAACACCGAAATGTGGACCAGGTTTCCCACTTAAGCACATAAATTGAAGCAACGGAAAACCGGATGATATCAATAAGCACATGTATGTATTTGCATATTACTACTATTTTGTCTATAGACTGATCGGTCACTCCACTTCTGATATGTCTGGCCGAATGTCTTGACCTTCCAAGAACCCACAGCATACAATGCATGCAATAGACGCTTGTGCTCAGCGTCTCCTGTCAATGGAACTGGTGCGTGAGTTGCTTGTCTATTCAGAACTAATGATTCTGACTCTCATGCGATAGCGTTTATCAAATCTGTCATCAAACCTGCGTTGAAATGACCGCTATGTATCTAATAAAGCAAGTGACGCTTGTAAGATGATCCACGAAGTGTAAGTAATGCTGTCCTACTAATAATGCCTTGTCAGCTGACGATTGGTACTTGTCTAAAACTGCCACGAATCATCGTCACCGATTGACTTAATGGCCCAGTTGAACTTCTCACGCAAAGTCTTTGAGAAGAATTTTTCAATGGGGACATTGAATTTGTTAGCAAACACAACAGTGAGACGAGGATCGATATAGTTCTGAAACAATATGTTAGCAAACCCATTCCTAGCACTGGTGGCAAGGGTACGCTTACGATCTTGGAGGTTCCAAGAGCTACCTCCTTATTGCCATCTCTATCGTCAGCTTGAGTTTGTAGAGTCCGAATGCGGGTCTCAATCTTCTCAATATTGCCCTCAATCTTCTCAATCGTAGGAGCCTTGCCCTCAGCCTCGACCTTCTTCGACTTGTTCTCTTTCTTGAATTTTTTGGCCAGCTCGTCGGCATCTTTAAGACGTTCCTTGAGCTCCTTATCAGGCATGATTTTTTCACCTGCTTCTTGAAGCTTCTGATTATCCTTTTCAAACTTCTTCTGGATCTTTGTGCGTTGCTCTTCAACTAAGAAATTTTGGTGTTCCTGGATCCATGCTTCATCAAGTGTTGTATCCAGTTCGAAGAATGCAGCGCCCTTCTTCTTCTTCAGCTTCGCATCAAGATCTAGCATCATTTGCTTATTACGCCACACCTGGTACTTTAGACCCTTGATTCGATCAGTGAGCTTCTCCATCTGTGCTTCGTGGGAAGCTCCGACTGTTCGCTTATGGTTACACAGAATTGCCACTTCGCGATTGCAGTCATTGTAGAGTTTAATCTTCCCAGGTATAGTTTTGGCGTTTTCTGCGTTCGCGTCCAATCCGTTAAGCAATTTTTGCATGGTCATTGAGGCGTTGTAAGTACGGAAGACCTTGGCAGTCAACCCTGGCATGTAGTTGGAAAGATGCTTATTTAGCTGCGAAGTAGTAAGGCGATCGAAGATATCGTCGCCCTCCTTTTTGGGCGCCTTCTTGAATACCCGAAGGTTTTTGAAAACCTGGCGATCAACATTAACCTCATCGTAGAATCTAATGCTGTCTTTACCCAAGAAATCAAAGATGACGGTATTGGGTTCTCGTAAAGTAATATGCTCAAATTTCAATGAACAACAACCGACAGTTTCCGCTTCATTCTCCGCGTCCTTCTCATTGCCTGCTCTTAGCGCGAACTTGTCGATGAGATATACGGCTGTAGCGCGTTGCCGGTCGGCCATAGAGTCAGCTTTGAGATCTCGGGTATAGTCGCGTCGAATCTTGTCGACATGTTTTTTGAGCTCGCGGGCTTTCTCGAACTTTTTCAGGTCGGCTTGACCCTTGACGGTACTTTGAGCGCCAAGCATGACATACTTGTAAGCGCCGTTGATGTTTTCCTGCCACATAGCCAGCCAGGTAGCTTTGTTGTCATGTTGCACAGCCTTCCATTTGTGCCCCTCTGGAGGGCGAGGGACCTGGGCTTCTTTGCCTATGTTGATTGTGACTTGCTCAGGCATCACTCGAAGCTTGACTTTGCCGGTTTTTGGGTGCTCGCCACGGCCGCGGAATAACCCAGGGGGTTCAACCCTGAAATTACCAACCTTCTCTTTGCGCCCATCCCACTTGCAGTACATGAACGGAGCTTCCATCTTGTCTTTCTCAGCCTTTTCGACAGCCTTCTCCTCTTTGGAACGAGCCTTTTTAGCCTCGCTCCTACCTTGATAGTAGTTAAAAATCTGGTCGAAGTCAAGCTTCGAGAATTCCTTGATATCAACCTTGTTCCCCTGTCGATCCTTGGCTCCACCTGTACGTTTGAGGACATCCTTGAAGTCGTTGAAGAAGTTTTTCTGGAAGACTGGGTTTTCCACATTGTGTGTAGAGTTCAACATGGCACCAAAGAAGCCCGCAACCTCTTCAGCTTCAATGTGTAGGTTAACAGGAGTCCCATCATAGACAAGCTTGACGTTTTTTGGCAGAGGTTCGTACTCTGGGGGGAAAAGGACGCCGTTATGTTCGAGCGTCTGCCATTTGACACTGTTATCTGCGTTTTGCACTTCCCACCAGCGGTGTTCTTCCTCCTCTTCTTCGTCTGCGTCTCCAGGGTCCTCACTTGGCTCCTTTTTTGCTTTCTTCACCGGGGCCTTTTTACTCGAGGAAGTCTGTTCTGTTTTGACTTTTGCCCTGGGCGTAGAGGCCTTGGCCTTCTTGCGCATAGGGGCATCGGAGTCAGAGTCTGCTTGTTTTACCTTCGATTTCGCCTTTCCGTTTGTCCCGTTGACAGCGCGCTTTCGGCCCTTGGTTCCTGATAAAGGCGCGTCATCGTCAGACTCCTCCTTCACCACCTTCTTCGAGGCTGGTTTCCTTGTCTTTGACTCTGCTGACCGTATCGCTGCAGCTTCTTTTTCGGCAGCCTTCTCTATTGACTTGCGCTTGTCCGCGAGTTTCTTATTGAGAGGCACGTCGTCGTCTGATTCTTCTGCCACAGCGGTCTCATTGGCAGCGGGAGGGAGCCTGACTCTACTCTTAATAGGAACATCCGAGTCAGAATCGTCTTGGGCGGCCTTCCTTTGTCGCTTTGTCTAGCACTTAGTTAGTATCCGAGGCAACTAGCCTAAATACCCGTCGAGAACCTACCAATCTTCGATCTTCACTGTCCGACTCGTGATAATTGACTTTTCCGGTAGATGCTCGCGATTTGCGCTTGCCATTTCCGTTCACAAGAGGTGAATCATCGTCATCGTCATCTACCACGGGACCATATCGAACCGATAAGGGAGCGGGTTTCAAAGGAATGTCAGAATCAACGTCCATCTCCCTGTCTTCGGACTCCGAGATCTTTTCGGCGGATACTAAATGGAAAGGAGGTGTTAGTGCGTTTCGCCCATCTTTCACCACACAGCGTCCGTAGTTAAACTGTTGTAGCAAACATGAATACGCGAGAGGAATGTCATCTGAGACATCCCAGTAGTAGCGAACAAGGGGAGACGCGGCTTCTTAGATTTGACGAGGTATGCGAGAATAAGCGCTTGACACTTACAATGGCCATTGGTGCGCGCTAGGGGCATATCATCATCGGACGACATGGTGGAGACGCGTGGAGATAGTTGGCGAAGTGAATAGTATGGCTGTAAGATGTGGTGGTAGATGGAGACAGGGCAATGGCAAATTCCAGTCGCACGTGTAAGGCAGGAGGCGGGTGGTATGCGCGTTGAGACGCTGCGTCTAAGTCGGCTATAGAGAAGCCGTACCGTGAATGAATGCAGATTCGGTACGTGACTATAAAGGGTGGCCAACACCGTAGTGCACCACCCCGGTTTGCAGCACTGGGAGTAAAAAACCGTCTAGATGAAGAAAAGAAGGAGGAGGAGGAGGAGGAGAAGAAGAAGAAGAATAAGGGGAGAGCAAAAGGGAAGCTGGGGAGGAGGAAGGAGGAGGAGGAGAAGGGAGCAGGTGTAAGATTTAGGAAGGGAAAAAAAAAAGCATCCAGGTGGGCGAGTAGGTAGGTAGGTACTGCGCAGCGCAGGCAGTGTACATGTAATAATATAGTAGGCCACTGAATGGTAGGAGGCGACCAAGGTGTGGACAGCTTCACTTCAAGTACGTGTAAAAGAGTCAGTCTGGACTGGCCCACCAGCCATGCTAGACTAGCCGGCTTAGCGTGTCTTGTACCTGCTAGGGAATAGGGAAGAACACTACCTGTAGCCACCTGCGCTGTACTATGTAGGTACCTAAGTAACAAGGCCAGAGAGTTGGTGCTATTGGCCAATACCTGGGCAAATATCCTAGAGGGAAGTACCTAACTAACCTCAACTGGTGTGAAGATGGAGTGGCGTGGAGTGATAGGCGTTGTTGCCAGAGGTGTTGACAGCTGCTGGCTACTGCAGGATTGTGGGGTGCTGGGGGGGGGGGAGGGAACGTGGAAAGGAACCTTGGAAGAAGGAAGAAAGGAAGGCAGGAAGATGCCCGGCACCGATACATGGTACGTACCTATCGATGTACTTGGATAAGGCAAATTCAAGGTTGAATGGGGCTACCTACCGGTATGTGTTGTGTGTATATATGTACGGAGTACAGCAAGGTAGGTAGCGTAGCGTCTGTGCAGTGGGACCATTGCCATAATACCCATGCTGTATCTGAGTAAGTAAGTAAGTATGCAAAGAAGTTTTGGACAGGGATATAGAGGATCAAATGACTGGTTGGCTAGGACGGGCTGAAGTTTGAAGAACCCACCTGGGCAGTTTTTTTTTATTTTCCTCCGCTCAAACCTAGGTACATACCTAACCCTCTCTCTCTCTGTCATACGGTATCTACATACACTACATGTAGGTCTGATAGGCAGGTGTCTTACCTAGGTACTGCAAGTCAGATATTGATGAGATTGGCTTTCTCTTCAGGAGTCTCGAGTATCATAGCCTCTGGGATTGGCAATATATACTAATGGTAGGTGCTTAGAGGATCTCTTTCAGATCATTGCGCTGCATTGTACTTCTGGTATCGGACCTTTGAGTTCTCAGTAATTGTAGCTCGCATTACATTAGGTACTGCTAGAACTTCACAGCATGCATGCAATACCTACCTACATATGTACAGTAGATACATACATATGTACCTATGTATCTACATATGAACATAGTACAGTATGCAGTACTTACATGCCCACGGAAAGTAAATGGACCCAACCTCGGAGCAGCGCTGAACAAAGGCCTGGCTGGCACCTGGCGGCAGAGGACCATCCCCACTATAGCCCGACAATTTACCGTCGTCCGGAAAGACGGGTTAGACCGAAAGTAGCAAGCAGCAAGCAACCAGCTTTGCAGAGGTGAGAGAGAAAGTGAGAAGAGACGAATAACTCATTGTCAAACTTCCCCGTCCACGACCAGCCAATTGATTGCGCAGCATCGCAATCAACGAGCTACCTGTGTTTGAGGCTCCTTTCCGCATTGCTTCGCTCCCTTCAGTCCGCATTTCTCACCATGCTTTCGAGAGTAGCCCGACCGGCTCTGAGGGCCGGTGCTGCTGCTGCGGCTATTCCTGCTCGGTACGTGTCGGGTCCCATCCCATGCATGCGTTTTGCCGTAAAGCCCCCCCAGCATGAGGCAATTCGCAACCCGCCACCAATATAGCCCTGCTGCGCCTACTGCCCACGGCTCGTGATGAATGAAATGCGCCAGGTTCTGATTGTTCTGTCCTCTATAGCACCGCCCCCAATGCCGCGACCTACGCTACACTGCGAGAGATCGAAGGCCGCCTGAAGTCGATTCGCAACATCGAAAAGATCACCAACACCATGAAGATCGTCGCCTCTACCAAGCTGACCCGTGCCCAACGAGCCATGAATGAGTCCCGCAAGTACGGAGAGACCTCCCAGGAGGTATTCGAGTCCGCCGAGACGAAACCTCTCGAGGCTGAGGGCAAGAAGACTCTGTACATTGTCTGCAGCTCCGACAAGGGCCTCTGTGGTGGTATTCACTCCAGTCTTTCTCGTTTCATGCGTCGCCATCTCGGACCCGATCACCAGCCCGCCGACCTTGTCCTTATCGGCGAGAAGTCCCGTGCCCAGCTAAGCCGAACGAATGGCAAGGATATTGTTTTGTCCTTCGCTGGTATCGGCAAGGACGTCCCTACCTTCGCTGATGCCCAAGCCATTGCCGACCAGGTTGCTCAGCTTCCCACGGAGTACTCTGACATCAAGATTGTGTATAACAAGTTCATCAACGCCACCGCCTACGAGGCCAACATCGTTGAGGCTTTCTCCGAGGAGGCTTTTGCCAACTCCCCCAACTTCTCGGTCTTCGAGGTCGATGAGGAGCTCCTTAGCAACCTGCGGGAATATGCTCTTGCCAACTCACTCTACTGGGCTTTGGCTGAGGGTCACGCCTGCGAGATCTCTGCTCGCCGCAATGCTATGGATGTATGTGTTGAACTTTCCCTTCAAAGTCACATATTCCACGGTATCTTGACAGTGTGCTAACCGATACTTGTAGAACGCCTCCAAGAACGCCGGTGAAATGATTAACAAATACCAGATTCTGTTTAACCGAACTCGTCAAGCTGTCATTACTGGCGAACTGGTCGAAATTATTACTGGTGCCACAGCCTCGGAAGATATGTAAATTGATTGCATCTATAGACGAGTAGAGAAACCGGTGGGGAAAGAGGGCCACATTGGTGATTTACAATTTATCGCATCTTCCCTTTGTATCAAAGTTACCCTAAAGCCAGCCCTCTGTGTACCAAAGCCTCAATAAAACTAGTTTCACAACTTATCATACAGATGTGCCCGGACAGACACCAGAGCGATGGCTGATTATGGCTGAGGGGCCATGCATCGGACCAGGGTAGCCGCAAGTTTCAGTGTCCGCAACGTAGAAGTCATAATAAATTTGAAGGGAGATGGTTTACTCGACTATGTATGCCTCTCGAGGTGGTGATTATGTGAATTAATGTTAGTCACCAATCAGATAAGGCAGCAAATGAAATATAAACATTGACTAATCAATAATTCATCTGATTCATCATAGAATCACAATAGACATCCGACAAGCTACACAACATACCTTTTCCTCTCCTCGTGTGACCCGAGGGCGTGCCCTGTCCAACATACTTGCTCGTGGTTGTTTCTACGACCGTGATACTGATTCTCATTCGCCGCAACAAGGTAATAATAGCCCGCAATCTGTGTAGCTGAATGTATTTTTTCTGTATTATCATTTACTGCTCCCTTCGCATTATTTCGGAAAGGAAATACCCCTTAATCATGTTCTTACGCCCATTTCGCTTACCAGTCTTAACATTTGATGCCACAATACGATAGCAGTAGAGCTGTTCTCCAAGGAACAAACAATCCTCTACTCACGTGCCAGTCTTGCGATATGCGTGAAAATGCTTTAAAGCGTTGATTTTATTCGCTGGCTTATGTATGATATGTGGTTTCTTAACGAGCACTAGTGATGCTCCCATGTATCAACAGAGTTTCGGATTCAACGCTCGTTGAAGTAGGCCTTCCCTCGCCCTTCAGAGACTCTCATGATTGTTTCGCTGATAATAACAATACAAGGTATAGATGAGATGGAGGCGATAGTATAAGCAGTAATACAGCAGAGTAAGAGAATCTCTCAGCAACTATAGGCTCTCTCTTTTCCTCCACATGAGAAAATCGAAAATGTGCCGACGCCATCATGTTTGTCCACATGAAGATGACTTTTTGGTAGCAGTGCTAGTACACCTATGGAGAGCCCTACCCCTGAGACCCATGTAAAGTAAAGTACTTAATGATGCGCCAATGTGAATGCCAGACCGAAGCTTTGTTACATGAATATATACTACTCGTAAAGCCTCAGCTATCAAATTAATTCCGCCACTCGTGTGTGCGTAGGAGAGGGGCGAGGCCGATCATGAAGAGAACAGAACTGATTATCGGGATTTGCAGCGCGGGCGTCATTGTTCAATCTCGACATCACTAGCTTCACTTTCTGCATAGCTATTAACCTTGGCACGTCTTTTTTCTCGCCCACTCTCCGCTTCGTCGTCGTCGAGAATTAATTGATGAATGTTCTCGTATTCTGCCCTTGTTTCTAGGTATTGGCGATCCCAATCGTTAGCTTGCTCTGTGTATGTTTTGACGGCCTCGTTATAGATTCTCTTCTTTTCATTGGCTTGTTCTTCGAAAGGCTTCCTTTCTTCCAGGGTTGCCTCTTTCCACATTCTACTAGTCATGACGCGGACTTCATTGGGAGCGGGCTTTCCTTTTCCGGCGCGCCGACCTTCTTGACACTTTGCACGGGCAACCTCGTAGTTGAGCTTACTATAAAGAAAGTATGCGTTGCTCGCGACTTTAGGTGGTGGCAAGGGACGCTCGCCAATCTTCGATACAACATGTTGCCAAAGGGCTAGCTCGTAGGCATCAATTCGAGCTTGCTTCGCAGCCTTAGGTGATAATTCTTCCGGTTCTTTACGCTTTAGCCCATTTGAAAGAGCAAATAGCGATTCCTTCGGCAGAACAAGTGGTGTAGGCACCTCAATGGGTCCAAGCATGGTGTTGAGAACCTCTGATGCTGCACGTAATCCTGATAGATAGGCACCATGCACAGTTGCTGGATGTGTATTAGTAGTGTGTTCCCCAGCAAAGAACAGGTTCCCAACTGGCTGTGCCATAGTCTGATAATCATCAACATGCATATTTGGACCAGCAGACGAGTAGGACCCCCGAGCAAATTTATCCGACCCCCAACGTGTGACAATAGAGTGTACAGGTTGAGGAACCTTGGAACCGAAAACGTTGCGCAAGACTTCTGTGGCTTCCGCGACGAGTTCATCGTTCTTGGAATGCTCGGTATCAAACCCAGCATCTCCTGCCATAAGAGCAATGAGCACAGGGATTCCACTTGTGTTAGAGACATTGAACCACTGAAAGCAACGGCCACGCTGAGAAGCATATTCCCTTTGTTTAAGACTATGTCGAGAGAGTGGTGATCGTAAGCAGCCAAAGATGTCTACGTCTGTGTCCCAGAATGCATGATCGTAAACAAGGATAATTTTGTTTAAAATACCAAATCCAAGACGAGCAATAGCATCTGTCTTTTTTTTGGGAAGAGCCGGTTGAAACTCGACGCTCCCGTGTTTTAGAACACCAAGTGGAATGGTCGAGACGACGTAGTCGGCGTCGATAACCGACCCGTCTTCACACTCAATACGGGAACTGGCTATCGCTTCGGGATCGTATGAAACTCGTTTGACTGCAGTATGTTTTCGAATATCAAGACGCGATGGTGCAATAGCGAGGCCTAGAGGAACATTTTGAAACCCTCCAATGACCATGGTATGCTTGCCTTCCCATTCATTACCCGCGTCAAGGTCCCAGCCTCCAATGCTGAGCTGATGGTAGTTCGTTGCGTTGCTATATTCGAGGTTGGCAACATGCCAATTCATAAGTCGGAAGTCTTGTGCCGTGAGGTCTACAAGATTCTTATACTGGGTAATTGCTTCATCCACGACTGAGCCTAGTGTAGCAGTCATTGATTTGGCCGCAGTGTCCAGGTCCAAGTCACTGTCTTCAGTAACGCCCTCTTTTAGTGTCCAACCCATTAGTCGCGCCTTATATGCTGCTTTCAAAGCAGCTGGCGTGCCTGGCTCAACATGGGTTCGTCCAGTTGCACGGTCTGTAGAGACAGGTACCAGACTGACTTGTGGTCCTAGACTTTGTTTTGAGATTGGTGGTGCTTGTGGAAGGGCAGCTGTTGCTTCTTCTACATCAGCAATGGATTTGTAACCCTCTGATGAGCTATCACGGCCTTCATCTATTAAATCTTTGTTGCCTTCGATAAGCTTAGACGGTTGACTCTTGAATTTGTAGTCTGAGACTCGTTCCAAGCAATCGTTGAAAACTTTCTCAACCATCCTGTCTCTTTCTTCATCCACGGCTTTGCCATTCGTATCATACAGAATGGCATCGGGTCTCAAAGCGTGGTAAGGCAGCGCCATTTGCCCGCGCACTAATACATTCAGAGGATTACCTCGCTCAAACCCCGTGATGATCATCCCACCGCACTCGACGCTGTGTCGCCGACCCGCGAACCCTAGCATGTGGGGGCTTTTACTACTATCAAGCGCTCTCGAGTAGACACGCCCACCCAGACGGTCGCGACCTTCAAGAACAATGACTCGAGGCGGTTCCTGGTCCATATCGTAGAATCTGTCGGCATACTGCTTAAACAAGCTATCAAGTTGTCTAGCACAGCCGAGTCCACTCATGCCAGCACCAATAACGACAACAGTCTTCCCACGCCTCAGCGATTTAGGCTCTTGATGCCGCTTTACTCCAAAGGGAACTTCGGCAGCACCAAAATTGATGTGCCCTGAGCGGACTAGCCAGTCATAACACACACTGGCAACATCATACCACCTCTCATCTTTAGCACATCCAACAGCCTCGTCACGCGCCACACCAATACGTGGGTTGTTGATCCATAAGCGAAGAATCCCGTTGCGGATATTCAGATATGTAGTCACCTGGGCGTGACTAATATGCCTCCTCAACATACCATACTCATCTGGATGCAATGCGTATGGATTCAACCTTGACGATTCGGCTGCTGCGATGCATTGATGGGCATAGTCCTGCAGGGCGATATCGGTCGGTATCGATACACGAGGTCGTACGTCAAATGACCGTCGTTGTGTAGAGGAAGCGTTGAGAGCCGTAAATGCTGCCACAGGTTCTTTCATCAACCCTATATCAATTGGCGTGGTCGCCTTACTTGAGAATGGTGCCGAGGAAGGTGGTGAAGACGGTGTTGAATTGTCAGACAAGAGCGATGTTGACGACTCAAAGGAATTCCCCACGTTTCCTCGATGAGTCATTGGACGATATTTGTCGGCTTTTACCTCACTATGAGAAGCTTTATTGTCGATTCTAGTTTTTACATAGTGAGAGAGACGCCCATTCCAATATCAGAGAGACTTACGTGATTGTATCCGGCATCTCTGAGGCCAGCGTAGAAGCATCAACTTCTTCTATATCTACATCGTCGATCTTCACCACGATCTCAGATGCCGGCCTTGACATTTCTCTCTGTGGGGAACCGTGGCGGCTGTGAGAGCCAAGGTTGTTGCTGAGCAATATTGAGGACATGGCTGGGATGACACCCGCTAATTGCGGCTTTGCCGCCAAGTTGAGATATAACTCTTCCGACGATATCAATGAACCAGTCCTCTCCTCCTCCAAAAGCGTCTGGAAGGTTGTCATGTCTCGTAAGATGACGATTCGGTGTACTTGGGGATCAGCATCGATATACGGATATGAAGGAAGGTCGTCTAGTTTTCGTGGGGCACGGAGCGATTCCGTAGGCCAGGAAGCCTCCCATTGAGCAAGCTGCCGAAAACTATCTCAGTCCCTTAGACAATGGTGCTAGAACATGTCTGCCGGCAAGGATGAATGTGGGTCTGCCGATGAAAAGTCAATAGGTAGTTTGAGAGAAAGGATAGATGCCCTCTCAGTGTGAGAGCGGCCAATTGCCAATTGGTGGTATGGAGGAAGCGGCGAAATCATCGAACCATCATCATCCAAGTCAAGGGGGTCGGGCCTGTACTGTACCTTGCACTGAGTGTGTACTGTACTGTACTGTATGGTAGAGCAGGCAGTGGCCTTGGTGTTCATTGGAGCCAATTCTGCCGAGACTGTGGTGCACTACTGTAAAACGTAAAACGCTGGAAGATGGCTAAGTAAATACGTCTTGCTCAGCACTATCTGCTTATCTACCTCCAGCATCGACCTAGATAAGTAGGTAGATATAGAGGCATGTATTTGAGAGGATCGATGTCGGATCGACAGAGAAAGGCGCCCAAGAACTGCACTCACTCTAGATAATGCGTTTCGGTGTCACTGGTCTGCTAACGCTCCCAAACACATGTATACAATGGGTGGGTAGTAAGTAAGTACTTACTTAAGTAGGTAGGTTTCTAGGTTTTACCAAATGCCAAGTATACACCGAACTAGGCTTAGTGCACTTGCTGCTTTTTCTCAGGCTTGGCTTAGCCAGCTATTAGTTAAGCGATTATGAAATGGCTATTACATATGTAGTATTGATGTATTACTTTATGCATTTATGTATTAGCTACCTAGGTAGGTAAGGCGGGTAGGTAGCAAGTCCGAGGATGTACTATTAGTACGGGGCCCTAGCCTGTGCTACCTAGTCGGGTGTCGTGCAAGGCCTTGGGGGGACTCGAACTAATGACCTATAGATTGCATGCTAAAAAAAGGTGTGCAGGGGTTACCTCTCTGAACAATTGTCTTTTGCGCCAATAAGGCAAGGCCTGTATGCCCGAAGGCAATTATCCTCCTATTATTTAAAACTATAAGAAACGATAGTAGAGCATACTTGGATGTGAGAATAGATGTAAGGTCAGAGCTGTTGACGGCACCTGGTATATAGCAGTCCAACTGCTGTCTTCATCAATCCTCACCTGGTAGACAGCAGGGCTGAAAATAAGAGGGGGCCTAGAAGCGTGGCGGGCGATGGAAGCGCAATAGGACATCGTTGGTGTGGTTGGCGCACATGATTTTATTTTAACGGCACAGTCGGTGTGTGATTTGTGTAAATAGATTAATCGTAGGCTACGTAGGTAGCAAGATTGAAGCAAGGCTTGTGGTTATGTTCATTATGTCCGAGCGACTTCCTAGGAAGTCGCTCGAAGGGATCGCTTAACCAATGCATACTAAGATCTGTTTGATAACAGACGACCTCGGACAATCTTTGTTTTTGTGTAATTACTACTGTAGGTAGGGTAAAACTTGAAAGGTCCACCTATACCTATCCATGTAGGTATTGGAGATTATGCAGATTTTATTCATAAGTACCTACCGGGTGATAAAAGAGCGGGCCTTTCTCAAGACAGGGCTCAGGCTAAAAGCGGCGTGGCTCAGGTTGGATTCCCATTCATTCCCATTCCGATTTGGTTTGGGAGGGTAAAACCTATCTTAGAGGACTTCCATTCAAAAACTCCGGGCCACGTGACATCGCCAGCGTAGTAAGGGCAAGAGGGTAAGGGTAGGTAGCCTCCCAGACCTGCCAGAAACTACCCACTACCTACTACCTATCTACTACCTACATGTAAGTAATAAGTAGGTATGTTTGTAGGTAGGAGACAGCAAGAGATAGATCTATCTACATACCTACTTACTTCGTAGGTGCCCGTACCGTGCGGGCCAACATGCGACGTCTTCAATGTTTCACTTTTACCACACACGCCCTCAGCCATGCCAGGTACGTAAGTGTAGACCTGGACCCGGTGAGAGCCGCAGCAGCTTTGACCAGCTCGATGCCACATTACTTTGCCGGTTTACTACTACTATTGGGTCAGGTCAAGCATTGGTACCAAGTATCGGCACATTCCGCGATGAGCATATGAGCGCATTGTTACAATACCACGATTTATTTATCTCAATGGCTGTGCCTAACAGGTAGTACCGTCATGTTGTAATTCATCCTATCACTAGTCCCAACCTCCAAACTGCAATAGCACCAACCAACAAGTTTACGGATTTTAGGTAGACACTAGGGGCCGCGGGTCATCCTGCACGAACGAAGACTTCTCGATTCCTGCTTCCATCATCTTATTCCCGCTAATGATCGACGTTGTACAGATGACAATATTCCTTCGTGCTGCATCACTCAAGTTAGCAACCTCGTTCCACGACGCACTATATACGCGAGTAAGAGAGAACAGGAGGAACAGGGGTAGTTTACCTTCTTCCTTCTTCGCGATGAATCTTAATGCCGCAATTTCCGTGAATGTGATGCCACCCACGAAAACCACGAATACGGTCTTCTTATCACCGCCTCCTGATAGGAGCGCTCTAGCTTTGATTGCCTTGTCCTCACCCTTCTGGACGTCATCGAAGGCTGGGCCGCGCGCGTGTTTCACAACCTCATCGAAACCCCGCCAGCCTTGTGCGCCGCTGCCAGCCACAATGCCCGTGCCAGCAACAGCATTGTTACGCGTGATGGAAAAGAGATATTGCTTCTGTAAAACGCATTGAACCAGACGGATTGAGAGCGGTGCATACCCACTATACACGTAGGCGATATCGTCTGGGTCGTGCTCGTTTACTTCGTCAACTATGAGCCGCAACTGCTTCCGTAAATAGGTATAGTTTGTCTTAGATCCGGCTGCAGCGCCGGTCCCTGGCATGGGAATCATATTTGCCATTGGTGAACTTCGCGATAGGAAGAGCTGGAGCTTCTCGAGATTATGTAGAGTTATTAGATGCTGATACCCATAACCCTCGAGTACCAAACGTCGGAAATGGTCAAAATCCTTTGTTTTAATACCGCCAGACACGCAGGAATAGATGCATAGCAGTCGAAGAATTTCGGCGAGCGGCGTGTCCCTCGCAATCAGTTCTTCGATCGCATCATGTTGGGAGCTCGGATCGGCACCAGCGGCAAGATTTTGTTGAGCTTCTAGTAGCCGACTGAACTGATCAGTGCGAGTGTGTTTCATAATTTCTTCGGCTAAACCAGTATGAATCTTGAGACTCTGATGCTCGGCTTGATAGCTGGGCAGCTTTTTCACAAAATCCTTGAGTTCTGCAGTCGTTTTTGTTCCATGCCGACTCTCGTAATCGCTTTGTAGCCGTCGTGCCACTTTATTTAACAGAGTGCCGACGATGGCGAAATTCGTGTCTCGGAGCCCCTCGTAGAGCTTATCAGAAGAATCCAGCTGAATCTTACGTTTTCTAGAAGCTGTTCCAGGGTTAGGGGCTGCTGAGGCATTCTGTGAGGATGTTTGCGGTGGAGCTCCAACGAGAGTTGAGTCCACATCTGTTTGATTGTTTTGGATTCCCCAGACTTCATCAATCAGTCCCTCGTACGTTAATTGTGTGAGAAGAGGTGTAACAAAGTCCACCTCGCGGTCAATAATGACTACACTTTCAATTGAGTTGCTTGGTGCAAGCCCCTCCTTGTTTGCTTCATCCGCAGTATCTCCAGCAAGGATTTCCTGCCGCATCCGCGTCAAAAGCTCTGCCACCCGTTTTGCGTGGTCCCCTTTGCCGACGACGCGAGGGAAAAGACCGTGTCTTGATTGTATCCCCATCAATGCTTTAGCCATAAGGAAAGCTGGTGTCGTATCTTTGAAGAGGTAGAGGTCCCGGAAGGAGTCATCGAGTTCGAGGGATAGAACGTCACGCTCGAGTGGGAATAAATAAATTGGCAACTCTGAGATATTCACATCACCAAGAACTCCGGCTTCTTCTAGTAGTTTATCGGACACAAGGGTTCGGCGAGGCACCCAAAAAATGTGAAACTCGTGCCCGGTTTGGCTCTCACGCTGTAATCGTTTGACCTGGTCTTCAAGATCATGTTAACACAAGCACAAAAGGGTCTGGCACATAAGGTGAATGAGTGAGAGCCGCTATGGCATGTGTTCTATGATGCTATTTAATCTTGGGGGCAAATATTGACTGCCAACGTGAAGTAGGAAAGTAATTTCACGATGCCTACTGAGAACCCACATCATAGGATGTCGTGCACCAGAACTCGGGCGGGGGGGAAGGCCTTGCGACGCCGGAAAATCCACTCACCAGCGATGGCTTGCACGTGGCGAGCACACTCGCCTCTTGCCATGAAAATCACATTACGCTGGCTAGTATCGGCATTGTCGTTTTCCAGGAAAAAGAACTTATCAACGCCGTAGTCGTGCAAGGTAGAGACTTTGACGATGACACCAACCGGACCGGCCAGGCTGCGCTCGATGACAAGATTCTTCTTGCCGCGGACCTATACACCGACCTGGTAAGTATGCAATGTGTGACCGAGTTACTCGGAAATAAGGCTGCCTTACTTACGCCCTCTAGAAGATAAAGAAGGTCTTTACGAGCCTTGTCTCTTATATGTTCGGTGTCGAACCCCGCATGAGGAGCCATTGTGAGCTCGTCATGGGGGGTGCTAGTCTGGGACTCTGGAATCTGAGGAAGATGAGCCGCAGTGTTGAGCTCTGAGCTTGCAGAGAAGTTGGGGCTTGACCATGCCAGATCAGCGGAGAGCTACGCTACCTATCTAACTACCTAGGTACCTAGGTAGGTAGCTGCTACGGTAATCTAAGTAAGTCTCCAGCTCCCACACTGGATTGCTCCACTCTCGGCGGAGAGGGAGTGGGCTGGACCAACGTCATTATATGCACCCAGACAAGGCAAGACAGGGAGTGTTGGAGAGTGGTGGCTCTTTACATGTAAACAGGATGTAAGTCTACCTACCTAAGTATGTATGTGATGTTGTTGAATCACCACATCTCATTAGCCATATTGTTAGCTTAGAATCGAGCCTCTCTGGCGATTACTACCTAGCTATTAGATCATTGTATTATCATTTAGCATATCACCTCCGCGCAAAACCCGTCATTTGTCTTGATGCTTGTATTTAGGACCACTATGAGTAGGTTAGGTATTCGGTCCCATAACTACTTTCCGTAAAACCACAACAGCTACCTTGTGCAGCATAAAGATTATTATAGTTACTAGAGTCGCCCTGAAATCGCCGTGTGCCACGTACAATATTTCAAATCTGGACAGACTCGCCACTGCGACAAGGCTAATCACATAAAGTCTTGGCCTAAAAGTTCAACAATGATCCTTGGCCATCCTCAACGCCGATGCCTGGAGATGCCGGAGATGACTTATGCTCATTCAAAGCGTGCAAAATTGAAACTTAACCACAGCCAACCTGTGATGCAACTCGCGAGCACGCCCCCTGAATGTGCGTGTTGCAAATGATTTGCCGCCCCCTTCATACAGTATTATCGTGATAATAGAAGGCAATGTCTCTCGGTCGCTGGCGGTTGCCACGCACGAACTCTTCATCGCCAGGCGGACGCTCGTTCTTGGTGTTGCCGGTCAGCATGCTCTGAATGCTCATGCAGACGCTCTCAACGCTCTGGACCGGACTCCAACCCTGAGATCCAAGAAGGTCCAAGCATATAATGCCGTTTGAATAGATATGGGGATGCATGGGTATCGGTCTGTTGTCCAGCTTGACGAAAGTAACCTCGGGAGCCTCTGTTTCATATCAACGCATTAGTTCACATTGTATATCCAGGGACAGAGTAACGAAGCGGATATACCAATAGGGTAGCTGTTGCTGAATTTGAATTTCAGTCGGTATGTTTGTCCAGCGTAAAGCGGATTCTGGTCCAACACCTTGATGTCAAGGTACCATTCCTCGAGGTTGTCAGCAGAGACCAGAGCTATGCCTGGCGGGAGGTTGTTCGTGATCTAGCATTCGGGAGGCCCCAAGTTAGCAACTATGGCAGAGTCGCACATTCTGAGGGATGGAGAAGGGGTATTTGAGAACATGCCTTGGTCAACTCCTTGCCTAGTCTTTTAGGACCAAGCCCAGCCATTATTGCAGAGGGCTGAATACTAGACCCACGAAACTGAGATAGTGGTATGCTCGCGGACGTGCTTGCGCGACTTGTGTTAACTCACGGTAGCCAGAAATCACTTAAACAGGGCGCCTCGGGCAGCACAAGAGTCTGCTGTCAAAATCCATGTACGAATGTGTTGAGGACGCATCGAAATGAGTGCCAGTGAGCTAGTAGTAAATCGAGGGGAGGAGGCATAGTTGCCAGTGGTCTTGGGAAGCCGTACCTAACCCGGCTATGGAGCTGGCTATAAGTACCGACTTACTAGTAGGCACATAGGTAGGTACCTAGGTATCGATAAGTACTTGCATGCTCTTATTGGTTTGGTACTTACCAACAGGGTAACAGTACCACATGCAAGCGGCGAGAGAGTGTGGGCAGCCCCACATCGCTGGCTATCTACATAGGTACATACCTATGTACATTCTGGAAGTGTAAGTACGTTCTACATGTACACACCCAACACGCAAGAAGTACCTACTAGCTGAGGTATCAAGCGTGAAACCCCAAGAGTACAGAGAAGATATAGAGGGGGATCAGGTACATATGATAACGAGCATCGGGCCCAGTTCCCTGTATTGAGGTATCAAGTACTACCTGTGTGTAGATAAACTGCTAGGTACATATGTAGAAGAGAACCTGGAGTAAACATTCACCTTGGACGCTTGCCTAGTGAATCTTTGGCAGTAAGCTACAGTTTTAACTCCCATACTTTTGATTGAGTTTTATGAGCATATAAATATCAGTTGATATCAGTCTGAGTGCTTACCAAGTAAGTAAGTAAGTAAGTGCACTCAGCCTGCTTGTCTCCTTTCACATGCTTATATAGCTAGGTAGCCTATCGCGTTTAGCTGGCACTGGCGGTCAAGGCACGCACGCCATATCATTGGGCTCTCTTTGTTTCCAATTCTGCCTTATTTGTTGAGCCACTGTTGGCTCTGTGGTATCTCCCTCAATGGCAGAAATAATGAAGGAATGGGAGGCAGCTGAAGAAAACATTTGAGGGAGCCAACTCTCAATCAGCATAAGCCACCGGCACTCAGCCAATTTGATCTACGTGCAACTGCCCCGCGTTGCGGCTGAGCTCTCCCCCACTATCCAAGTACCTACCTCCCTAGACCGAGTAGGTACTCAGTACCTACCTCACACATGCAAGCTACATGTATGTGTGTGCCTTGTGCCTTTATGCCTTGTGCTTGCTGTGCCGTGTTGCGGGTTGCGGGCGCGAGCTGTTGCATCTACATGCACTTTAAGTACTTAGTAGGTAGGCTTATGTAGGGGAGAGGCCCGGGGTGGACGGGAGGGATTAGCAACCTTGGGAAATGTAACAGGGAGAAAACAGCCTTGTAGGAGTGTGTGGAAGGGCTCCCTCTATTGATAAAAGCAACAGACTATCTAAGTGCGCTCATCTTCTTACTCTTCATTCTCCGTACCTATCAGACAGGATATATTTTCAGCTCTCTACCTGCCCGCCGATCATATTAAGGTACTTCTTCTGTGGTCTAGTTTGGGCACGTAGGAGAGCAGTAGCAAGCTCTTTGGACTTTGCACACTTTGCTTTGGGTGCTGAGAAGTGGTACGTACCCAACTTGGGAGCTGAACCCCTCCTTCTCCGATGTACTCCCCCACCAAGATAACCCGCCTTCTCGAACAATAGCAAGCAAAGCTCATCACGGACAGTATCAGCCTAACCTCTCTGTTTCGTCTCCCATCAGTCGCTTTCGATCTTCGACGACTCTACACACAATCGCCTGGCATACATAAGATCCCGTCGACTTCTCTCCGTCCTACCAACTACGACTGCTCGGTGCGCGCTCACTGCACGCGCCTCTCGCTCTCCCGCCGCGCTACTCTATCACCGTCGTCACCCTGCGCCGGAGCGCATCCCGCATCACAATGAGCTGTAAGTGAAGGACATGACCTGTCATCTTCGTCGCCCCCAAAACACAAGTCCACGGAAACGGTCATCGCAAACCCCTCCTTTCGCCACCCCCCCCCCCCCCCCCCGGCAGCCTTATCATATCCACCACACCACAGGCTCCAATCCAGATGATGCCATCTTATCTTTTCTCTAGGCACTGCTGCTAACTGGTCCGAACAGTAAATGCCATGTTCAATCGCCTTCAAGGCCAACCTGAAAGCTACGAGAGGAAGGCAAAGTATAGGTTTGGTAGAACCTTAGGTGCGGGTACCTACGGCATTGTCCGCGAGGCAGACAGTCCCAATGGAAAGGTAGCAGTCAAGATTATCTTGAAAAAGAATGTCAAGGGCAATGAAGGCATGGTCCTCGACGAACTAGAGATGCTCCAGCGTCTCAAACACCCGCACATTGTTAAGTTTGTTGATTGGTTTGAATCGAGAGTGCGTCCCGTCCCGCTAAATTTGTTGTTGCCGTTCTCTGCTAACTCAGCGCCCGTCCCGGTAGGACAAGTACTATATCGTCACCGAGCTCGCCACAGGTGGAGAGTTGTTCGATCGTATCTGTGAGAAAGGGAAGTTCACCGAGAAGGATGCTTCGCAGACAATCAAGCAAGTCCTCGGGGCTGTTGACTATCTACATGGGAAGAACGTCGTTCATAGAGGTACAGTGCTCCCCTCTTGTGTCTCAAGCAGCGTCCAAAGTCTCACAGGTTCTTGCAGATCTCAAGCCCGAAAATCTCTTGTACCAGACTAAAAACCCGAACTCCGATCTTGTGTTAGCTGATTTCGGTATTGCAAAGATGCTCGATGCCAAGGATGAGGTCCTCACAACCATGGCGGGATCCTTTGGTTATGCTGCTCCTGAAGTCATGTTGAAAAAGGGCCATGGCAAACCTGTTGATATGTGGTCGATGGGTGTTATCACATATACGCTGTTATGTGGTTACTCGCCTTTCCGCTCGGAAAACCTCCAGGATCTGATCGATGAGTGCAGCACTGCAAATGTGGTGTTTCATGAGCGTTACTGGAGAGACGTCAGTAACGATGCAAAGGATTTCATCCTACACCTCTTACGCCCAGATCCCGAAGATAGGTGGACCAGCTCAGTGAGTCTCAGTCAGACCTTCGTTAATACAAGTATAAAAAGGGTACTAATTGTTTGGTTAGGAAGCACTGAAGCACCCGTGGCTCAGTGGCGAGAATGCTACTGAACATAACTTGCTGCCTGAGATCAAGGCCTACATAGCCAAGGCACGCCTGCGTCGTGGTATCGAGCTTGTGAAACTTACCAACCGCATTGAAGCCCTCAAGATTCAAGAGGACGACCCAGAGAATCCTGATTTTCCCGGCGACTCGGTAGCTGCAGCAAGCGAAGCGCAGGATGCCCAGTCGCAGGCGGGAACATCAAATGGAGGGAAAGGCAAACTCAGCCGTGCCGTAAAAGGGGCTATCTTCCGTGAGGTCGTACTAGCCAAGGTGAGAGAAATGAAAGAAAAGGAGCAAACAGAGAAAGTGAAAGAAGAGGCAGAAAAGGAAGCACGGCGCAAGAGCTTCAATTCTTAACGAGACATCGCCTGAAGAAGGTGATTACCGCAAAGGAAAACAAATCACCCAAATAACATGGTTGAGCAGTAGTTACAAGCTGCAAGGTGCATCAAACTAGTTGCAATATAAGATTGAGGGTCGAGTCGCTCAAGGCAGAACTGGGTGGTTAGGTATATTTTCAACATCAAAGATATTCAAGGCAGCGTGGTGTCTGGCATAGCGTCATGCGCTCCACATTCAGTGCTGTATGAGGTTCATTGATTCCCATTTTCTTTTATGTCCAGCTAGCGGCCCTAGGTTCTCAGGGCGTTCGCGCGAGGGAGGTCGGCTGGTTTATTCTCACTGTACGTTTATTACCCGCACTTCGAACAGTGTAGCAGGGTTTTTTGTCAATACAGAGGGAGATTGCAGTTAGCAAACTCATGAGATATATTTATCTGTTACCTTTTCCTACGGCGCTAAGCATCTAAGCAAAAACCACCTGGCTCTGCAGGTATATGTAAGGTGAAGCAGGTCCTAGTATTGAAAGGCATAATCTAGTAATTTGTCTTTGCCTATGAAAATGGTGAGCAGGACTTCCTAGCATCCTAGTTCTGAAGCATGATGGCAAATAAATCAAGAGTTTCGAATTGTGGTTTATTAGAGCAAGCTTCTCTCTCTCTCTCTTCCCCTTTTCTCCTTGGGGCGTAGCTACGTAAGTCCAAGGAACGCAAACTCTCTGCAAAGGCAATTGTCGGCAAACTCGAGTAAAATAGAAATATATATAAATTTATTTACGCTTGAATTGTGAGCATGTGCTAGATGAATCTGCTAATGTGGTGTTGCCTTTATGACGGCCTCGTATTATTGAGCGTCATGAACAGAGAGTTCGTTCTCTTGTCATGGCTCATTATTTTACAGTCCTCTTATCAGGTCACTTTGTCGCGACCCTTTCTATATATTACTCGACTCTCTCCCACCTCTGCCATAACAATGTAAAGTATGCTATGCACTTCCTAGCGGCAAGGCTCGAGCTCTCCTAGCACTTGCTCCCTCAGCACTTCGTACCGCCGGCTGTCAAAGCGTTTCCTCTGCCATCCGTTCGCGCGTAGCCGCTCGATTCGGTCCTGAAGATTCTTGCTGTCCCCACCAGCGGATAGGGGTGACGACGGGATCCCTGGTGTGGCCGCCCGCGGGCTAGGGGCATAGACAGGACTGCTTATCCCCCACGACTGCCCAAGACCAGCCGATACGGAGTTATATTTGCGCAGATGATGGTATCTGCTAGGGGAGCTGACTGGAGCGTCGCTTCGTCCTAGGTCGGTTTGGATGCGGAGCGTCGGGCGCAATGGGGTGCCAGCTTGGGTTGCATTCACGGAGGCAGATTGGTGACGCACGTGGTTCATTGTGGAAACTGTACTCGATGGCTGGGTCTCAGATATGGTGATTTCCCTTGTTGTTCGTGCTATGTGCGGGTCTTCTGCGGTGCTAAGAAGACTATCTACCACAGTGCGGTGCCGGCAGACTTGATCTCTTAGTTCCAAAAGTTGACCGCGAAGGCGGTTAAGCGTGCGCGCTTGAATGAAGGACTCAAGGTCGAAGGTATGGTTACTTGGGGTGCTACATCTGTCTGGGTTATCACTGTTCCCGGCCGATAATATCGCACTAGCTTGAGATGCGGATCTCGACTCGAACTCTTCGAGGCTCATAATGCGTGCAGGAGCTGATTGGTCTCCGAGCGACGTCTTGATTATCGACGTTGGGCTGCTATGCTTCTTTGGTGATATAGAAATTGACGCGTCCATCTCACGAGACATCGCTATGAAGATAGGATCCTCTAAACCCAACGTTGGGCTGTCTGGACGGATATGGGGCTCTGGCTGGAACTCAAAAAGCTGTGGGAAGCTGGAGAACGATACCTTCTTCTTCGCTTTCATGCGAGCTTGCCGGGCCGCTTTCGTCGGGGGGTCGTCCAGAAAAAATCCACTAGTCCGTGGTGATGATGAAGCAGTACTAATCAAGTCTGGTGTCCTCGAGCGAGCCGATAAGCTAGGAGATGAGGACCTTGCTGAAGAGGGAGAACTCGCTCTCTCGGTCATATTGAACTCCATGGCGGCAATCTGAACCTCTGCCTCAGCGTAGTGCGTCTGCGCACTGCGAAGTAACTCTTCACGGTAGGTGGACGATGAAAGAGGCCGCGCACACCATTCGAAAGAGGACGCAGCGTAAAAGTGTAAATATATCCGGTGTAACGGCTCGATGGTCGATTCTTCTTTTATATTCGCCAAAACATCACAGCATTGCATTGAGCATGATCGATATTTGCGAGCAAGGTACTTTCGCTTTATCTCGTCCATGATGTGTTTCCATTCTGACGTGTCTGGGGGCATCGCAGCGTGTGAGAGAGAGGCTGTGAACGATGCCTGTCTTAGGAGAGGTAGCGACTGCTGTCGATGGTGAGGTCTATGTATTGATGACGGCAAAGCACGAGGAGACTCTGTGTGCACTGTTGACGACATTTTAGCTTGTTATTTGCTTTGCAAATAAGTCAACAAGCTATGGCGACTTTCGAGTATGATAGGCGCTACTAATCTTCAGGGCTGAAGATTATTGCTGTCCCAGCTGGAGAAGTTGAGCACTATAGTATAGCTTAGCCCAAGGGTTGAGATTATTGTAATAAATGGTTATATTAAAAGTGTGGCTGGTTCTGTGCTCAGTCCGAATTGGCACACTTAAGCGTGGCTATCAAAGAATGTGCGAGGAAGCGAATTGGAATGATGAAATGGCGAATGATGCCTCGATGACATTAGAGTGGTTGGATGTCTTAGACTTGGCTTGTCGTTTTCGCTTAGATTCGTATAATTATTCCAAGATGCTGGGGAGATAACAGAGATAGTCTCTTAAGACCAGTATACCTTTCGAACTTATATACTATCCGTTAGGACTCAACCTCGAAACATCGCAAATGTGAGGCCGGGAGAACCTCTGCAGAACGTGACGAGCTGGGAAATATCCCAATCATCCCAGTTTATTTATCATAGAACTGGATGGTCCCGCACAGCTATTCCAGTTCGACTTGGCGTTCCAACTCCGCAACCCGATGGTCTGCACCCCTCTCTTCTAGATGTAACTAGGTACGGAGTAGACACAGCTCAAGAGCGGGATGAATGGAGCAGGAAACGGGCGCGAAGCGTCCAATATCCTATCATGTACGCACGATAGTTCCACAACGGAATGAGAATATCCCGTGCACACGGCAGCGATATTGATGGGGAAAAGTATATATAAAGAACTAGTAAGTCAATGCAGCAGTAGATGGACAACAGAACGGAATTCAGCAGACAGGTATGAATCTTCGAGTTCTACGGAACTAAGAGTTTCGGACTCCCGGCCGTATTTATTTGTTTACCTATTTGAGCATATCAGTGGGATATTTGAGTTAGTGAGGGCAATGGGATACTAATAGTAGGATTCTATACTATTGACAAGGGTGGCAGACAGCCCCCCTTTATTCATCATACTAAGTAGAGTAGACAAACGCGTGTTGCTCGAACCAAGAACATTTGGCAAAATCGAGCGGGTGTTTCCCCAGAACGACGTCAAAACACTAGGACTTGGAAAAGACGGCAAGGATAGTAGGCGAGAAATCACGTCTGGGGCCCACACTCATAGATATGATAGCAATGCCCCTGCCTCTAGTATCATGAAAGCCCAAGCAAATGAGAAGGATCGCATCACGTCGAACCGGGGCCACAAAAGTTCAAACGAAACCCATACTTGATCTACTTAAGCTCGCACAGTTTGTGTTTAGTCAGAAAAGTGTAGCGAGTCCCTTTTAGATCTGAGCGAGCACTTTTAGTGCGGTAGAGCGTGTATAGAATGTCTGCATTGCCTAGATGAGAAGCTTGGCCGTTCCCCACGCTCCGAATAAGGCTCTTCCTGTGATGATACTTTCACCTAGGAGAATTAATTCGCCGCACAGACGTCGTTGAGCACCTGACGCGTTATGTGATGAAGTCTACAGATGTATGCAACGAGAAACAGCGGCATCCGAACATGGAGTAGTTGGAGCGCGATTACGGGCAAATCACCGTCAGTGCCTCCACCTCAGGACTGGGGACAGTACTCATTGAGACGAACTCTTCTCGTTTTGGATGGCAGGGCAGCGCAGTCAACAAGGTAGCATTGTAAAGGTGACGAGCTACGGTTAGACTGTCAACTTCGCGTAGTGAACACTATCTTCCGATACCAGGTTTCATGTTGCATCACATTAGTGTGTACCACACATGGCGAAAGATCGGGGCTACGGGTCCGTGTGCTGCAGGGTTTCTCAACGTCTCCTCCTAATCTAGCCGGTCATTCTCGACAAGGGACGGGGAATAGGGTTAGCGTACACTAAACGAACGTGTACAGATAATAAAGGTACATTCAAAGGGAGAGGCTACCTAACTCAGTGTGCCGATTTCCTTCTCTTACCATTTTCATAGAGATGGTAAGCTCTCACCACTGCGGACCAATCTTCTAGTACTCCGTATGTATTTCATCCTTGTCGAGCTGTGTCATGGAATTTATTTTACTGCTTCGATAACTGTGACTTCAATGCTCACCATAAAGCGACCGATGCTTTCGATTTCCACTTCGTCACTACTCAAATTTCTACTAATGTGACTGTTAGGCCTCATAGTTGAAGTCCAGTGGGAACGAACACACATGCATGGTAGATGTAGTTGCTCTAATTACCACGTGGGCGCAGTGATTTTTTTTTTTTTTTGGGGGGGGGGGGGGGGGGGGGGGGGGGTTATATTGTTTTTAAATTTTTGCTGTGTTGAGTATGGAAACGGCAGGGGAAAAATAGCCCGGGGTGGGGGAGGAGGTCGAACCCAGGGGGACGGTT